CAAGAGTCCAAAGAGCCAAACCAAAGTATCTAAAGGGCAGAACTAAATACTGTGGTGTGTGTGTGTGTGTGTGTGTGTGTGTGTGTGTGTGTGTGTGTGTGGTGTGTGTGTGTGTTTGGTGTGGATACACATGCTCACATGTAGGGGGGGGGTTACACATGGATGTGTATGTGTTGACCCAAGGCTGACATCAGACTCTATTGACCTGTATTGTTCTCCATCTTACTCACTGAAAAAGGGTCTCTCAACCACACCCAGAACTTGATGGTACAGCTAATTTGACTAGCTAGCTTGCTCTGGACTGGAATTAAACAGGCTGCCCTGCCTTCCCAGCGTTTATGTGGGTGCTGGGGATCCTGAACTCAGGTCTTTGTGTGAGCAGCAGGCCCTTTATTCAAAGCTTCTGTGGTTCAGCTAAAGCAGGGCTTAGAGGGAAACATACAGTGACCAATGCATTATCTTCTACATTAAGGGCTGGCAATGTAGCTCGTTGGTGAAGCACTTGCCTAGTGTGGCTGAAGTCCTGGAATAGGCCCCCAGCACTGGGGCGGAAAGATGGATACCATAAAACGACGACAGCTCAAGAGCTGGAAAAACAAAAGCAAATTAAATCTGAAATCTAAAAGTAACAATAAATGATGAGCTGAAGTCAACCAAAGACATAAGTAACCTTAAAAAACCAATCAATATAAATATCAATCCTTTAAAAACATGAATGAAATTGATACATTCCCAAGACAGATTGAGATAAAAGAGCAAACAGAGAAATGTCTGCGTTCTACAGACATTACAATGTTGAGGCTTTAAAATGTCCAGAAAGTAAAAAAAAAAATGGCCCATAGGATGAAGGAAATTTGTAAGGTATATCTGATAAATGACACATATATAGGAGGAATAAAGAACATGTACTGGCTGGGTGTGATGACACAAATCTATAATCCCCAAACTTGGGAGGTGAAGGCAGGAAGGTCAGGAATTCAAGGCTAGCCCCTGTTCCACGGGGATTTTGAGGCCAGCCTGGGTACACAAGACTCTGACTTGAGGAATGTTTTAAAAAGAGCACTTACAAGTCACAAGAAGAAGAAAAGGGGAGGGAGGAGGGTCAGCACTGAGCTCAATAACAAGATACTCAGCATCGGTGACATGACCTCGTGTGGCAGCCTAAGCCAAAAGCAACAGGTTTTGGCAAGGCTTCAGAGCAGGGATCTACAATCATGCTGCTACTTTGGAAAACATCTGGCGACTGCTCCCAAAGTTCAAACAGTTAATATTTGACCCGGTAACTCCATTCCCGCACATATACTCCAGGGGACTGAAAACCTTTGTACACAAATACCTGAACCTTCAGAGCAGCGTTCGTAATAGCTCGGAGTGGAAACAGCTCAGGATCCCGTCAGCCAGTGAGCCGGTGACATGCTATGAGCCATACAACAGAATGCTACTCAGACACTGGAAAGGAATGAAGTACGGGTCATGAGGCACGTGCCTGCGATCTCGGCACTGGGAGGCTGAGGCAGGAGGATGGACAAGTCAAGTCCAACCAGGACTGTAGAGCAAGACCTTATCTCAAAAACAAAAGTCAGTAAGCTACAACATGGATGAAAAAAGTTATGCTAAATCAAAGAAGCCAGCCACAAAAGACCACATGTTTGTGATTTCCTTTATATGAAATGCCCATAATGGGCAAATAAATGTTGGTGACAGAAAGGGGGATGCTGTCTGCTGAGAGGGAATGGCCTAGAGAGTGGAGACAGCTGCTAATTAGAATGCTTTGCCTTTGGGGTGTGGCCGAGAGAAGCTCTGAGGTCGACCATGGTCATGGCTGTACGACTCCGAAGACACTAAGACCTTTGACTGGATATTCGATGTGGGATTAATTGTATGTAGTGGAAACTATATCTCCACTAAACTGTTCAAAATCTGGATAGCCTCCAAAATTTACTTATGTGTTTCAGGTATGAAATGATCTTTTAAAAAGCTTATTAAATAGGCACAAAAAGAAATAGGCAATATGAGTTGTCACACATATAATCTTTTAAATATTTTTATTTGCATTATTATTGTGTTAGTGTATGATTGTGTGTGTGTGTGTGTGTGTGTGTGTGTGTGACAGCACATGAGGCCAGGAATACCTTTCAGGAGTTGGTTCTTTCCATCTGTCATGGCATTTGGAGATTGAAATTCAGGTCACCAGGTTCCCCATGCCTTTACTCGCTGAGTCAGCTCACCAGCTCGCATATGTAGCTTTCAAGACACTAAATCTGGAGGGGCTGCAGAGACGGCTCAGTGGTCAAGACTACTGCGTGCTCTTCCAAAGGACCACAGTTGGATCCCAGCACCTACAGGATGGCTCACAACTGTCTGTAACCCCAGATGCGTTTTTCCGGCTTCCTTGGGCACCGTATTCATACATTCAGGTGGAACTCCTGCTATGAGTGAAGTAAAAAGAAACATGAATAAATCTCACAAAATAAACCATATCTGCACTCGAAACCCTTCCTATGAGAAAAGCTCAAGGTTAAATGTTTTAAAGTGAATTGTCCCAAGACTGAATGAGGAACTAATATGAGCTATACGTTTTGTGTTTAGAAGCCAGAGAACGCTTGATGACTTGTTTCAGGAAGCCAGCGTGGTTCAGATCTCAGAGTGTAGCAAAGCCTTTACGACACACTGCAGGCCAGTTCCACTAGTGAATGCAGAAATCCCAAACCATGTGTCTAGCAGCCATCCGGCACTGGGGCAAAGTTGAGGAAATCAACTCATAAGGAAGAAGTGCTTCTTGGTTCATGGTTTCAGAGTTTTATAATCCTGGTTCTGGCCGGTTGCTATGGCATGCGGGAGGCAGAATGGCGGTCAGGGCACATGGGAGAGGCAGAGGAGGCCGCTTGCCTCAGGTGGCTGGGAAACAGAGGGGCTGAGCACTCTCCTAGTACATCCTGCAGGGACACACCTCCTTCCTCCCCTCCTACTCAAGTTCAGATCCAAACCACAACAACATAGCAGGGATGCTACTGAAGAAACTCAGGGGACTCACCTTCACGGAACTCAGTGAGGTCCCACTGCGTGCCTCACATACAGCAGGTGCTTCATATGTGTTACCCACGCTCCCCACCCCCCAAGCATACAGCTGTTTGTCTAAGTCTGTTTAAAACGAGGCACAGGTGCTCAACAGCTGTGGCTTCCCGTGAGCGCATCCTTGTCACGGACGGTTGTCAGGCAGTCCCCTCTGTATGTCGGCTTTCTGAATACTGTACTTGACCACGAAGAAAGTAAACAACACAGGCTTAAATGTTCTGTTTCAGAGCTGTGAAGTGTTGAGACTAGGCAGGAAGGGAAAGCAGAAAAGCCTGTCCTCTGGGAGCAGGACCAACCTTCTCCCTCTGCGGCTGCTCTCTTGGCTGCTGCCCGAAGGCAGCTGTTAGGCCAGCTGTTGACCTGTCTGCCCAACTGGAAAAGATGCTGCCGAGTGGCGAATCTTCTCCAGGAGAACATTTGGCTTTGCTGAGAACAACAGCGCATTTCATTAGGCTCCAACAGGGTTGCAAACAAGGTAAAAGTATGACTCAGCAATCATCTAGTCTGAAATAGATACTCATTCTATTTTTAATATTTATACAAAGAATAAGCAGGCTCCCCTAGAAAGGCTCTGCACAGAACATCACCACAGCTTAGTTATTTGTTGAAATGATAACAGATTGGCTTGAGAAAAAATATATATGGAAGGAATCCAGAGATATATCTCAGCATGGCACCACACTCCTGGAATCCCAGCTCTTCGGAGGCTGAAGCAGGAGGATGAGGAGTTTGAGGCTAGCCTGGGCTACAGAGTAAGATCCTGTCTGAGTGGGGAGAGAGGGGGAAAGGATGAAGGAAGCAGGAACTTACAAATGTCAAAAGGGAAAATAGTTGAAACGTTTCCAGTCTCTGTAATCCGGCATCACTCCTTGTCCAGGACAGATGTAGGCAGCCGAAACAATCCCTGCAGGGGCAGTGCGTGGCCCCCAGGACTCAGGGCTCACACTGTCAACTTGCATTTTTAATTATCAACACTAAAGGCCTAACAAACAATTATGTGGAATTTGGCAGATTAGGGTGGGACGGGAAATCATCAAAGATTTTTATTCAATGGCAAAACTGGAATGTCTATTGGTGGCAGGCAAAACTAAAAACACATTTTACTGAATGAGTACAATTTTCTTCCAAACCCAAATGTACAAGGGTCATGATCAAGCTGAGATTCTCCATTCCTGGGATATTTTCCAGAGGCAGAAGCTCATGTCTTCAAAAATGCTTGTGGAGAAATACCCCAGGCTGGAGGAGAGAGGCCATCCACACCCCTTGTCTGTGAAGAAATACCCCAGGCTGGAGGAGAGAGGCCGTCCACACCCCTTGTCTGTGGAGAAATATACCCCAGGCTGGAGGAGAGAGGCCGTCCACACCCTTTGTCTGGTCTGGAGTGGGGTTAGAAGTCAGAACTTACTGTCACTCACAGCATCTAGTGAGTGGTCTCCACACAGCTCTGTGGAGACCACAGAAATGGGGCAGGGAGCACGGGTCTCATTAGTCAACTCTGAAGTCAGAGTTGGAGCGGACATTCTTGAAGATTAGCCTAGTTGACCAAAGATGCACAGTCGTCGGGGCCTCTAACCTACTTTTTCCTACTGTCCACTAGGCAACAATTGCATCAGACATCACATCTGATCTGGCCAATGCTTCCATTGCAGAAGAGGGGGTGAGGGCTGTTGAGATGGCTCAGCGGTAACAGAGCTTTCTGCCCAGCCTGACCACCTGAGTTTCAATCCCTGGGGGAAAATAATCAGCTACACTAAGCCACCTCTGACTTTTACACGTACATTGTGGGCACACACCTCATCTGTACATGCACACGTATGTGCGTTTGAGACAGTCTCACTTTCCAATAAAGCTGGCCTGACTATGTGGAGAGCTCCCTGGCCGGATCAGGCTTGCTGAGAGAGTGCCTTCATGTTCCTCTTTTTCAGAGATTCAGGGCCGCAGCTAGACGCCATGGACAGCGTGTATGAGCTCGCCTCCACAGAAAGGGTGCAGCAGTTAGAGAACGACCTGGCAGGGAAGCTAAGCGAACTCAAGGATGAGCTGGGAGAACAGGGGCCCCTTCCACGAACAGCTAACTGGACCTTCAGGTAAACCTGCAGTGTCAAGTGGGGCTCCTGGGACCCCGCCTCCCGTTCTGCCCTACATGCTCCGTCTGCCCACTCTTTTCTTCAAGAGCAGCTGACATCATGTCAGGCTCAGACAAATGGCACACAACAGCAGTTTCCAATGTCTTTTCCTCCCTGCCAGTACCAATGGGACCCAGCCTTGCTTAGATGCTGAGGTTGGATGAGATCTGGTGCAGCCATAGAGCACATGCGCTTTCCCAATCTGCCTTTAACAACAGTTAAGATAGACTGAAGCAAATCTTATCTAATGAAGTGGGAAAATATTGTGCTATTTTCCTAAGTCCCAGGAGCTACTATATAAGTGAAAAGTTTCATTTTGCCTAATAACATTGGATTTGACCTTAATTTTGATAAAAAATTCTTTTTTTTTTTCTGTTGTCCCGCCAAGTCTATCCCGCCTCGTTATTGGCTGTTCAGCTCTTTATTAAACCAATCAGAAGGTGCCTTGGGTAAGTGAGGAAGGACAGAAGCACGTCTTCATACAGTGTGCAAAAAGATTATCCCTACAGGTCTCTTTTAGGTATTTTAACTGAGAGGAATGACATAACTGGAGACAGAGTTGGGCAGCCAAGCCCTTGCCTGCCCAGGCTCCCAGCATGCTGAGGATGGGAGACAGGAATGCAAGGGACGCCTTCTGTAGCTGCCCTGTCAACAGCTGAGCCCTCTCAGCGGGTGACTGCTTCTCCAGCTGCATGAAGCTTCAGAAAACACAATGTACTTGTGATAGACAGCTGCTTTCACTCTCAAGACCTTCCCAAAGTCTCTCTGTCTCTGTCTCTGTCTCTGTCTGTCTCTGTCTCTCTCTCCCCTCTGTGTGTGTGTGTGTGTGTCTGTCTGTCTGTCTGTCTGTCTCTCTCTCTCTCCCTCCCTCCCTCCCTCTCTCTTTCCCTACCTTCATCAAAGTCAAAAAACAGGGAAAGAGGTTGGATATGGGTCATCTCCAGCTTCAAAATCCCGACACCAAGTGTCCAGGTGGGTGCTTAGGTATCTGTGGCCCAGGGTCTTGTCCATTTGGTCTACCCTTGTCCAGTGACCATGCCAATCTTTTCTGTGTCCTTTCCATTTTATTATTTGTGCTGTCCAAGTTTTCCTTCCTGCTCCCTTCCCTTAGTAACAGAGATCGAACCCAGGGCCTTGCCCATGGAAGACAAGCTCTAGTCACGGAACCACATCCCTGGTCTCCTAATAGCTAACAGGACTACCCTTCCACAAGGGAACACACTAACAGTGTACATTACATTATCTGAAGACTCTTGGGACCAAGTGAACTGTATCACCCTAAGTTTACTGCCTGCACCCATCCCTCCAGCTCCCTCAGGTCCTTGAACTATGCTCTGTGGCTCATTTGCCAGCGGCTGCAAAATCCGGTCTTGCAAGTGTGGGGTCTGTTTTGGGATGCTGTCCTCAGGCATGCCTAGAGCTGCACTCCTTACACTGTCTGCTGAACTGCACGGGAGAGCTCTTCTCACCTCAGGCTCCCAAGGCCTGAACATCTCCCCCCCATGACGGCTGCATGTTTCCTAGGGACAAGACATGTTCCTGAGGCAGAAAGCTGGGTTAAAAATATTCCTGAAATATTTCCCATTTGATATCTGTGGGTTGTTTCTACCCTCTGATAACTCAGCAGGAACACGAAAAACAAAATGTTTCAGTGACAAGGTACCAGTTTCCTGTGTCAACTAAGGAGAAACAGCAAGGTTTGATAGGCACACTGACTGTCACACAGGAGATTTCTGAAAGGAAGACAAGTACGGAAAAGGACTGCCCTCGTGACCCTCCATGCCCTTCGGAGTAGGAAACAGGATAAACCAAAGGCCCAAGAAAGACTGTGAGGAGAAAGAAACTGGCCAGGGTAAGGGTTAGCAGAGATCGGGTATTTCAGAAAAGGTTCTGACCAAGACAGAAGAAAGCGGCCTTAATACACCCCCAATGGCCCGGAGTGGTTACTCACTCTGAAATGAGTGGCTGGAAAGGGTCACAGAGCCACCAGGCCAGCCATCATCTTCTTTATCACAGCTTTCCATAACCGCAGTTTCTGTTGTCCAAACCTTCCTGCAGCTCTGTTCAAATACCAAAGGATGTCGCTCACTTCAGACGCGAACGGGAAGTGGCTCTGAAGAGAACCCTCCGGGTGAGTAGGAGCGCTTCAGGACTACACATTGGAGTTCATCAATTAGGGAATTATTCGCAAGTTTATTTTTTGCAAACGGCTGATGATATTGGACGAAACAGCCTTCTCGTTACCAGAAAAGTGAAAATCGCTGTATCCTCGGGGAGATTTGATTTTGTGACATTGAAATTTGATACATCAATGAGTTTGAAACTCATTGTTTGATTTAGGTGGCGGAGTGCAAGCCCCTTGTTATTCAGGCAGATGTCCTGCAGAGGGAGCTAGAGAGCTGCCTAAGAAGAGAGTACACGCCGGAAACTCTTCCTCTGCTTCTGCTGCAGGTAAGGGTTATCTTCCAATCTGTAAAAACTTGTGGAGCACTCTGGAAATGTGTCAGCAAGCTGGCTTTTCAGCAGATACCGTGAGCAGTTGTTCTGGACACGAGTAATTTGCAGACGTGGTGTAAATGCTTCCTTTATGGGAGACCATTTGGTTTGCACAGCTAAGTTGCTGGACTGAACAATTAATTGTCTGGGGTCTGACTAAAGTCTGTGCGGGTGTTATACCATGCAAAGACAAAGTCAGCCTCCACCTCCCAGAGGCCTGGAAGACATTCCCAAAATCCTCTCTTAAGAAAATAACTCAAAGTAGGAAAATAGTTTCCCATCAAGATTGCTGCATCGTTATAATAAAAGTGAAAGAGAGGGAAGGAGGGAGGGAGCAAAGGAGGGAGGGGAGAGCCTTACTATTGACAATAAAGGCAAAACAATGTCGATGGATATTCAGTGACTATTGTTCTAGCATTAAATGTTTATATTTTTGTATAAGGAATTATTACATCTTGTAATATTAAGTAAAAACTATGTATATGCACTTGATAATAATGATCAAATAAAATATAGAAGAATCGCTATGTTTAGATGGCAGGATAATGAAAATCCCCTGAACTTTTATATAGCCCCTCAATTTAGCACAGCCATGTACTGTCTCAAAATGTAAAATGGTTTGTTCTTTACTACTCTTAAATCACTTAAAGTAGTCCCATGTTGTGAGTTGTTTCCCCTCGTGCACAAAATCTAGTTCTTTAGTAAGTGGTGAGCATTAATCACAAAAGATGATGAAAGTCTATTTGCAAGTTAAAATGTTCATTTGGAATTTTCTCTCCCTGTAATTATCTGCTTTCTTCCTTCCCTCTCTCCCTCCCTCCTCTCTGCCCCCTCCCCTCCCTGCATGCTTCCCTTTCTCCCTCCCCCTCTCCCTTCTCCCTTCTCTCCCAGCTTCCTTCCCTGCCTCCCTGCCTTCCTTCTTCCTGGTACCCAGTCTTGTATATTCTGTACATGCATATTCTGATATCCATTCTTGTATGTCAGTGGTTCTCCATGGAGAGAGAGGAAGGATAGGGAAATAGATATCTGTCCCCTAGAGGTCATATGACAGCAAATGAACGTGGTTTTGGTTATCAAAATTTTGGGGGCAGTGGCCATATATATAGCATCTTGTGTTCTGTTGCCAGAGGCTAAGGATGACATTGAACACTCAAATTATGCAATCCCAATTGTCAACAGCAATAAGGCTGAAAAAGTTCTAGAACAGTCTGAATTTCCATAGTATATTCTTTGCTGTCTGTCTGGGAAGCTCCCTTTAATAACTCCTGAGGTTCACATCTGCCAGGGACAGATTCTTGCAGTGTTGTTGCATTATAAAATTATTTTCCTTTCACTTTATAAGGCTGTTTTTGCTTGGCACAGAATTCTGGACTGACAGTTTTTATCATTCGTTATTTTAAAGCTGCTACTCCATTCTCTGGTGGCTTGAATGGATTCTGTTTCTGAACACAATGCATTTCTTGTTCTCTGGCTGTTTAAAGCTTTTAACGCCTTTTCGCTGTTTTATTATCTATCTAGTGAGATATATATTCATACATACATATACACATACATATATATAGTGACGTGTATATATATATAGTATATATAGTGATGTATATATACATACATATATATATACATAGAGAAGTTTTCTTCGCTTTTCTTTTGCTTGGAGTTATACTTAACTTTTTATGTTGTGTGCTTATTTTTTTTCCAAATGAGGAAAGACTTCTCTTGACTTGCCATCAGAGACTTCACTCCAGGGTCAATTGTGCAAAGTCAGATGGGTCCCTGGCCCAGGAACACAAACTCAGGTTGTCTCAGATTCCACCTTCCAGCATGGTGACTGCGTCATAAAGTTCTTATAGTAGCATAACAAAGGAAAGTCACAAATCAAGACACTTTTCAACACTGTGGTGGGAGCCTCAGGTAGGCAGATTACAACAAACAGAGAATTCCAGCTCCAGGCTTCAGATGCTATCCGGTGGCATTCTTAGCCTGTGGCTGGTGGAAGGGAGTGCTGTTTGCACATTCCAAAGGATTTACCCAACAGTCGTGAGGAGGCCAGGTCAGACACAGAGCTGGGCAAGAGATGGCCGTGAAAGACGCTGAAGAGAGCCCGGGACAAGCTGCCATTGGGCTTTGGAAATCAACATTCCGTTCTCCACATCCTTTGAAGTTCTAGTCGGTTGGAAAACCAAGTAAGGGGCTGGAGAGATGCTCGGCTGCTAGAGGACCCAGGTTCGATTCCCAGCACCCACACGGCAGCTCACAGCTGTCTGAAACTCTAGTTCCAGGGGTCTGACACCCTCACACAGGCGTAAATGCAGGCAAAACACCAATGCACATAAAATAAAAATTAAAAAAGAAAACCATACGGGAGGTTCAGCATAAAGTACTATTTTCTTCTTCGTTCACACACCTGGCTGCCTTGCTTCCCAGCCTGTGGTGAGGTGGCCTACCATGGCTGGAAGATGGCTGTTCACCTCCTGGTTGCCAGGAAGCAGGGAGTTTGCTTTTTAAAACAAAGATCCTCCCCTCCAAGACGCTAATTTGTGAATCCACAAATGGGTTACTCCATTGGTGAGGTCGAGCCCCCTTGGTCCAGTCACCTGCCAAACACCCACCTCTGAGCTTTGCTGTTTTGGGGACCAAGCTTTCAACACACAAGTACTGGGGGGCCCTTACGTTCTAAGTCACAGCAGTCATGCTGGCGACAAATGCCGATGCTGAGTCAGGGTCCAGGCCTTCCAACGTGGACACCAGTGTTCCTGGTTGTTTCTGCTCAGAACAGACAGCAGCAACTGCAGAGAGACCCTAACCTCCCCAGGTGATACTGTGGCGCTCACAGCAGTCACCTGCCCAACCGTTTAGCCCATGGATCATCTTTTCACTCTATTCTAAGTTGTTCAAGTCACAGTAAAATAGCCTCAGAATTGAGCAATTTACGGTCCTTGGAGACCGATCCAGGTACTGAGTTGGCATTTCTGTAGTCTGATTTCTGACTTAGAAGGAAGGCCTTTATAATAAGTTCTTTCAATGGCATGAAGACTTTAAACATTTTAGGGACTGGAGAAAGCTCAGTGGTTAGAGCATTTGCCCACCGGAGCGCTCACAAATGTTTGTAACTCCAGTTCCTGGGATCTGTTGCCCTCTTCTGGCCACCAATGGGCACTGCATGCACAAGGTGCACAGACATAATTCAGGCAAAACACTCATATGTAAAAAATTTAAAACAAAAATCTGTTAAGACTTGAAACATTTTTTGGGCAGAGGGATCACTCAGTTTTTAAGGCTAAGGCTCAAATTCAAAACATCAAAAAAGGCTTCAAACGTTTTAAAGTAAGACCCTCAAGTGAGCAATTAGTTCTGAAACCACCTGCTTCAGTATTCTGACACTCCGTGTCTCCTTTCAGGGGGTATAGAAGGTTCTGGAAAGGTGGTCGCTTTTCTGAACTAATGATCTCACTACAGAGAATCCTCTAACTTCTCCCAGATCTCTTTATTTGCCTTGGTCCAGGTCCTAGGCTTCTCATTTCCACAGCGAGGACAGAAGCCAGCCCTGGGGATCAAACCCGGGTCTTCCGGCTTGGCGGCACACATCTTTACCTGCTGAGCCATCCCCAGCCTCAGTACTGTTTGAACTGTTCGCAGAGCAATGAAAGGCTTTCCTTAGTGAAACCCTGGGAGGAAATGTCAACCACTTCTTAGACTGGGAGGTTGAGCATGCCCTTCTCTTTCCTTGCTTCAAACTGTCTTTCCTAAAGTCAGCCAAGGGGAGATGAGGCACACAGGTGCCCCAATGATAGACGTGAGGGGAGGTCTTCACAAGGCACCCCATGGGGCTGTATTCACACAAACACCTCGCTGACAGACAGGGGGTCCTCACACAGGCACCCCATTCGCGTGGGGGTCCTCACAAGGCACCCCACTGGTAGACTACACCCCACACCCCACTGATAAGGTGTCTTCCCACTGACACCCCACTGGTAGACGTGAGACGTCAGTCTGGCTTCCATAGTGGGAGCTATGCTTCTGCTACATGCTTCCTTACACCCAGGACAGTAACTCCGGGGCAGCCGCTCTCTGCTGCTCTGGACAGGTTTCAGTTTCCCAATAAAAGCACTGCTTTTCTCTGAACGTGACTCTAGGCATTTAAAGAGCCTCTGGGTGGTGGTCTGTAGCTTAGCTAGGAATCACGTTTGTTGCCCACTGTCACTGATTCCCTGGCTTCCGAGGAAATGGGAGGGTTTCTTCTTTCAACTGAGTAATGTCTTGGTCATGTTTTCTCCGTTTTCCTCGCTTCCCCAACTCCTTCCTCTTCATGTTCCCCATCTCTTCTTGTTTTTATTTAATTTTTCCCAAGCTTTTACTTTTTCTTGTGTTCACCCCTCCCCGCCACACCTTTCTTTCCCTGGTCCCTTCTCCAGTAAACATCACTTCCTCTTCGCTGCATTACTAAACACCATTTGCTGTTTGTTTTGTCCTTTTTGTTTAGTAAGGATTCTTCTTTCTTCCTGCTGCCCCAACCCCATGTGTGTTGCACGGCCCTGGACAACCAGTGTGAAAATGTTTATTACCTCTTGAAGACTTTAACCGCCATTTCCTTAAATACAGTTTTCTGGGTTCTGGAAGTGCAGCTCAGTGATTGACAGGTTGTGTGCTCAGTGATTGACAGGTTGTGTGCTCAGCACGCACACACCCCTGGGTTCAGCCCCAGCACTGAGACCCATTCCGCCTTTGTCCTCTTTAGGTCCCTTCATTCGCACACCCACTAAAGCATTCCACATTGCCTCATAGAGACCCGAATCCTGGTCCTTTCGGTTCTGTTCTTGTTCCGTGTTCAGGGTTCACCTATGGAGCTCCTATTTCTGTGTTTTCAAGCGTGCCAACTTTCCTCATGCCATGTCTGGTCACCTTCTAATCCAGTCCATTCAAGTCTTTGTTTCAAATATGTGTGTATACTTAGACTTCGCGAAGCTCCCCTAGCTAAGTTCTCACTTTGCGTTCAGTTTTCGAACACGCTGAGCACACTGTAAAAGACCTTTGAAAGCTGTTGCTCGCTAATGCTGTTACCGCTGCTAGTTCTAGTATTCTCATCACCAACTTTTCTTCTATCCATGGGTCATTTTTATCGTTCCTTTGCATGTCTAGTAATTTATAATGAATGCAAGAAATAAGCAAATTTTCACTACTGGGTGCCACATATTTTTATATTTCCTGTAAAGTGTTGGACTTTGTTCTGGCAAGCTTTTAAGTTACAGAACAACTTACGCCTTACAAGGCTTGCCCGGGGTGTCCTTTGCTCTAGGGTTAGTTTGTCCTGGTTACCAAAGCCCTGGTGTCCACACTGGATGTCTCAGGCATCCGAGGACGAGCCTTCACACTGGTGGTTGGAACTTGACCATCTTGCAGCCCTGCAAGAACTCTAGAGCTGTTGGGGTAGGTCAAAGCGGGTTGTTATTTGCACAGACTCCTGGAGTTTAACCTGCTGCATGCCGGCCTAGGCACTCAACAGCAGACCTAAGGATCTGCGCAGATTTCCAGAGCCTCTCTCTGTCACTTCCTCCTCTCGGAGCTGCAGCCTACAGTCTCCCTGGCTCCAAGAAATCTCTTGTCTCCTCCGAGAGGCCCCTGTCTGCTCAGGGCCCTCTCCCTCCTGTGCCTCAGAAGCATGAATGAGGTCTCTCCTCCCGGGAACCACGCGATGAGGTTCTCTTCTCCAAGGCACTATGTTGTCCAAGGTTTGAAAACATTGCCTCGTGTTTTCTGTCAAATTTGCCGGTTGTGGTGAAAGAATACGACAGGACTCATGTCTTCACAGTTATTTCTAGTGCCAGAGAGGGAAATGAAGAAATTGGCTTTTTGAAAAGACTTCTATCTGCATGACTTCTATCCTCCTGCCTGAGGATTATAGAGATGGGTCACTGAATTTAATTCTCAGTCTGATTTTATAAGCTACGATCTTACTTTTTTTTTTAATCACTACCGTGTGTGTGTGTGTGTGTGTGTGTGTGTGTGTGTGTGTGTGTGTGTAGGCCTGTGTCATAGTGCACATGTGGAAGTCAGTGGACATTTATGGACTCACTTCCTGCCTCCCATCTTTGCAGGGGCCCCTGGGATCAAACTTGAGTTGTCAGGATTGCATAACAAGTTCCCCTATCCACCTCCCTGCCCCATCAATCTTACTTGTAACACACTCGTGACTCCTAGTTTTTGTATGTGTGTGTCCACATAGATGCATGGGTACATGTGTGTGCTTGTATGTTTCCCAGAGGAAACTGTTTACCTTCTTCTGTGAGACAGGATTTCTCACTTGGATTTGCCCAGTAGGGAAAGTTGAGTGGCCAGCCAGCCCCAGAGACCTGCCTGTCTCGGCCTCCCCGGCGTTCTGAGAGCCGCCACCCCTGGTGTTTCTTTTCCTTTTTATTGATTTATTATTTATTTGTTTGTTTTATTATTATTATTTATTTTATACGGCTTCTGGAGATGAGACTCTGGCTTATGTAAAGCATTTTACTGATTGGCCATTTCTCCCACCCATAATTTCAGTTCTTTAACCCAAACTTTCAGCTTGACTCTACACCCTCTGGTTTCCTAATTCACTGCCCACAGTCCAGCAACTGCTGAATGAGTTATGACCAGCCTGCCCAGCAGCAGGTCACAGAGATTTAGACACACCCACTTTCTCTTGTCATTGGCACTTCATTTGATGGTGCTCCTGCAGGGGAAATTTTTTTTCAGAGCAACCAGAGATTGATTTACCTATTGTTAGAGTTCTTGACACTCAACTCAGGCTTTGTCCTATAATTATATTCCGCTAAGTTCTTGTTTCTGTGTTGGTAAAGCATTACACAGAGAGAATTACACACCTGGTCCAGAGTAAATATTTGCACATGCTGAGGTGGAAACGGCTCTGCCAGACCAGCGGGACCATGGAAGAGCTCTACCCTCTTTACACGGTAGGACGTGGGAGCCGGGAGAACGTGTGTGTGTGTGTGTGTGTGTGTGTGTGTGTGTCTGTGTCTGTGTGTGTGACCAGTGGGACCATAGAAGAGCTCTACCCTCTTTACACGGTAGGACATGGGAGCCGGGAGAACGTGTGTGTGTGTGTGTGTGTGTGTGTGTGTGTCTGTGTGTGTGTGTGTGACCAGTGGGACCATGGAAGAGCTCTACCCTCTTTACACGGTAGGACATGGGAGCCGGGAGAACGTGTGTGTGTGTGTGTGTGTCTGTGTGTCTGTGTGTGTGTGTGACCAGTGGGACCATGGAAGAGCTCTACCCTCTTTACACGGTAGGATGTGGGAGCCGGGAGAACTTGTGTGTGTGTGTGTGTGTGTGTGTGTGTGTGTGTGTGTGTGTGTGTGTGTGTGTGTGACCAGCCGGATCATGGAAGAGCTCTACCCTCTTGACATGGTAGGATATGGGAGCTGGGAGAAAGTGTGTGTGTGTGTGTGTGTGTGTGTGTGTGTGTGTGTGTAAGTGTGGGCTAGTCTGCATGAATGCAGGGCTCATAGAGGCCAGAAGAGGGCACCAGAGGCCCCCTAAAACTGGAGTTAAGGTGGCTATGAGCTGCCTGGTATGGGTGCTGGAAACCCAACTTGGGTCCCCTGGAAGGGCAACAAGCATGTTTAACCACTGAACCATCTCCAGTTGCCTTATACATGTATTTTCTACATGAAACCACATGGTCAGTAAGCTTGCCATTGTTTTAAAGGGCAGTGTGGCTGTGACATCTGTCATCCCATTGATTGCTAGGGGTGGTCCTGGTGTCCTCATAACGGCTCCATCTGTGTCCCGTGAAGACACTTGCTGGTTTGAGGAGGACCTTCTTAGGGGAGGACCAGTGCTTTGTCAAAGATTTACATATAACTGCACTCCTCAGCTAGAACCTCCCAACCAGCTTTCAAGGTCCATTTGCAGAGGAACATGGCAGTCAAGCTTCCGAGACTCAGGGCACACCAAATGAGGAACCGCGCGTGGCGGTCTGCCTTTCTTTTTTATTTTTCCTTTTTTCTTTTTTAGTCACTGTTCAAGGTTTATTTGGTGTCTTCATCGGCATGACACTTGGGTAGTTGGTTGCATTATCCGTATGCAGATCTTACTTCTCATGAACTATTTCAATGTACATTACAGACACATAATACACAAAATAATAATACCCTTTAGAATAGTTATGCACATGATAAGCATAATGGACTTCCACACTGGAGCCAGGTGGTGACTGACTGGGAACTCATTGGCCTAGGCATGCTTGGTGAGGACACACAGCACAGACACAGGCTCACGGCTAATTGAAGTCTGCACGCAACAGCAGTGTGTCTTGGAGACAGTGGGACTGTCACACCAACCAAGTCACCCCTACACAAGTACCACTACACAAGTACCACTTAGCATCAGGCTAGAACTGTGGGAAGTGAGGTTTCCTCCAGGCTACCTTAACACAACCACACTAAGCACAGCTCAGATGAGTAGACAGATGTGTGTGGTCTCCATAGAAACCCTGCTGCAGCCCGGACAGTGAAGCCCTTGGGTATCTGAGGACTGCAGAACTGCAGCTCTTTCTGGATCCCCCAGAGTGGATCTGCACTCTTCTTCAAGCGAGCCTCCTCTTCAGAAGTTAGAGTCACCTTCACAACATCTGAGATTCCATTTTGTCCCAGGATACAAGGGACACCAAGGAAGGCATCATCCTTGATTCCATAGAGACCCTTAATCATGGTAGAAATGGGATGCACCTGCCTAAGATTCTTCATTGTTCTCTCGGCCAAGTTGGCCACAGACAGGCAATGGCCCAGGACGTGTAACCCTTCAGTTTGATCACCTCACAGGCACTGTCAACCACCTGCTTGTGCGCCTCCTTCCACTGATGCTTGTCAGCATCAGTGCCCAGCTCTGGATTCAGATTCTTCAGGGAGACACCAGCGACATGCACACCGCTCCACATGGGCACATGGGTGTCTCCATGCTCCCCTAGGACCCATCCATAACAGCTTAGCGGGTGAACACCCAACCTTTCTCCCATCAGGTAACAGAACCGAGCCGAATCCAGATTGCAGCCACTTCTGATAACTTGATTTTTGGGAAAGTCACTTATTTTCCAAGCCACGTAGGTCAAGATATCCACTGGGTTTGAAACAATAAGTGGCTTGCAGTTTGGACTGTACTTCACAACATTGGGAATGATGAACTTGAAGATTTTCATGTTTTGCTGGACCAGATGGAGTTGGCTCTTTCCCTCTTGCTCATGGGCCCCTGCTGTGACAATGACCAGCTTGGAGTTTGCAGTCACACTATAGTCTTTGCCAGGGACAATTGTTGGTCTTCTGAGGAAAAGGCTGCCATGCTGGGGATCCGTCATCTCTCCCTCCAGCCTGTCTTCCATGCCATCAACAAGGGCAAGCTCAGCTGCCAAGTCCTTCTTTAGGGTGCTGATGGCACAAGCCAAGCCAACAGCGCCAACACAAACAACCGCCATCTTGTTCTGGGGCCTGTTCTTCCTTAAGTACATTCACAATCAGCTGGTCCTTGAGGGTTGCCATCTTGGACTTTGAACTTTTGGGGACCGCTGGTGCACCATGAGCAGCACCGGGTGAACAGCTGCGGGGTTTGGTATTGGCGACACAGACACAGGCTCCAGCACCTTCTTTCTTCCTTCCTTCCGTTCTTTCTTCTTCCTTCTTCCCGTCCTCCCTCCTCCTTCCTTCCTCCTTCCTTCTTTCTTTCTTTCCTTCCTTCCTTCTTAATCTCATCTAAAGACAGGACAGGAACTGATGTAGACCTTAAGTAGCAGAAGACAAAGACTCCTACTTTTGTTGTTGTTTAGACGAAGGCTCACTGCATAGCCCACACTGTCCTGTAACTCACTGTGTAGTCCAGGTTGGACCATAGAGGCCCATTGGCCTTTGGTTCTCAAGTGCTGGAGACTCCTGCTTGGAAACATGAGCTCTGAAGTAATTTTTACATAGAGGAGATGCGTTTTCTCTTAGACCCAAGGCAGGAAGCTCAGAGGTGGACCCCTGTTACCAAATAGCCTCCTGCACAGACTATCAAGTTGCTGTTCCTCAGAGTCGGGACAGTAGTATGAGCACTGCCTCTAGCATCCAAACCCAAACTGTAGAAGAACTCGGGTTCCCGAGCTCCCTTATTCGACCCCCCATGGTCTGTTTGTATCTCTTTTTAAACAGAAACAAGTTGGCTACATCATGCAGGAGTTCAATGATGCAGTTCAGAGAGCAGAAAGACTGGCGGTTGCTAGGGAGAACTTCCTTATGGGAAAAAGCAATCCTCCCAATCTCGTGACACCAGAAGACCTGACGATCTACACCAGGTGGTTAGTGTGCCACCTGCACTCGCTCGGGACCATCCATCACTACCTGCAGGTAGTAGGGTCCATAGTGTGCTGGGCCAGGCCCTCTGGGGGAGGGGGGACCTCCGTGTCCCACACCACCCGGGCTGGGGTGTTCACTGCCCCATGCTCTACCTACAAAGACAAGAAGACAGTGGGGGTTGCTGGAGCCTGGAAAAACACCCTCTTTGAAGAGTGCACCAGTCTGGCTCTTTCAGAAATCCCTCTCCCACCTGGCTTTATGCCCACTCAGTTCTCGCTTCCATTGGTTTCTCAGAATTCATGTTCTTCATGAACTGAACACACTGCTTCTCGGCAGTATTTAATGAGGAAATCGTGTCAGGATACTTGTCCTAGGCCCACACAGCAAAGACCTGGTCTTAGCTGAAATGTGAACAGGGTCCTGGGCTGGTGGGAAAAGGGTAAGTAAATTTCTATTACAATCTGATAGGGTAAGAAAGAAAAGTTGGGCTGGACATGGCGATGCTGCCTCATGCCAGCGCCCCCTAGTGGCTGTGTCAGGAGAGTGAACACTTGTCTCAGAAAATAATAATGACTAATAATAAAGCAAATAGTAAGGGGGCTGTAACAGCTCTGGGGTAGAATATGTACAACAGCCTGAGCAGGGCCAGAGAGAGAGTGCTCAGGGGAAAGCAATGGGGTGAAAAGTGTTACGTGGGAGAGACCCTGTCAGGTTAGAAGATCACAAAAAAGTAACTTGATCTCACTTCCAGAAACCTGGTGGTCACCCGACTCCATCCCCTCCCAAAGCCAGCACCACTGTGGGCTATACTGCCTCTCCTTAGTCATGTGACAGTACAAACACGTGCTCCTAAATCTGGATCCTTCACTTAAACCAGGTCCTCTCTCTTCACACCCACACCGAGCCTTTTCCATGTCGTGTCCACCGCGGGACTGGCTGGAAGGGGGAGGGGCTCCCAGCTCTGCCCTCTGTCACTGTGCAGGTTTCTAAGGTCCTACCCCAGCCTCCCTCGGTCCCCCCCCCCCCCCCTGCTGCAGCGTCTGCGAACACCGGCTGACCCGTGTGCTGTTGGTCATGTCTCTGTAGGCCCTCCAGTACTTGCCTATCTCCAGAGACCTGCGGAGTCCAGCTGGTAACCGAGTCTCTGAACCTCATGAGGAAGAAGAAAAAGTCTGTGTCATTGACCTTAACTCTGCATCTCCTGGTCCTATAGATGCCAGCATTTCAGGTAAGAAATTGACCCTTGCTAGGGTAGAAGGGAGAAAGGAGGGCTGTGGTTTTGTGCATGGCCTCTTTTGTCTCATGATCTTCCAGAACATTTCCTATATGCCAAAAAGTTACATCTTTAATAAACTGTAATTTAATATTAATATTTCCTGATGGAAGACAGTGGCACAGACTTGTCTTCATCTTTGGAGCTACCACTTTAAGAAGCAAGTGTACTGTCCTCTAGGCCCATTCTGTCGGGCTCACTTCCCTGGGCCTTAGTTTACTCATTTCCATATTAATCCTTCCGGATGAAATGACCTCTAAGACTCTGTATCACACAATTTAGTGCCACATGATTCAGTATCACACAATTTAGTATCACACAGTTGCTAGGGGATTTATGTCAGAGCCAATTCCACATTACAGAGAACTGAGGAGCCTGGCCAGGTGCCTGCTCTGCGGGCGCTTGAGTGACATCCCATTATATACAGAATGTCCCAGGAGCATCACCTGGACAGGCAGCCAACCCCAGTTGTAGGGACAAGAACAGCTTCTTGATTTCTTCAGGAAAAGCAAATGGAGGCGCTGGTTAATTTGTCACTGGCATGATTCACTTACCACAGGACCACAGATAAGCTGGCCCCACTGTCTTAAGGTTTCTATTGATGTGGCAAAAACACCGTGACCAAAAAGCAAGTTAGGGAGGAAGGGGTTTATTTGACTTGCACTTCCAGATCATACTCCATCACTGGAAGAAGTCAGAACAGGAACACAAGCAGGCCTGGAACCCAGGGGCAGGAGCTAATGCAGAAGCCATGGAGGGGAGCTGCTTACGGACCTGCTTTTCATGGCTTGCTCAGCCTGCTTTCTTGTTGAAGAACTCAGGGCCACCAGCCCAGGGATGGCACCACTCACAATGGACTGGGCCCTTCTCCATCAATCACTAACTGAGAAAACGCCCTACAGCTGGATCTCATGGGGGCATTTCCCCAACTGAGGCTCCTTCCTCTCTGGCTTTGTGTCAAGGTCAAGCTGGCATACCAAATCAGCCAGTACACCCACCAAGAAAGTCCCCGAGAGGTCTAGTGGGCTTCCCTGTCTAGTGGGCTTCTCTTGTGGGCTGTGAGACTGTGAGGAGCCCTCGGACCTTCCCAAAGAAAGCTCAGTGGGGGCCAGGGACTGGCCGGCATGAAAGCCCAGCCAGGTAAGGTGCCTGCCGCCATGGGGAGAGCAGAATGGCTCCCCGCCAGCAGAGAGCCTGCTCTCAACTCTCTCCAAGGCCATCTATGGTCTCTCCGATGCACTCCCTGGTCTTCCAGTTCTTGATTTTGGATATTTTTCAGGGCCAGGGACAACACGTGCTGCGTTTGTCCTGCCTCAGCATGTGACAGAGAAGGAAGAACTAAACCCTCAGCTGAGGCGCCTGCTCTCGCATTTCCACATCCCCCAGGACTCACAAAAGCTGAGTGACTCCGCCAAGGAGATGGAACTCTTCTCTTTGGTACACAGCAGCGTACTCTCACTATACATATGAATGGTTGGCCGAAAGAGTTAGTATTTGCTACAAAGTTGCTTGTCTGTCTGTCTGAGACAGGATCTCGTAGCACAGGCTGGTCCTTAAACTTCCCATCCTCCTGCCTCTGCCTCCCTAGTATCTGGATTACAGACAGGTGTGTGCTGCCATGTCCGACACAAAGTTGTTTATTCCTTCTGCCAAAGCTTGTTTCTGGAGTAGTAAGATACAACAGTAACAATCCATCTTCCGGTTGGGAGGAGCTTCCTTTCCCCAAGAATAATTAATGACAGTACACCAGAGAGATTTTACCTTTTGGCATTTTTTCTCCTGTAGATTTTAAAGAAAAAGGTAGGAGGACACAGCCTGAAGAAGGTATAAATGTACTCCAGGTTACACAGACATGCCTGGAAGTGCTGTCAAGCATGTGCAGCCCTCTGAATCTAAGAAGGGATCACAGTACTCTTGACATACTAAATAAGGTTATACCCAATCGAGCACACCGTGTGTTCTGAGGGGTGCAGTCCTGCCCCCTTCCCACTGTGTCCCATACTGCACTTTCTTAAACAGGAAACCTCGTAATATCAAAAGCCATGTTAGGACTCCCTTCAATGGGAGAAGTGGATACAGAGCTGAAGATTTAAAGCTTGAACAACTTATAGTACACTTTCGACAATGCGGTATCTGCTAGTTCTAGTTTTACATTGTTTGCAAGATAAAAACTGACTGACCTGAAGAGGATGGAGTCTAACCTGGGTGCTTCTGAATGACCTTGAGGTGTGAGGTCTCCACTTTCTCTTCGGACACCCTGTGCCTGTGCTGGGGACGGAACTCACTTGGAAGAGAGCTGACCTTGAGGGCAGTCTTGCATTTGTTTTCCTGCCAGCATCATTTACCAGGACTGCACTGTTTTGTCTGTAAGGCATTCGTCTGGACCGGGCATGATCTGAAGATGGTGGTGTGTAGCTTTTGCCTCCCCTCCTCTTCCTTCTGCTGCCTCTTCCTCTCTTTCTCCACTCCTCACCTCTCCCTCTTTCTCTCCCTCCCTCCCTCCCTCCCGCCTTCTCTCCCTCCCTCCCTCCATCCTCTACCCCTTTCTTCTCCTCCTTCCCCTCTCCTCCTTCTGACATTCTTATATGTAGCCCAGTGTCCTAGTTAGGTTACTATTGCTGTGATGCAACATCACAACCAAAAGCAACTGGGAGAGGAAAGAGTATTTGGCTTACACTTCGGGATCACAGTCCATTGTGGGATGCCAAGGAGGAATTCACACAGGACTGGAGCTGCTGCAGAGGCCATGGAGGGGTGCTGCTTACTGACTTGCTCCTTGTGGCTTGCTCGACCTGCTTTCTTACAGAACCCAGGACTGCCAGACCAGGAATGGCACCACCCGACATGGGCTGGGCCCCTCCCCCATCAGTCACTGTCAGAAAGAAATGCAGTGGAATAGACTGTAAATAGACTACTCCATGGGCAGACAGGAAGGTTAATTGACGATAATGCAGCCAATACAGTCTTTGGGGGCGGGGCTTGCCGAAAGAACATCAAACAGGCACAAAAGCCTTGCCGGTTTTTTAAGGACATAGGTAGCAGCCAGGGGTGGGGGTATGGCCTGGGAGCGAGCATGGGAACTTTGAACTATTACAGGCCTGTTTGAGTTAATCAGGAACTAGATGCTTCAGTGGCAGAGATAGTTGTCTGCAGGTGGCAGATAATCGTGCTTTATACGGTTTCTGAAGAATGCTGAGTTTAGGTAACAGTCCTTCTGTTTACCCAGTCAGAGCCCTGCCTCAGCGGAGCCCAGACTGTCATTTAGGACACAACAGCACTGCCATCTAGGTGCCACTTTGAACCTAATAATTATTAAGGAGGAAAATGCCCGTCAGCTTGCCTACAGTCAGATCTTACAGAGGCCTTTTCTCAGCTGAGGCTCCCTCCTCTCTGATGACTCCAGCTTGTGTCAACTTGACATAAACCAGCCAGTACGCTCGGGCTGTCTACAAACTCACAGTCCTTTTGCGTCAGCCTCCCAAGTACGGGATTACAGATGTGTACACCATGCCCAGAACTTTCATCCCTTTTGTATAACCAATGATAAGAGAATGTGAGGCCCTGAACAGCCCAACAAAGCCGCCTTGCTCTCCCAAAGAACAGCTTAAGTCCTTTCATGAGAATAGCGGTTCGTGGTTTGGTTTTCTTAGCTGTGCTCTCAAGATGATCAGTCACAGTCCAGTGTGTGTGTGTGTGTGTGTGTGTGTGTGTGTGTGTGTGTGTGTATGTTTGTATGCATGTGCATTTGCATGCGTGTGTGTATGTTTTGTGTGTGTTTGTGTGCACGTGTTTGTATGCATTATTTGTGTGTGCACATGTGTGTTTGTGTGTCTATGTTTGTGTGTATGTATGTGTTTGCGTGCGTGTACGTGTGTGTGTGTTTGTGTGTGCGTGTGTGTATAAGTTTTTTTTCTAGTGCTTTCATGCTGTAAGACAGGGTCAGCCAACTGCAGCCTGTAGCCCACCAGCTGTTCTTCCAAAATAAAGCTCTATTGACATCCAGCCGTCTTGGTCCATCCCAACTACTATAACAATAGGCCACAAACTGAGGGCTGAAACCAACTGTTTCTTATTGTCTTGATGGGTGAGATTGTTGCAGTGAGATTTGGCACCTGGGGAAGGTTCACTCTCTGGCTCATAGACACTGCTTTTGTGTGTGTGTACCTTCCTAGTAGAAGGGCAAAGGTCTCCCAAGGCCTAATCCTATTCATAAGAACTAATTACATCCCCAAGTGCCTTCTCCTAGTCTCTTCACCTCAATGGTTAGGATTTCAACACACTATGGAAACACAAATATTCAAATGTCAGCAACCTCATGCCTGTTTATGTATTATCTGGGGTTACTTTCATACCACAGTGGCAAACTTGAATAGTTATGGTCTGCAAAAACTGAAATATTAGCTATCTGACCTGCTAAGAGTGATTCTGCAGCCCAGCTCTAGACTAGTGTCTCTTGTTAACCCTACCAGGATGGATGTGTCTAAGGCTGTGCTGTGCAGTGTGTCTACTTGTCACACGTGGATGTTGAGCATAGGAAGTATAATTAGTGCAAGTGAGAAACTAAAAGTTCCCAGTAGCTTAATTTTAGCCAACTTATAATCAAATGTTGATAACCAATCACACATAGCTAGAGGCAACGGTGTGATATTGTGGCTAGGGGCAACGGTGTGACATCATCTACCCCCAGAAGTTCCAGCATCAACTAGAGGAACCCTCAGCCCTGAAACTCGCAAATGTGCAGACTTCTTGGCTTGGGCTTTGGCGCCCAGCATGGTAGGTAGGTTCTTCACATGGATGTGCATGTTTGCATGTGTTTGGGGCTACACACGCATGCCATGCCATTTACCATTTTACCCTTGTTAAGTGGCATTGAGTTTCACATTGTTGGTAATGGTCACAGTGCACTCTGGCTGAGCACCAGTGGGGGAGGAAGGCTCTGGCAGTAGGAAGTGAGCCTTGTAGCCTCTGCCTGCAGGCGAGAGGTGAGGGCTCAGAGGCGAGGGGTGAAGGGAATAAGGCAGGTACCTTAAATACTGACAGTGTAGTATCTGGGCTCTTCTCACTGGAGATCTCTTAGGCTGCTGAGAGAGGATTTATTTAACCCTTAGATGTTCTAGTTTACCAGGTGGTCAGAAACCTGAATCTCTTCCAGAGGTGGGCAGTTCACTTCCTGCTTATATCTAAAATCCAATTCAATGTATGCAAGTGGATGTGCTAATGCTCTTCCGATCTTGGAGCAGACATTCAGCACAGGTGGCACACACTGGCCATGACAATGTACCGAGAACATGTGCCATGCAGACGTGTCCACGCTGGGTACTGTCACAACAAAGGCCTCTTCATGAGTCAGTTCCTTCCCAGGGCTATTTCAAAGACAACCAGGAGGGGCTGGAGAGATGGCTCAGCAGTGAGGATCCCAGGCCTCCCTTCCAGAGAACCTAAATGTGATTCTCAGCTCCCAGGGTTCTTCACAACAATTTATACCTCCAGCCCCAAGGGATCTGACACATTCTTCTGCCCTCCTAGGGTACTGCACACATGTGACACATACACATACATGCAGGCAAAACACCCATGCACATAAAACACTAAAAGATAAAGGTGTGTGTGTGTGTGAGAGAGAGAGAGAGAGAGAGAGAGAGAGAGAGAGAGAGAGAGAGAGAGAGAGAGAGAGAGAGAGAGAGAGAGAGAGAGAGAGAGAGAGAGAGAGAGACTCAGTAGCTGTTTGAGATTCGAGGTGAGGTATTTTCCTTGAGCTCTGCTTCTTTCCTCTTTTCTTTTGTGTGTGGACATGTGTGTGATAAACTTGTATGTGTGTGTGCAGTACAGGCCTGTGCGTATGTGTGTGAAGACCAGAGGAGGAAGTTGGTGTCCTGATCTATCCTGACCTTATTCCTTGAGACAGGGTCTCCCATTGAATTTGGAGCTGGGCTGGGGGCCAGCAAGACTTGGTGAACCCAACAGTGATGGGGTTACACACACGTGGTCATGGAGGGTTTTTGTTTGTTCCTTTGGTTTTTGTGTTTTGTTTTTAACATAGGTGCTAGGATCCAAACTCAGGTTCTCATGCTTGGACAACCTTCCTCTTCCTCCTCTCTCTGCTCTTCTCTCTCCTCCTCTCCTTCCCTCCCTCCTCCTCCTTTCCCCCCTCCCCTTCTCCTTTCAATTTAATTTGAAAACTCCAGAGCAGACAAGCTATAAATCTCAGCAGCTGCCTGAGAAGGAAGGTCAGCGATGTGGTAGACAAGCACCCACACGTGGGGAAGATGGCGTTAGACAGAGAGCAAAGCCCGGAGTGTCAGGTAAAGCCTGCTTAGAATAGGCGTTGAAGAAGAAAAGGAAAGGTATGCTTTCGGAGCAATTGGGAAAAGCCAGCACCTTCTGAAGGCCCGAGGTTGTAGCTCTGTAGGCAGCTATGCTGAGGCTGGGGATTCTGGGAAGGTCCCATCCCTCTCCTGTTAATCTCTTTAGGTTTCCCAGAGCTTCCAGAGCATCTTCATGGAGCAACAAAGGATGCGAACATTCCCAGACTACAAGGCCGGGAGGGCTAGCCTGCAGAATTTGTCAGGACCTGCTACTACCCTGAAAAAGAGAGCCACCTGGATTCCCTTCATGAAGGTAAGAGGCTGCAGGGACCGATAGCAATGCCAAAACCTTCCCTCCAACTGAGGGTCCCCTTTGTTCCCCTCCTTAGTACCCAGAGCAAATTGTTCCCTTGGACCTAGGGGAGAGGCTGTCAGTCCTCAATGGAGACCATTCAAAACCCCATCCTGTGCAGTGAGTCTTCCCAACTCCTCCACCTTAGCTCTTCCATGCACTGAGTCCTCCCCACTCCTCCTCCTTAGCTCTTCCATGCACTGAGTCCTCCCCACTCCTCCTCCTTAGCTCTTCCATGCACTGAGTCCTCCTCACTCCTCCTCCTTAGCTCTTCCATGCACTGAGTCCTCCCCACTCCTCCTCCTTAGCTCTTCCATGCACTGAGTCCTCCCCACTCCTCCTCCTTAGCTCTTCCATGCACTGAGTCCTCCCCACTCCTCCTCCTTAGCTCTTCCATGCACTGAGTCCTCCCCACTCCTCCTCCTTAGCTCTTCCATGCACTGAGTCCTCCCCACTCCTCCTCCTTAGCTCTTCCATGCACTGAGTCCTCCCCACTCCTCCTCCTTACCTCTTCCCATGCACTGAGTCCTCCCCACTCCTCCTTAGCTTTTACCATGCACTGAGTCCTCCCCATAGCTCTTCCCATGCACTGAGTCCTCCTCACTCCTCCTCCTTAGCTCTTCGTTGAAGGCCAGTCACACCATCATCTGAGCTGGAATTTCCTCCAACACCTGAAATCTACTCTAGAGATCTGCATTTCTTTCTTCTTTTATTTATGTATCTTTAATCTGTTTCCTTAAAAGGCAGAATTTTCATACAGCCCAGATTGGCCTTGTTCCCTATACTATGGAGCAAAGGATGGCCTTGAACTCCTGACTCTCTTGTCCCAGTTCCTTTTGTGCTGGGGTTACAGGCATGTGTCACAATGCTTAGCTAGAGCTCCTCCCAACACACACACACACACACACACACACACACACACACACACACACACTGTTTTTGACAGAGGCTCTTACTCTGCAGCCAAAGCTGTCTTGAACTCATGGCAATTTTCCTGTCTTGGCCTCTAAGTGCTGGGGTTTACGGTTCATGTCACTATGCCAGGCTCCCTTTTCACCTTTAATGATTTCATGTGTGACAAGGACAAAGTCTGATACTCAGGAATATAATTGATTTGTGTAAAGCCGGCACTTTAGTTTAAACTATTACTGGTTATTTACCATGTCAGCCCTTGGTATTGAAAGTGCAGGATTCACAATGATGCCTAAGCACCAGGATTAACCCAGTGGCAGTAGTTGGTGAGAACTACAGCCACGTCTCAATAGCCAAGCAGTCTGTGTTCTAGAAAGAACCAGAACACTGGGTTAACAGATCCAGAAATCCAAGTTAGGATCCTGCGAGCCTGTGGTCAAAGCATCAGTTTTCAGAACCCTGCCAGCTCTGGCAGCACAGCTCGTAGTTCCAGAACTTGGGAGGTTGACTTGGGAACATTGCCACCAGTTCAAGAACAGCCTGGCTTCACAGCGAGTTCCAGCCCAGCTTGGAACATAGTAGTTCAGCTGCAGACTGAGGCCTTATTTCACGAGAGAGAGAGAGATAGAGAGACAGAGAGAGAGAGAGAGAGAGAGAGAGAGAGAGAGAGAGAGAGAGAGAGAGAAGAAAACACACCACAACCCAGAGCCTTGCTTCATTGTATTTTTGTTTAAAGATACCCTGTTTAATACTTATCATTGATTAATAAACATTGAGCTTCATTACTGGAAGTACTAGAACTCTGTGTGAATGATGTTTATCTAACATGACTTCTCCAAAGACGGTGTACAACCTTCTAGTGTGGGACTTAAGATAGCCAGCATTCTAGGATTCTCTTCAGGGACTATTTTCACCTAAAGGACAACGGACATGGCTCTAAACAGCACAAGGGGGCACTTGTCTCTAGTGTCCATAAGGCAGAGTGTTGTCTTATTCAGCCCTGGCTGGGGATGTGCCCACTGTCCCCAACCCTGTGCCAGTGTACGAATGACCTGATCGACGTTGGGGGTCACAAGCACATTTTAATGAGTAGGCAAAATTGAAAATGTAGACTCCATGTTTGATAAGGCTTGATGTAGTGATACATTTGCCTGAGCACCTGTAGCAGAGGCCACACACACTTGATGTTTGCCATCATTGTGTGTAGTTTTGAATCAAGCCCAAGCCCTCTTCTTTAGACTAAACAGGGAATTGCAGCAATACATTCGCCTGAGCATCTGTAACAGTGGCCATGCCCCTTGGACATGGCTAGAGGTGTGGATGTGACCAGATAAAGGGAGCATAGGGAGACAGGGTCTACATCCTTGGAGCGGGAGCAACGTGACAGTCACTTGTTTTCTTTGTAAATTCTTTCCCCAATAAAACACCATCAATTATTCTACCAGGTTTGGTTAATTCATTACTACTCACCTATAGCTTGATTGTTATATGAAAGAAAGGAAACTCTTTTTAAAGATTATATATACATATACATATACATGTACAATTTAGTGTGTGTGTGCCTGCCTGAGTAGATGTTTGTGTATCACAAGCCTGCAGGCACCACTGTAGGCCAGAAGAGGGCACACGATCCCCTGGGATTTTAGCTGTAGGCAGTTGTGAGCTGCCAGATGTGTGTGCTGGGAACTAAACTTGGAAAGTCTGGTGTGACTGGCTGGTGTTGCTGTTCATCCAGGCTTCTTTGACAAAGTACAGTGAAGTGTGAAGTGTGCAGCTATAAGCAAAGTCATTTCCTTTTCACATTTTGGGAGGCTGAGCAGGTCTGCCTGGCAGCACAGCTGGGAATCTGGCAAAGACGCTCTTCCAGGCTACAGACTGCTGACATTTGCCATTCCTTTACAAGGTGGCAGAGACGCGCAGCAGCCTCTTATGAGGGACTGGTCTTCATCCCTCAGGCTCTGCTATCCTGAACTTATCTGCTCTCAGGTTGCACTCGCTTACAAACGTCATGTTGCGGGGTGGGTTTCAACGTGAACCTCGGAGAGAGACACAGGTCTCCCAGAAAAGAGGGCTGAAAGAAAGGAACCGAAGATTGTCCTCCATCAGGGGCTTGAACTCAGCAGGTGGGACAGACCCTGTGACTTAGAGTTCACCCCAAACATAGACATTGCGGATGTACTGGGCAGAGCAGTCAGGAGCGTCCAACCTTTTGACACTAAAACATGGCATTGTCATCTACACAGTTTGTGCTTGGGAACTGCACAACTGAGTTACGAAACTCTGGTTTTAAGAGAGTTTATGATTTTGTGTATGGCTATATTCCTAGATATTCTTGGCCACAGGTGGCCTCGGGCAGTCTGAACATACCTATTTGTGCTGGGACATGAAATGAGAAGTTTCAGCATGTTGATGATGGAAAGTATAGCAATGGAGCTTAGTTTAGAGACGGTTTCTTAAGAGGAAAGTTTTAAACGGCGAGTCCTCAGGACTCTGTGGTGACATCTCCCCTCTGCTCCAGTGCTGGCGGCTCTAGGCTCCTTCCTGCCTGTGGTCTGCACAGTGTAGTCCAGATGGAACTCCTGTTTGGCATGGGCCAAGTGCCACCAGCACTGCTACCTCCTTTCACAGCCCTGTAACCCGCGCAGACCCTTCCCAAGGCCTCACATGCCCGGCCAACCTCCAAGCAGGGGCACAGGTCCACTTTGGCAGGTCCTCGGGTCTTTCTCTGTGTGGCTTCTATCGAGACCCATGAACACATTCGTCTGCTAGGTCAAGCCGAAGTGTGATCCCTGGCAGAAGAAGATGTTTACCAGACTCAAAGAACGGAGAAGAATAGATGAACTAATGCATCTCCAGTCAAAGATTTTGAAGGTGAGAAAATAGCCATAGTCTATTATAGGTAAGAGCCTTGTTAAATGTCATCCTCAAAAAATGTGGAATTTTCTTTCTCTTAAACAAACAAACAAACCCAGTGTCAGTAGCACACGCCTTTAATCCCAGCTCTTGGGAGGCAGACAGGTTGATCTTTGTGAGTTCAAGGCCAGCCTGGTCTACAAAGTGAGTTCCAGGACAGCCATGGTGGTTATACAGGGAAACCCTGTCCGGAAAAAAAACAAACAAATACAAAGAACAACAACAACAACAAAACAAACAAAAAAACCAAAACATGTGTTCACTATAAAGACTTTATTTTTGTGCTTTCTTTTTCTTTCAATGCTCCCAGCCATCTGTAAATCCAGTTCCAGGGGATAAAATGCCTCTTCTGACCTCCAGAGGCACCAGACACATATGTGGTACACACACATATATTCAGGTAAACACTCAAATACATTAAATAAAATAAATCTAAAAGTTTTAACTCACAAATAATTGCCAAATCCATTATTAGGAGGCATTTCTGTTTCTTTCTGAGAATTTTACACTTTAGGGCTCGACTCCATGTCTTTAATTTATATAAGTCAACATCTACATACAAGAATCAAACTTCTCTATTCTGCCTGTGGCTATTTGGTCCTCCAGCATCATTAATGCATACAGTATCCTTATCATTAATGCAGACAGTATCCTTATCATTAATGCAGACAGTATCCTTTTCGCACTTGGTGGTCTCTGCATCCTTGACCATGTATGTGGGGTTTACCAATGAGCTCCATTGACCTGTAGCCTGTCCTTATACCAACACCAACCATTTTGACTGCTATTTATTTTCAATATTTTCTGAACTCAGGGAGCACGAGTCCTCCAGCCTTGCTGTTTTTCAAAATTGTTTGGCTCTTGGGGTTCCTTCAGATTTCCCATGAGTTTTTGGTTTTTTTTTTGGTTTTTTTTTTTTTTTTTTTTGGTTTTTCGAGACAGGGTTTCTCTGTATTGTTTTGGAGGCTGTCCTGGAACTCACTCTGTAGAGCGGGATGGCCTTGAACTCACAGAGATCCCCACCTGCCTCTGCCTCCTGAGTGCTGGGATTAAAGGCGTGCGCCACCAGTGCCCCCGGCCCCCATGAGTTTTATGATGAATTTTCTTATACTTATAACACATGTCTCTGGGATTTTGATAGGATTGGAATAAATGACCTTTAGAATTCTTTGTGGTATTAAAATGATGCAGTAGTTTGCCTGTCATTGGTAGGTAGGTTCTGGGATCATTATTCAATTCTTCATCTCCGGAAGAGAAGGGATGCTTATTCACCTGCTACACACTGGCCGTTTTACAGTCATCCAGGAAGAAATGTCATTAGCGTTGGCGTCAGGTTGACACGCACTGCTCTGTGTGGCAAAGGCATCAGTACAGCGGGGGAAGAAGGACAGCGGGGTAGAGGACAGTCTGTGTCCTTAGGAAGCCCTGCTGGCCTCGTGCCATGCTGCTGCCTCCTTGTCCACCTCCTGCCTCCTCCTAACAGAGGACAAACTTGAACCCAGAGCTGATGGGGTTTCTCTTTTCACCAGAGCAGCACTTTAAGGATGCTCTCTGATACTGTGAGGATGCTCTCTGATGTCCTGGAGTCTGCCTCTGACTTTTAAAGAAGCTGGCATGTGTCTCTGAATTTCTGTAGTGTCAAATGGATGCATATATTGAGATAATGATAACGTCTGAGTTAATTTTTAACAGGGGTCTCGTGTATCCCAGTCTGGTCTCAGACTCACTTGTGTAGCTAAGGCTGGCCTTGCGTGTCTACTCCTCTGGCACCCAGCTCTCAAGTGCTGGGATTACAGGTGTGTGCCACCCATGGCAGGTCCACATGGCAAGGCAGAGAGAACCTATAATTGCATGCATGCTAGCCAAGCACTCTGTTGACTGAGCTATGTCCTCAGCCTTAATGCTTTTGAAAGAATGAAGTCCCTTAAGGCTCCTTCCAGATTCCTGAGAAAGGGATCCAGGGGCCAGTGACACGGTGCAGTAGACAGAGGCCCTGGCTTCTAAGCTCAACAACTTGAGTTTGATCCCCTGGACCCACATGATGGAAGGAGAGAACAGACTCTTGTAAGTTGTCCTCTGACCTGTGCATACATGCAATAACACCCATGTGCACGTGCATGCTCCTGCAAGAACACATACACACACAGACACATATACATAGACACCATACACAGATATACACGCAGATACACACAGACACATAGACACGACACAAACACAAACACATATACATAGATACAGACATATACACATAGACACACACACATAGACACCACACAAACACACATACACACAGATATACACACACAGACACACACACAGACATGCACACAGACACGCACACATAGATACAGACACGCAGATATACACACACAGACATACACACAGACACACACACAATATAGACACCACACAAACACACATTCAGAGACACACACACAGACATACACACATAGACACACACAGACACACACACGCAGTCTACACACATAGTCACACACACACAGTCTCTCTCCCACACACACAAACAAAATAAATAAATAAATGCATTTTTAAAAAAAGAAACAAGGGACCCTTCTGTGTCTACTAACCGTCTCTTCTCCCTGCTCTACTGCAGATTTCTGACCCCGTGAAAGTCGTGCAAGTGCTCCAGGAACACGCTGCAAGGACAGTGACTATGCCTCCATGTCGCTCATCTTTCACGACTTCTCGGGCTTTGCATCCGTGCGGCTACGATCAAGTCTGGCAGGATATTTATAGCAACCCCAAGCTCTACCAGGTAGGACAGGCACACGCGGTCTCCGGTGGCCCTCCGCCCCCTTTGGCTCCATGCGTCACCTTTAGGAACTCACCCTCTATAACAAAGCTCCATTAAATGCAGGCTAATTATCATAGCCAGGAAAAGGAGCACCCAGGAAAGGGAGCACCCAGATGTGCGCTGTAGCACCCTCGTTCTGCCCACCATCGGCTTCCACAGATCCACGGCAGCGAGGCGGCAAGTCCCGTGCCCACTAGAGTTGAGCGCAGCCAACGGAACCCTGGTGTGCAGTGTGTTAGTGGGGCTGCATAACAGTGTGGGAAACGCCAAAAAGTAAGAAGAGAATTAACAAAAGCAGTGGAAAGAGGCCAGCAGGAGGGTGGTGCTGAGACCGCAAATGTGGGTGAGAAGTACAATGAAGAGAAGTCACCCTTTGGACGAGAGGGAAAGACAGGTTGTGAACCCTAAAACAGACTACAGAGTGCAGTGTCCCGTAAGCGGAGTGCTGTTCGCAGAGGGGTATTTTAGGAGGCTTCGTGGGGGCATGTGCGTTCGAGTGAAGAAGGAAGAGATCAAATTCAGGGAGGTCGGTCAGGTGGCTGTCGTCTGAGAAAGGCAGGAAGCTGAGTCCAGTGAGGAAGTTTCTACAGAGCGTTAGCAGCCTTTTTTTTTTTTTTTTTTTTTTTTTTTACGAGACAGGGTTTCTCTGTATTGTTTCGGAGGCTATCGGTCCAGCCCGGCCTCGAACTCACAGAGATCCGCCTGCCTCTGCCTCCCGAGTGCTGGGATTAAAGGCGTGCGCCACCAACGCCCGGCTTTAGCGTTAGCAGCCTTTTGTCTGGGCCTTGGCGCCATTTGGTTTTGAAACCAGAATTTGCATTATTTGCTTGTGACTTGTTAGCTAACTTAGGACAGGACGACCTGACTGTGTTCGTAGTCTGAAGGGAAATGCTAGAAAAAAAGAGATGGAGAAAGGAAATGGGAAGTAGGCGAGCTTGGGGGAACAAGAAGAGAGGGCATGAAGAAACGGGCAGAGGGATGACCCTGAGAGAGACCGGCGTGGCGTCACACCCCAAAAGTGAGAAAGAGGAGTTTTGCATGAGTAAAAGGTTAGGATGCAGGGCTTGTGAATGGACCCCGCTGGGGGACAGAGGCAGGTGTCTCATTCTCAAGGTTAGGGGGCCCATGAGGAGCTCTGTGGTGACACCTGCAGGACCATCAGGGACAGCCACATAGCTCACAGGTCCTAGGGCTCCTTTCCTTTGACTCTATTGCTTGAACTTCTGAAGTGAGTTGTAGAGTGACGGAAATCGTAGAAAATCAAAGGCATGGGGAAGTTGAGAATGCTGGTGAGTATCCTGGACCATCATCGCAGGATGGAGAAAGTGTGACTGGAAGGGTTCCAGTGGGTTCCAAAGCATCTGGAAGCAAACGCAAATACAACACCTGTGCGCGCGCACGTTCCTGAAACCCCAGGACTTGGGAGGTGGAGGCAGGAGGACAAAAGCCTCAAGGCCACCCTCTGCCACATAGCAAGTTCAAAGCTGACCTAGGCTCTGTGAGATCCTGTCTAAAAATAAGAAGAAGAAAAAAAGAAAAAGAAGGAAAAGAAGAAAGCCTTAAGCCATAATCACAAAATTGTTTTCTCACTGGCTGAGAAAGCAGAGAGTTGGAGTCTGGGGATCTCTTGGTTAAAGGGGGCAATTGAGAGCAAGAGAGGGACAGGGAGGTGGGGTGGAGTTAGGTGTTTGAAAATGAGCAGAAGCGGTGAGGTCCAGGTGCCACAGCCAGCGAGGGACCAGAGTTAGCAGTGCTGGTGGCACTTCAGGCCCGAAGGCGTTTGCCTCTGCAGGACTGTGTGGTTGCAAACAGGGGACTCACGGTGATGACAAATGGTGGCTGTCGTGCCCAAGTTGCAAAGTCCCCGGAGACCACCAGGAAGACCCACCAAATGCAAAAGCAAAGTTTAATGATTGTTCATCCACCCATGACAGGGACCCCGTCTGACTAGCTGTCGCAGCAGCCTCCAGAGGGAGTGAAGTTCCCTGTCGACTGCTAGGTTTTAAAGACAAAAGTTACAGGATTACATCAGTAGGAATGGGTTGGCTTCTGATTGGTTGGCATTTGGGAAACAATCAAGAAATTTTTCAAAGTCATGTTTTTGTGTGTAATACCTGTGTACCCATTATTCTCATTGGTCAGTGCTGAGAGGGAACATTCTGTGGTTTCTATGGCATTGTCTTGTTACTTGCAGGTGGCCTGTTGTACGTAGACACCAATAGTTTTCAGAACTATATCCTGGAGACTACAGGGGATGTTTTGGTTCCCCCTGGAGTTTCTTTTGTGGCCAAACAGTTCCTAGGAGGCTGGAGGGGGGGTCTGGAGTTTGTGTGTGTGTGTGTGTGTGTGTGTGTGTGTGTGTGTGTGTGTGTGTGTGTGTGTGTGTTCAGTTTTGGCCCTAGACTCCAGGAGGCCAGAGGATCTGGAGTTTCCTTGTGTCAGAGGCCTACATGTCTTTTCTGCAGCCTGTCATGGCTGCTAAAGCAGAGGGTTGAGTGAGGGTCTGTTCCCTTCATTTTGTTTACCCCTTTCAGTGGCTTGGCTAGGGGCTGCAGAAAGCCTAAGTTAATACAACTGTATGGGAAGCCATGTTGGAAATGGAAGCAGGAAAGTCTCCTGCTTGCCTTTGCTGGGCCGGAGTAGAGAGGAAACTGACATTTCTATCTGAGCTCAGCTTCTTCCCTGATTGGGGGAGGGGGTCAGTGGTGGGAAGAGAGTCTGGTGGGATGGGCTGAGGTCTTCTCTCATCAAAGCTGAGTTGAAGGCAGTCTCCCAAGTGTTAAAAAGAGAGGGATGGAGGAAGCCAGACACGCTGACTCATATCTACAATCCCAGCACTACGAAGACTGAGGCAGTAGGTTTACAAAGAGTTCCATGGCAAATGAGTTCCAGGGCAGCCTGGGGTAAGAATGAGTTCCAGGGAAGCCTGGGGTACAGAGTGAGATATTGTCTTAAGAGAAATGAGAGGAGGGGAAGAAGGAAGAAGAGGAAAGAGGGAGGAAGGAAGGAAACTACTTCCTTGGGCTATTTGTTGATTTATGAATGTTACTCTTGGAATTGGCCAAAGACAGACAAATATGACCACTGTATTTTCAAGTTGATTTGTGGTTGATAGATGATAAAGAGGCTTAGAATACTCATAAATGTCCAGTTCCAGGGTTGGAGTTTGAGAAAGATAACACACACCTGCCTGCTCCCTCCCTTCTTCCCTCCCTCCATCCATATCTCTCACCCTTTTCCCTCCCTCCCTCCCTCCCTCCCTCCCTCCCTCCCTCCCTCCCTCCCTCCCTGCCTGCCTTCAGCAATGTTTCCCCATGCCTGGAGTTGTCCTGGGCTCCAGGAATGGATTATAATCGATTCTTGACACTGGGATGCAATGTTCAGAAAGTAAATTAAACAGGGACATACAAGCGTTTCTTTGACATGTGAGTGCCATGAGGGCATCTGTGGGGCAGAGAGCAATGATGGAGGGGACACACTCTAACAGAGCTCAGCCCAGTCCGTCTAGGGTGGGGTGTATTTGAGCTAAGAAGACCTGAGGAATGAAGAAAAGTCAGCCACACAAACTGCCTGGAAAAGAGTTTCCCAGCAGATTGGAAGACAACATTGTATAAGAAAAGACATTCTGAGTCAACAACCAACACTTTTTTTTTTTTGCTGAATTTCACCATGAGTCATAATTTGTGACCTCTGCAAGTATGTCTGTCACTGTATACAGAATCAAGGCCGGCATGGACTCATATTACCATTCTGAATGTTGAGTAGCGGTCATGTGAGATCAGGATAGGGTAACAGAGGCACCTGGGAGGGTGCTGGAATCTGGGCTTGGATCTGAGGCGCGGGTGCAGTTTTGCAAGCTTGTAGCTGTCAAGCATTTTTAGCATCTGTGTGCAGGTCAGCGCTCTGACTCTGAAGTTGGCAGGTGGCAGCTAAGAACCTGTGGCAAGTTTCTTTCTGCAGGGCGCTCCGCAGGAGGCAGGGGTGGGCGCCTGGACAGCTGCAACAGCACACAATCGTCAGTTACCTGTAGTGGAACCTCGGAGGGACAGCTGTCTGTGGGCAAAGCTTTTTTAGGGTTTTCACTGTTTAATGAAACGATTGTTTTTTATAGTTCAGGGCTTACAGAAACGTTACAAGGGGTTCTCCCGCCACTGGTATCTTAAGTGCATCTTACAGTGCATCTGTCAGCTGAGGAACCAATCCTGGTGCGCGATGGCAGTAAGCTAGGTGCAGGCAGGCCTCACCCACTTCCCCCGAGAATGTCCCCCTCTGCTCCAGCCTTCTTCCAGGGCCCCCTTTTCAGTCAGTTATATCGGCCTGGTGGTCTGGTCTCATCTGCCTCCGTAGTTCCCAGTCTGCTTGTTTATCATGACTTTGACAGCCTTTCCGAGTTCAGGCCAGGCAGATTGTAGAAGAATCCTTAATGTGAGCTTGCTTTTTCATGGCCACAGTGTGTGGCGTGTGTGTGTGGTGTGTGTGTGTGTGTGTGTGTGTGTGTGTGTGTGTGTGTGTGTGTGTGTACACATTGTGGGTAGAGGTCAATGCCAAGTGTCTCCCTCAACCTCTGTCCACCTTATTTTTTGGGCCAGGATCTCTTGCTGAACCTGGAACTTGATGATTGGCTAGGCCAACTAGCAAGATCCTCCTGCCTCCACCTCCCCAGCACTGGGATTACAGGCCTATGTCACAGGTTTTACATAGGTACTAAAGACTGAACCTGTATTCCCATGTTTGCACAGCAAGCCTTTGGTGACTGAACCATCTCCCTAGCCACTCTGTTGTTCTTTTTAATAGCCTTTCTATTATATGCTACAGGTTACATGACTACCCACAAATAGCTCCTATTAAACACCAGGTCTAGGAACTAGACACATTAAACCAGCTCTACAGAGATTTTCTTCTGATGATGATGCTTAAAGATACAGTTTAAATGGGATGCTCATGGAGGGGTCCATGACAGGAAGCACCACACCCAGGCTACAGAACCAGGGAGCAGTGGTGGAGCCTTTGCCCGTGCTCAGTGGCCACACACCAGAGACAGTCTGCCTGCCACTTCTCAGACTGACTCCAGAGGTGGTGGGAGGCAGTCAGTATGAGGGCCACCCAAGAGTGTGGTACATGGCAGCCCCCATAAGCAAGATCAGCAAAACACAGGGCTCATCAAATTCTAAAAATAAATATTCTCTGGGGCTGGAGAGATAGCTCAATGGTTAAGAACACCGGCTGCTCCTCCAGAGGACCTGGGTTCAATTCTGTTCCCACATGGCAGCTCACAACCATCTGTAACTCTAGTTCCAAAGGATCCAGTGACCTTCTAGCCTCCAAGAACACCAAGCACACATGTGGTATACAGACTTCCATATACATAAAAAGTAAAATAAGCTCCACGGGGGCGAGTCGCGGCGGTGCTGCGTCTCCTCGGCCGCCGCAGGGCCGCTCCTCGCGACAGGACAAGTACTCGGTACTCCTGCCCACCTACAACGAGCACGAGAACCTGCCGCTCATCATGTGGCTGCTGGTGAAGAGCTTCTCCGAGAGTGCGATCAACTATGAAATTATAATCATAGATGATGGAAGCCCAGATGGGACAAGAGAAGTTGCCGAACAACTGGAAAAGATCTATGGGTCAGACAGAATTCTCCTAAGACCACGGGAGAAAAAGCTGGGCCTGGGAACTGCCTATATTCATGGAATAAAACATGCCACAGGAAACTATGTCATCATTATGGATGCTGATCTCTCACACCATCCCAAATTTATTCCTGAATTTATCAGGAAACAAAAGGAGGGTAATTTTGATATTGTCTCTGGAACTCGCTACAAAGGAAATGGGGGTGTTTATGGCTGGGATTTGAAAAGAAAGATAATCAGCCGTGGGGCCAATTTTATAACTCAGATTTTGCTGAGACCAGGAGCGTCGGACTTAACAGGAAGCTTCAAATTGTACCGAAAAGAAGTTCTGCAGAAATTAATAGAAAAATGTGTCTCCAAAGGATATGTCTTTCAGATGGAGATGATTGTTCGAGCAAGACAGTTGAATTACACCATTGGTGAGGTTCCAATATCATTTGTGGATCGAGTTTATGGTGAATCCAAGTTGGGAGGAAATGAAATAGTCTCTTTCCTGAAAGGATTATTGACTCTCTTTGCTACTACATAAAAGAAATTACTCATTTATACTCACCATGCTCATTTCAATTAAATGGCTTTGATCAGTGCTCTCGTGATACATGAGCACAGGTGAGGTGCATTTCATACTGGTCGTTTCTCTGGAGAAACTCCATTTTCAAACTAAAATTTAAAGTTAGGTTTAATGAGCAATGTTCTCAATTTTCATGTATATTGTGCTGCATTAAGACCTATAAATAAATGTATATAGGTTTGTCTAAAAAAAAGTAAAATAAATCTAATTATAAATAAATAAATATTTTTGGGCTAGCAAGATGACTTAAGTGGATAAAATTGATTGCCACAAAAACTTGATGATTGAGTTCAGTCACCAGAACCCGTGGTGGGAAGAATTGAGTGAAATCTGTCCTGTCACACACACACACACACACACACACACACACGCCAAGACATATACATGCCCGTGTCATAGACCACATCATACATGCACACACATACACACTTAAAACATTTTTAAAATGATAGTAGGAATGTGCATATTTATCATGGAAAAATTAGGAAATGCAGAAAAGTATAAGGAAGAAAAAAAAACCTTGACTGTATAATCTGAACCAACAAAGTTTTAAATGTTCCCTTTACATCCTGGCTACAAGGATATTCTCATATAGTTTGCCAGATTTTAAGAAGGAAGTGAGATTAGCAATCAGTAGAAATCCAAAATGCAAAAACCCATGAGCTCAGCCATGTTGAAAAACTGTCACAGGCAGGGTCAAGGGCAAAGATCTGCCTGTCCGGGAAGAAACAGCAGCCACAGAAGGTGTCGGTGACACTCTGGTCTGTCCCGTGTTCCCAGCAAGTTCCTGAGGAATGTTCTGGACTTGGAGCATTTCCTGTGCTTGCGTTCCTTTTCCTGGAGGATGCGAGGCCATCTCTTCTTGCTCAACTGCTTCCTTCCTGGCAGCCCACCGGCCCAGCATTACTCTGTGCTCTATTTGACCATTCTTTCGAGAGTCTTTCTCTGCAATTCCAAGTCACTTTCTGCTCCGGTAAGTTTTGAAGCAACTGAAAAAGTCACAAACCCAAGAGAGAAAGGATGCGGTTCAGAGTATCTTCTGGGCACACAGGTCCATGTTGAACTGTAGCTGGGATCACCACAGGCTCAGCAAGCAAATGGCCTTCACGTACAGCCTTGGGAACTGCGTCCGTCAAACTTAAGTTGTCTGTTAGTCATGGTAAAACAGAATGGTGAGGGAATTGCATCTTCTCCTCCTGGACTGAACACCTGGATATAGGTAGCAAGCACAGAGCTGACTGGCCACTCTGCTCCGTGGAGTCCTTGAACCCGAGATTAGGTAGCCTGAAATAGAGTTCCTGTTCCAAGGAGGAGGGTGGAGAATTAGGGGTGGGGAACCTACTTCTTTGAATATTCCCATAAGTTGTAAGATGGCTGGCACTTTGACCCACTCTCTTCCCTTTCTCTGTTTGTTTAGTGACAGGGCTACAGTGGCCAGTAGGGAGAGGCTTGGGAATGTCACGTTCATCCGAGTGGCCAAGTGCCAGGATGCATATTCTGCTGCTGTAATAAAAGAGGAAACTGGTTGTTTGGAGCATTCCTCAGATGGTGCAATCCCATCAACCAGACACCAGCACACACATAACTCAGACAGGTTTCTACCTCAGCCTCTGCCACTGCATCACCACGAAGGAGTGCATTTTGGGAGAACTGGCGGTGCGTCTAGGAATCAAAGGGAGGCTAACTAGGAGAGGCTGCTCAGAGGCCCAAGACCAGGTCATAAACAGCACTGCCTCCACAGTTGTCCCTGCGTGGTCAGGTACAAGACTGAACCCTTCTGAACACCATGAAAAACGAGCATGTCGGATACTCAACCACACATTCACAGGAGGCCTGACAGGGCCCTTACTAAACTTGGAGCTCATCTGTGTAGACAATCGGTGAGCCCCACGTTCAATAAGAGGCAAAGTGATTGAAGGAGACATGTACATACACAGAAGTGTACATACACATCTTACACACACACACACACACACACACACACACACATACACACACACCCAAACACATACGTGTGAGAGAGACTCAAAGGTCCAAGCATGTATGTTCTTTTTTTTTTTGCATGTATGTTCTTGCTAAGTGTTTTTATCAAATTTATTTTGTAAAGCGAACCATGTGATAGACAAGACATGGAGTGGCTTTTACATAAAGGATGTCAGTAAAACAAAGATTATCTGGGGGAATAGCTACTCCCTCACTTATTGTAGGAATCTAGGTTTTCACATGCTGGCTGAGATTAAAACACCTTTACTGACAGAGCTGCTCTGCGTTGATCATGACGTTTACTTCTATGATGACCTGTGATTTTGTTAATACCATAAATGTTTACAAAATTGAACTAGTGCTATTTTTTGATAGAATGAAAACGTGAAGGATGATGGTCTTTCAGTGGAGCCAAGCAACGAGGACCTCACAAAAATACGTCTCAGTCAAAGTTCTGACGGGTCTGTCAAGCAGAGGACAGAGACAGGGTAATTAAATCGGTGACTTGTGGAAATGGGTTTAAAACTGTGAGGAAAACTGAGTGACTGATGAGTGTGTAGTTCACATGTTACCTCAAAAACATCTGAAGTCAAAATGAAAGAAGAGCTGTGAATTTATGTTTCTCCCTGGGACTGTCTTTCAAAAGACTCAGATGACTTTTTCCTTCCTTTCTTTCTTTCTTTCTTTCTTTCTTTCTTTCTTTCTTTCTTTCTCTTTCTTTCTTTCTTTCTATTTTGGTTTTTTGAGACAGGGTTTCTCTGTGTTGTTTTGGAGCCTGTCCTGGAACCCGTTCTGTAGACCAGGCTGGTCTTGAACTTACAGGAGGTCCACCTGCCTCTGCCTCCTGAGTGCTGGGATTAAAGGCGTGCGCCACCAACACCCAGCGACTTTTTCTATTTATGCATATGGAGCATTTATTTTCCTTCCAGTGCACTCTGAAGAGTGGCTGTTGAAAATCCCCTTTGGTTCAGTCACACACCCCATGGGTGTGCAGATTTTCTGAACTGCTCTGAGAAGCTCTCATACTATGTCTTCCGTGTGCTAAAGGTACAACTATGCCGTGGCCCTGCAGCTGCTGGGCTTGGGTGATGGGACCCAGCCTGATGAGAACCCCGTCCTGATGCGAGGGGCCTACTTGTCCTTCCTGTGTCTGCGCCACCTGCACATCCGGGAGCTACAGGTGCGGGCATGATGGCACAGCTGGCGTCCGATTGTCAGAGCAGGGGATGGGGGTTGGGGGGTGGGGAGGTGGGGGGGTGGGGGTGGGGGGTTGGGGGAGTGGGGGAGTGGGGGCGTGCCTACCTTTAATACCAGCGCTTTCACTCCTGGGTCTCCAGTGTGTGACATCAGTTCCCTCCAGGGACGGTGCCCTTCACAGTAGGGCTGCCCCATGAAGTCCCCATCAGTGTCTGCTCTGCAGGGTTCGGGCAAAGCACAGGGCGGGGCCCTGACTTTGATCTTCCTCTGTTTCAGCGCATCTGTCTAGGAGTTCTTAACTACTTCAGATCCGTTGAGCGAACTTTGACAATGAACACTTCAGGCCTTACCTTGGTTTCAGGGAAACTGGTCCCCACCGTGGGAGATAATTCCTGGGTAAATATGGCAAAAGGAGGCCTGGGCACCTTGCAAGGCCTGGGAGCTCACCATTATGTCCACAGGACACCTGCTGAGCACAAGGTGAGTTACTCTGCTGAGTTTTTAATGCTCTGACTAGTGTGTCTTCCAAACTGTGTTTTCTTAGCACTACAATCACTTAACATAGTGAAGTAATGGAGAGGGCAGTGAGGGGTGTATAAAAGTAACCGAAGCATATTATGTATCTACATAAAAATCACAGTGAAACCATTATTGGCACAATCAATGTATATTAATAAAACGTAGTGAAGGAGGAAGTGACAGTAAGTACAGCTAAACTTGGTGACCAGAGCTGAGCTAGTGACTGTAATCAGAGACTGCGGGAAGCCGAGCAGAAGGAACTTGCATTTCAGTCTCTTGAGCTGTGTGTGCAGTGAGACCCTGTCTCAGACCTAAGCTAACGAACAAACACCCCTGACAGTGACCTCCAGAGAGCAGAATGATACTGGAGCCCCTTCAGGAAGGAAAGAACCAACCACTGGGTAGTTGGTTTCGTGTGAACAGATGTGAGAAGTCCTTTCCTCTCCTGGCCTGAGTCTCACGTTCTCACAAAATCCTTACAAGACTCTGACAATGTGCCACGAACCCTTTTATCTTCAAACCTTTTAAACCAATACCAGATTAAGCCAACGTGTTGACTCATGACTGCAACCCTAGCACTCTGAGGTCGGGGTAGAAATATCTGGAGTTCAAGGTCACCTTCAGTTACAAGGCTGCGGGCCAGACCTGGCTACATGAGACTTTCTAACTCCTGTATCCAAAATGATTCTAGATTAAGCTGGGCATAGTGTTTCACGCACGCCTGCAGTACAAGTACTCCAGAGATGAGGCCCGGGAATTATGAGTGTGAGCCCATCCTGGGTTACAGGGTGGGACCATCTCAAAAAAGAAGAATTGAAAGGCCAGCAAGATGGCTCACTGGGAAAGGTGCTAGGCTTCTGGAATTATGCCCTGAATATAATCCCTAGGACCAACATGGTGGAAGGAAAAAGTGACTCCTGTAACTTGACCTCTGACATCTATACTTGTTATGTGTATATGTGCATTTATTTACACACTCACTGTGGCATGAGCACCCATGTACACAATACAATAAATAAATATCTTGAAAATAAATTAAAAATTTTAAGAAGAATTAAATTAAAAAATAAACAGATTTAGCTTCAGACAAATCATCATCTCAACTGTGGCCCCTGACAGCCTGCTGCACCTATAAGACAGGGAGTTTTCTTGTTAACTGCTACATTACATGTGGAGTCTAGAAAGCTTTCTCTGGGTGGCAAAGCATGTATTTATAATTTCCTAGTAGCTACTGAAAATGTGAAGAAACGTGTGAAATTAATTTTAATGTGACCATGTAACCCCATGTACAAGATACACTATTCTCACATGTAATCGATATGAAAACACATCAGTGGTGAGATAGGGCACATACTTTCATCCGAGTCTGGTGCATATGGCCTACAGGAAGCGTGTTGGCTTGAGACCGCCATATTGGACAGTGCAGCTCTGGATCTCGGGAGTATTTTATTTCCCCACCCAGTCGTGTAGACTCTTCCACTCAAAGTCCAGGACAGCATTCCCCTTCCCCTCCTTCCCCGAGCCCTTGTACCTCCTACCCCTCACCACACACAGACTTCCGTGCTGATCGTCTCACTCCTCAGGCTCCTTACTCCTTAGCTCAGTCACAGACCTGCTTGGCTTACTCCTTCATGCACCTGTGGAGGAGGCGCCAGACCTTCAGACAAACACCTGTGCAACACAAGCGCATCTTTCTCTTTCCTCTGCTGACCCTGCCACAGCTGTATGATAGATGCTGTAGTCAGATTTTTCATTGTGCTGCCAGCTCACAAATAATGGCACAGACACTTACTAATTGTGAAAGCTTAGGCTTGTTCCTAACTACCTCTTATAACTTAAATTAATCCATTTATATTGACACACATTCTATCACTAGCATTACCTCTATTCCGTCTTGCATCTTTTGCTTCTCTGTGTCTCCTGGAGTCTCCCCTGCACCTTGATTCCTCCTCCTCTTCTTCTCTCTCCCTGGAAATCCCACCTATACCTCCTGCCTAGCTATTGGCCATCCAGGTTTTGTTACACCAATCACAGCAATATTCCACAACAAGATACTATGCTAATAGAGTTTTAAAAATTGTCCTTACCAAAAGGTCCTCTCTCCCACTTTGTTCTAAGTTGGAGTGAAGAATAAAAATAAAGGAGGAGAGACAAAATGTCTTTTTAAAAAAATATTTATTTATTATGTATACAGTATTTTACCTGCATGTATGCCTCCAGGCCAGAAGAGGGCACCAGACCTCATTATGGATAGCTGTGAGCCAACATGTGATTGCTGGGAATTGAACTCAGGACCTCTGGAAGAGCAGTCAGTGCTCTTAACCTCTGAGACATCTCTCCAGCCCCAAGATGTCTTAGTTAGGGTTTCAATTGCTGTGAAGAGACACCATGACCACAGCAACTCTTATAAAGGAAAACCATCAAATTGGAGTAGCTTACATTTTCAGAGGTTTAGTCCATTATCATCATGGTGGGACATGGTGGCGTGTAGGCAGATAAAGCACTGGAGAAGCCACTGAGAGTTCTACATCTTGACCCACAGGCAGCAGGAAGTGAGCTGAGACATGGGGTGTAGCTTTAGCATATATGACACCTCAAAGCCCACCCTTCCACAAGGTCATACCTACTTCAACAAAGCCACACCTCCTTATGAGTTTATGGGGGCCAACGATAGTCAAACTACCACAGGAAACAAGTACCATCCTCCCCTACTAACTGTAGGACCATCTTGTAGCTTTGCAGTATGCCATTTCTATTCTCTTGTAATGAATGGCATCACACTGACCTTCTGCCAGGTCTTTAATAGAATCAAATTGTTTACATTAGGAATCTAGCCCTGGGGAGTGGGAAGAAGGGGCACAGATACCAGCCTGCTGTGTTCATCTCAACAAACCCAGGAATTAAGCTGCTGGGACAAGACAGGCTAGTTTACTGGATATGGCTGAAGCTCTCAAGATGGAGGCTTCCTCCCAGCACATTCCTTTGGCCCATTTTGATCCCACAAGGAAAGTCTTGGGCTAATATTAATGACTGTTTACTCAACAATAGTGCTAGCAAAAGAAGTCATCTGTGGCCTCTCACAGCCACATTGTCATTTTATGTGTCTACTTAGCATGCAGGGTAGAAGGAGTCTCTGTCGAGAGATAGCAGGCTTTTCTGGTGTTGGTTCTTCCTGTGGCTAATCAGTCATGGGGACATGACGGCCATGGGTGCTGTGACTTGATGTGTTGGCAACAGAAGGCTTTTGAGAGGAAGTGGTGGGAGGTAAGGCCTCTAGTCAGAGTGAGCCAGACCACTAGGTGCTTGGCTGTTCTTAAATGTGAGACATGGAGGATTTTAAAGAGGGGAATGACTCTCTCTGCTTTATAAGTTTCTCAAGGTCTTTGCCCAAATGTAAACATGTTGCTAGTTCACTGGAGGTCCTTGATGAGCTTCCTGTTCCTCACAAGCTAAGCCCAGGCTTCTTGGTGACATTTCCAAGGCTGAGCATGTTCTGCCCTGCCAAACTCTTGGACCTCATTTCCCTGTGTTGCTTTTAGAATTTCCATGAGCTGGGTCCTGACCCTCTCAGCCTAGGCAGAGCCATCCAGGCCTCTGGGCTCCTCTGCCACTCTCCCACTCTCTCCTTGGCAAATGTGTCGTGTGACTCAAGAGTCCTTTCCAAAAATCTCTTTGGGAAGCCCTTCTTCATATCTCTATGTAGAATGAGAGCTTCATCTAATGGCTAGTCAGCTTGTCATAGGATCCAGCTCACAGCCATGCCCGACTGTTGGCTTATCTGTTCCCGTAGGCTGTGAGCCAATCCTTCCTTCCTGCCTCCCACAAGTGTGCTGACTAATAAATGTACTAGGCTCTATTCTAGGCCCGGGGGTAAAGTGGTACACAAAAGTAGCACAAATTCCTGCCATAAGGGAACTTACCTCACAGCAAGAGACATGAAATAAACATATAATGTGTATCAAATATTTGGTGATTTGGCACTAAGCTTTCCTTAGACTCCCTGGCACTTGCAGTTGAGAGGGGCTATGACTAGCTTTGAGCTGTGAGCAGAAATGCCATGTGTCAGTCTGGAGCACTGAGGAGCTGGTCCGCACCCTCTGGCTATCTTCTCCTGCTTTAGAAGACAGTGGTCACATGGCAAGATGGAAACATCGACGTCCTTGGTAGCTGCTACAGGGCAACAGCATAGAGAGCCACTGGTCCTGCAATGGCTCTCTGTGAGTGAGAAGTTAACTTCCAGCCTCTGTGATTTAGAGCTGTCCACCACGGGTAACAGAGCCTCATGGACTACTGAAGAGTGATGGTGCAAGGGTGGAAAGTCAGGAAAGCAGAACTGACAGTGCTAGAGTGGGGAGTGGATGCTCCTGGTGATCATGGGCGCTCCTGGTGATCGTGGATGCTCCTGGTGAACGTGGGCGCTCCTGGTGAACGTGGACACTCCTGGTGAACGTGGACGCTCCTGGTGAACGTGGACGCTCCTGGTAAAAGTGGACGCTCCTGGTGATTGTGGACGCTCCTGGTGATCGTGGACGCTCCTGGTGAATGTGGATGCCCCTGGTGAAAGTGCAGTGGGGCAGTGGGCACTACTGGTGAGGAGGTGAAGGAGACAGTCTTACAAAAGAGGCGCTGTGGGATTGGCCCATGGCCTGCAATCCTCCTGTCTCCACGTCTGGCGTAGCTGGTTTGCAGGTGTGTGCCACTTGACAGTTCTTGACCTACAGATGAATCGTGCTAAGCACTACCTTCTCCCCTCAATGTCAGCTTCAAATTCCTTCCTTTAGTAATGATACCACTTGTTGGACAAGAACCCAGTCTAACCCAGTAGGGTGATCTCTTACTTTGATTATGTATGTAAAGACCCTATTTCCAGATAAAGTCTTGTTCAAAGATTTCCCGGTGTCCATGATTGCTAATGCATTTTGGAAAAACTTATAGAACTAAATATTAATAGATTTTGTGTATGTGTCAGAGGACAACTTTCAGGAGTTCTCATCTTCCATCTTGCTTCAAGGCAGTTTCTCTTGTTTCTAAGCTTACTCGGGCGAGTGGGTCTGCGAGCTTCCAAGCTTCCAGGCGATTCTGTCTCTTCTCTCATCTCTAAGTAGGAGAGCCTGGATTACAGATGTGTGCTATTACATCTGACTTTCTTACATGAGTTCTGCAGATCAAACTCAGACCATCAGGCTTCCTTGGTTAGTTGTTTCCCTTTGAGCCTTTCCAGTCCAGAAATCACAGAATTAAAAAAGTGTTTTTAACAGCTAATGTTTATGAATCCAATCTGCCTCACCTTTATGGTGTTGTATTCCATAAATTAGTGTGGTGCAGAAGCGCGGTGAGTGGGAGATGGAAACTGACACGCTTCAGCAGCAACCTCAAGGCAGAGAAAGTCCCTGCTGGAGGCCAGAAATGCCAGGAGACGGTTCCGGTTCCTGTTTCTTATCTTCTAAATGTCACCTCCACCTAAAGACTAGAAATGAGTGGCAGAAATTGAGAAGAGGCATCTGGGCACCTGGCTGGGCCAACTGGACCGGCTCCTCTCCCTCCCTGTGCCTCACCCCAGTTTCTGCCTTAAGTCCTTTAAGAAGCCAGACCAGCATCTTGATGGTAGCCTGTTGCATGGGACCTGCCTGTCTATGGGAGCACTGCTCCCTCTCCCTTTTAAGTTTCCCCCAGCCCCCGTGGATCTGTAATAAGTTCCACACTTATGTGGTCCATGACTCTTATTGTTTGAATTCCTAAGACAAGACCTGGAAAGTCACTGGCTTGGGGTGGCTTTGGTGGCTGAAGAGTTTTTCAGGTTTTGGTGGACTTATCTGGAAGTGGGGACATCCAAGAAAGGCTCCATTATTCTCATATCATGATGTCCAACCCTTCACATTTTGCTAATGACTAAGGGCAGCTTCGTGGTTCAACCAAGGTAAGATCCTGGTAATCCTCTGTCCCAGCCTCTGACTTCAAAGGCTGCTGAGATCCTGGACTACTGAGTGCCCTGTTCCAGTTGCTCTAGAATTAACTAGAAAAACAAATTAATTTATGTGCTTCAGGAGCAACCTCTCCCCACCAACATGCTTTGTTCATGTGTGTGTGTATTTGTGTGTGTGTGTGTGTGTGTGGGTGGGTGGGTGGGTGGGTGCGTGCGTGCGTGCATGTGTGTGTGTGTTGGAAACAAGTTCAGGACACAAAGAGACCACTACTCCAATAAAAGCGCCTTAGCAAGGCATAACTTCACCTATGTTCAGAATGTTGTGCTATTCATAAAAGTAGAAAAGCAAGCGTGTGTGGATGGCAAATTCACTTGGTTTTCACTCCACTGCAAGTGACTGTCTTTTCTCCCTTAGCTGGGGGCGAACTCATGTCTTTCATGAAGGGAAGGGGAAAGGGGCCCCTCACTCAAGCCTTAGGTTGTGAGGATGCAGCAGGTCTTTGTATAAACCAAAGTTTTACCAGGTGGGAGGATTTGAACATTTGCACAAAGGTCTTCTAAGGTGGGAGAGATGAAAATGTTTGAATTCTTTGTGGTAAACAAAAGTTTCACAGTGTTTGACAGGAGCCTACATATATAATTCGGCTCTTGGTTTGTGGCTCTGCCCACTGTGTGGGAGGAGAAACCCACTGCCTGGGCCATTTGGACTGACAAAATATAACTCTTCCTTTTCCAGTAACTTTGGGGTTTGGCCTTGTTTCCCCAGGTCCACGGCGTGCAATTCCTGGAGTTCTCGGAAGTTGAAAATCAGGACGACGTCTACAGTACACAAGCAGGCTGTGTCCACACGCAGGACCAGCTTGGCCTGTATGTCATGTATGACTACGCCCTGCAGGATCTGAAGGAACTGGAGTCAGAGCTGCTGCTCATTGCCAGCTATTACATTGAGAAAGAAAAAAGTAAGGAGGCTGGGGATGAGGTTCAACGGCAGAGTATTCGGTTGGTGTGCACGAGGCTCCTGTAGCTCACCAGTACTGAAAACAAAAGCACACAAACAAAACACACAGACCAGGGGCCAAGCAACAGCATCTGAACCTCGAGTAAGCATACACTACGCCTTTCCCCAGTGCGTGCACACGCGGGGCTCAGCTCCCCCTTGTGATGGAGCTGTGCTCTTTAAGGGGTCCCTTGTAATTCTTGCTGTTGTTAGAGTACATGTAGCCTAGTTCTGCACCACCCACTGGGTAGAAGGGATGTGTACAGGACCCTGTGGAGAGCAAAGGAAGCAAGGGCGATGAATGGCGTTTCTCCCAAGCCAGCTGACGCTGAGGAGAATGCATGTAGGAGCAGAGACATCACTGGATTCCTGACAGGAAACCATGGGCACGCCAGAGGTCTGGCTGAGAGGACGCCAGACAAGCCCCAGAAGGAGGACTCATGGCTTGGGCTAGTGAAGCAGCCATAACTACTGCTCTCGCTTCTTTTTAGCACCATCGCCTAGACTTCCATTTTTTTTCTTTTTTTCTCTGCCTTTTTAAAAAAATTATTTAAGTTAGAAACAAGCTTGTTTCACATTTCAATCCCAGTTCTCTCTCCCTCCCCTCTCCCCATTTCTCCCCACCAGGCCCTCCAGTCCCCCACCCAAGCTATACTCGGATCCCCAGGTGGGGTGAGGCCCTCCATGGAGGATCTCCGGAGTCTGTCATTTCATCCAGGGCAGGGCCTAGGTCCTCCCCCAAGAGTCCAGGCTGAGAGAGCATCCCTCATTATGGGCTGGGCACTTAAAGTCTATTTGTATGCCAAGGATAAATATTACCCAAGGCCCCGTAGATTATCTAGGCCTCCTCACTGACACCCACCTTCAGGGGCTCTGGGTCAGTCCCATGCTTTCCACACAGCCATCAATCGGGAGTCCAAGAACTCCCCCTTGTTTAGGTCAACTGTTTCTGTGGGTTAAACCAGCCCAGTCTTAACTCCTTTGCCCATCAGTTCTCCCTTTCTGACACTGGATTCCAGGAATTCAGTTCAGTGTTTGTCTGTGAGTATCTGCCTCTGTTTTCATCAGGCGCTGGATGAAGGTTCTGTTTCCCAGACTCTCTGGCAGTGGAATTGTAGGCTGGCACTCCCCTGATTCATGTCTAAAATCCATAAATGAGTGAGAACATGCCATGTTTGTCTTTTTGTGACTGGGTTACCTCACTCAGGATGGTTTCTTCTAGTGCTATCCGTTTGCCTGCGAATTTCAAGATTCCACTGTTTTCTTTCCACTGAGTAGTACTCCATTGTGTAAATGTACCACATTTTCTCTATCCACTCTTCAGTTGAGGGGCATCTAGGTTGCTTCCAGGTTCTGGCTATTACAAATAATGCTGCTATGAACATAGTGGAACAGACATCCTTGTTGTATGAATGTGCATCTTTTGGATATATGCCTAAGAGTGGAATACTGGGTCTTGTGGTAGACTGATTCCCATTTTCCTGAGGAATCTCCATACTGATTTCCAAAATGGCGGTATGAGTTGGCACTCCCCCCGCAGTGAAGGAGTATTCCCTTTTCTCCACATCTTTTCCAGAATAAACTGTCATTGGAGTTTTTGAAAGTAGGTAAGGTAAGGCTATTTCTCAGTAGCATTTCCTATTGCATTTGGGAAGAGCTAAGAATGTCTAGACCCACTGCAGTACAGCAAGGAGAGTTTAGAGATGTTTATGTTGTGTTATAATTCGTGTAGACTGTGACAGATGATAATTCACCTTCATCTTGTTAGAAAATGCTTCTGTAAGAATGTTTGACAACTAGCCGGGCGGTGGTGGCGCACGCCTTTAATCCCAGCACTCGGGAGACAGAGGCAGGCGGATCTCTGTGAGTTCGAGGCCGGGCTGGTCTGGTCCGACAGCCTCCAAAACAATACAGAGAAACCCTGTCTCGAAAAAACCAAAAAAGAAAAAAAAAAAAGAATGTTTGACAACTAACTTTAAGATCCCAGGCAAAGTTAATTTAACATGACTTTGAACATATTAGAATATGCAGTCATTGCTACAACTCTGAATATTTGAATCAGGCTCTGAACACTCTAGAACATTTCATTTTAGCTCTTTTCATTGGTTATGCAACTTTTGTCTATATTGATTAATCATCCCATGTAACTATTTCTGTCTGCTGAGAATTTAATGTGGTTGAAACACGTTTAACCACAAGGACGTCTTGCACTGAAGTTGGCCAGTAGGGCTCAAGTCACCCATTGTGAAGAGCTTTCCCAGCTGCCGCCTGAAAGGATCCTCACCGGAGCCTGCCGGTTCTTGCTAAACACCCATCACCAACTCAGCGATTATCCAGCTCACCCGTCAGTACCTGGGTGCTTCTTGCCTTCCAGTTATTTTCTCCTGAAGCAGGTCACTTACAAATTGGAAGCAATAATCATTCTGCCAAATGGTGATGATGATTAAGTGATTGAAGGTGGCAATTGATATAATTAAGGAATGTCTCAGAAGGCTCTCTGGAAAGTTTGGACATAGCTAGCATTAATGAAAATAATAGTGTTGGGGAGATGGCTCCGTCAGCACAAGTGCCTGCCTTGTAGTCATGAGGACCTAAGTTGGCACCCCCCACACACACAACCCCAGAAACTGGCATGGTTGCAAGCTCTGCAGGACCCTTTCTGGAAGGCAAAGCCAGAAGGATCGCTAGGCTGAACAGTCAGTCAGCTTACCCTACATGAGAGAACCCAAAACACATCCCCAAAAGGTGGATCTCCTGAGGAACAACACTGTAGGTTGACCTCTTGATCTTAGATGCACATTTGGATGCATACACACACACACACACACACACACACACACACACACACGAGAGGGGGGAAGAGAGAGTACATTAATCTGAGTTGTTAAACAACAGAGGCCAGTTTTTGATAAAGGAGAAATAAATGTTCTGCCTTTAATTCTGTAAATACAGGGACATTTTAGCATAGATTTCATGGCAGCTGGTTTTATTTCTAAATAGACTTTAAAGGACTAGGATGTAGTTTAGTTGGTCCAGTGCTTGCCAGGGATGCAGGAAGCCTGGGCTTCACCCCCAGCCTTGCATGGACATGGCAGACATGTCTGTGATGTCAGGACTCAACTTGTTCAGTAGATAGGAGGGTCAGAAGTTCACCCTCAGCTACATGAGACTGACTCACAATAACAAAAAATTACTGAGGGGGGGTGCACACTTGTAATTCCAGCCCCCTGGAGGCAGAAGGGGGTAGATCTCTGTGAGCTTCAGGCCTGGTCTACAAAGCAAGTTCTAAGCCAGCAAGGGTGACACAGTGAGGCCCTATATCCAAAATGGAAACAAAAAAAAACAAAAAAAAACCCAAACAAACAAACAAACAAACAAAAAAAAAACCGCCAGGTGTTCCTAAATTAGTCTTTAAATTTAGAAAGTAAACAAAAACTCCTGTTGATTTGGAAGTCAACAAGTGTGGACTTTAGGCCTGGTCTTTGCGGGTGGTTCCTCAGTTGTCTTTGGGGAGTCCCAGTTGATACCCATTGGCTCAGATCTACTCCTGAGGGAGAGCTGACAGTCTCCATGTTCCTCAGTTGTCTTTGGGGAGTCCCAGTCTATACCCATTGGCTCAGATCTACTCCTCAGGTGGAGCTGACAGTCTCCATGTTCCTCAGAGAAGGAGCACTGAGAAGGGCTGTCTCTAACCATGCCCTGGCTTCTTCCCAGGTCACAGACAGTCTCCATGTTCCTCAGAGAAGGAGCACTGAGAAGGGCTGTCTCTAACCATGCCCTGGCTTCTTCCCAGGTCACAGAGAGGAAGGCAAGTCTGAGAGCAGTCAGCGCTGGGGCTGGGCCCATGCCAGTGTGGACAGATTCGCTGTGCTCTATGACCTGTGGACCTGGGAGGCCAATTTTCTAGAGAGCAAACACCAGGTATGACTTTGGAAGGCAAGCTGTCTCTAAAAGGTCTGTCTGCCAAATGCAGGTATACACCTGGGATCACAGTTCCCAGGAGGTTGAGGCAAAGTCTGAAGCCAGCCTGGACTACAGATGAGTTCCAGGTCAGCTGGTTACGTAACAAGACTGTCTCAAACAAAAAATGCACAAAACTAAGCATCAAAGTCTACTTGTACCAAGACAGGCTTTTTGTTTGTTTGTTTGTTTGTTGTTGTTAAACTGAGAGGGATGCTCTCAAGAAAGCCGTAAATAAAGCTTTAGTAATTTCAACGTATTCCTCACACAATTTGAACACTGTATGTGTGTGTGTGCGTGCATGTGTGAGTCACTGAAGACTGACTGACTCCAAGGCCTTGCACACTACACGCAAGTCATTTACAACTGAGCTATAGCCCAACTCCTCTTTATGCTTTTTCTTTAATTTTAGAGTTTTAAATTTTATTTTATTTTGTATGTAAGTTTTGCCTGCCTGCATGCATGTATGCATACCACATGTATGCCTGGTGCCTTTGGAGACCAGAAGAGGGCATCAGATCCCGTGGAACTGGAGGTATGACTGTGAGCCACCATGTGGGAACTGGGAATCGAACTCTGGTCTCCGCAAGAGCAGCAAGTGCTCTGAACTGTGGAGTCATCTCTCCAGACTGCTGGTTTTTACTTCTTATTATGAGATATATCCCACCAAATTGCCCAGACTGGCCTTAAAGTAACCCTGTAACCCAGGCTGGCCTTGAATGTATAGTCCTCCTATAATCACTTCCTAAGGAGCTGTGCCACCAGGCCCGTTAAATTGTATTTTCCTTGTGGTTCTTCATCACAGAAAATAAATATGAAGGATACTACTTTATCTTGCAGGCATGTTTGTTAGAGGGCTCTGGGATTCAGGCTCTTCCTAGCATGAGCATGCTGGCAGGAAGAATGGGTGGTTTGCACTCATAATGCAGTCGCAGAGACAAGCCCAAACAGAGGCAAAGTGACTGACCAATCCCAGCTGCCACATTATCGTGGGTGAAAACCAGGAAGCAGGCAGTGCTGAGCACAGTAGTCAGGGAGTGCTAAGCACAGTACTCAGGAAGCAGGGAGTACTAAGCACAGTACTCAGGAAGCAGGGAGTACTAAGCACAGTACTCAGGAAGCAGGGAGTACTAAGCACAGTACTCAGGAAGCAGGGAGTGCTGAGCACAGTAGTCAGGGAGTACTAAGCACAGTACTCAGGAAGCAGGGAGTGCTGAGCACAGTAGTCAGGGAGTACTAAGCATAGTACTCAGGAAGCAGGGAGTGCTGAGCACGGTAGCAGGAGGCTGGCTGCAAATCGAGGATTGCAGCCCACTAACTCACCAACCACATCGTCAGGGGTTCCTGTCTCTGTAACAAATGTGAGTTGCAGGTGTCGTTTTAACCCTTTTGGCTCTGGGTCTTTGGAGGCCCGCCACCCAGCTCCCAGATAATCACACAGGCTTATTCTTTCTTGTGAATGCCTGGCCGTAGCTTGGCTTATTTCTAGCCAGCCTTTCTTAACTTAATTATGCCCCCACCTTTTGCCTCTGGGCTTCTGTCTGTCTTTACTCCGTGTGCCTTTCTTGATGTCTCACTCCGTGACTTACTGTGTAGCTGGGTGGCTAGCTGCTGACATCCTCTTCTCCTTTTCTCGCTCCTAGATCTCTTCCCAGCTTTCTCCTCCAATTTATTCTCTCTGCCTGCCAGCTCCGCCTAAACCTCTTTAGGAGACCAATCAGGTGTTTCAGACAGGCAAAGGAACACAAAGGAACACAGCACAGCTTCACAGAGTTAAACAAATGAAACGTAAAAGAATGTAACACACCTTTGCATCATTAAACAAATGTTCCACAGCATAAATAAATGTAACACATCTTCATCTAATATCCCATAACACCGATCTTCATTATTTAGCCCTTCCAATCATCATCTATCGATAGGAGACGCTTTACAAAGGCTTAGTTTTATTTTTAATTACGTGTGTGGAGTTATGTATGCCCGAGTGCAGGCGTCTGTGAAGGCCTGTAGTGGTAGATATCTTGGAACTAGAGTTAGAGGCAGGTGAGAGCCACCCACGTGGGAACTGGGAACTGAACAGAAAGCCCCTTTACCCACCCAGTCAGCTCTTGTCTCTCTAGTCCCATTCTATTTTTGTTGTTGTTTGTTTTATTTTTTATTATAATTAAATTTTTACCTTGCTATGTACTCTTTTGGAGATCTATACATAAATACAAGAGATGACTCCCATCTTTAAGACAATTAGAATCTAATGAAGGTGTTAGGGTCTTTTCTGTACAAGGTTTTCACAAAGGTAGATCCTTCATCCTGAAAATTCAAGGGCTTCTATGAGCTCATGCCTTACTGTTTTAAAGGCCTCTGGATGGGAGCACTGGATAGACACTTATGTATGAGGCTGATGTTTAGCAGGGCAGTGGTGGTGCACACCTTTAATGCCAGCCCTCGGGAGGTAGAGGCAGGTGGATCTCAGAGTTTGAGGCCAGCCTGGTCTACAGAGGGAGTTCCAGGACAGCCAGGGCTACACAGAGAAACCCTGTCTCAAAAACAAAAAACTGATGTTTTAGCATCATAAAAATTAAAATACATTTCTACAAATCGCAGCAAAGGAGAAATTCATGGTCTATAAAAGTTTATCCAGTCTCTAAGCAAAGCATCCGGGTAACTGCGGCGCATTCAAGAGTTGGGGGACATCAGTGGAAAGAGATTTGTCTTTTTTGGGGGACTGGGAAACTTGAGAAAATTATCAAGTCTTCCCAGAGGAACAGACATTTAATCTCACCACTAAAAGATTCATAAGATGTCTGGCAGAAAAGGACTCTTTTATTGTTGTTTTTGTTTTATTGAGACAGGGATTCTTCGTGCAGCCCTGGCTATCTTACTCTGTAGAGCAGCCTGGCCTGGAACTCAGAGAGGGCTACCACCACCCGCTGAGGATGGATCAACTAAGAAACCCCTAGAGAAGTGGTCACCTCCAATGCTGATATGGAGAGTCAGAAGGGACCTGATAATAAGGATGCGGCCATGAGAGCCGGAAGTGGGGGCAGATGCCGTCACTCTGAAGGGGACATGGTAGGAGTTAAGGGTTGGATATGGACTTTGGAGTGAGAGGGTAAACAGGGATTTGAAAGGGGTCCCAAGAGGTCAGGAAGAAAGGTGATAACTAAGGCACAGTATGAGAGGAGGCAGGGCATCACTAAAGAGGATGAAAGTGTGTGCACACCCCACTGAGGGGATTGCCGAACCAGATCTGAAGGTTTTAGATCTAAAGCCAATAAGCAGATACGGGTTGAACCTTGACTGTGGATCCAAAGCCATGAGTGGGAAAGGTTGGAGAGTCTGAATGGGCCTCGGTGACATCTATTTTTGTGGGGCGGGTTGTGGGACAGAATGAGTAGCCAAAGAGACAGAAGCCAGACAAGGAAGAAAGAGTTGTGAGAGTCAACAGGAAAGAGTTGGTGGGTGCCCACTGACGTAGAGTACAGTAAAATGTTGAGGAGATGATGTCCCAGAGTCCCTTGCTCAGGTGGCCAGTGGCAGCTGTGTAGGACTCTGTCAGGAGGTGCCTGTGTGGGAGGGGGAGAACCAGAGGACCACAGCTGTGATGTGGTCTGAAATCCGGGAAGTGGAAGTGGTTTCTTTGAACTGTTTTTGCAGCAGAATAGATGTTTAGCGATTTTATTTGTCCTTTGGTCAGTTACTCATGGAGAGTTATGTGGGTCATGGTCATTTGGAAACAACGATCTCAGCTGAGAAGGTGCAAGCCGCAGACTTTGGAAGACAGTTCATTCCACAGATAACCTTGACCTGCCAGTTAAAACCTTACATTGATCAGCTTGCTGTAGTTTGCCGTATTAAATGTAAACAAAACAAATGCATTACTCCAGGCACAAGCTTTAAGTGTTTGTGTGTGTGTGTGTGTGTGTGAGAGAGAGAGAGAGTGTGAGTGTGCACACATGTGCGTGAGCATATGAGAGAGTGTTCCAGGGTATATGAAACTATTTTAATTTAAAACAATCATTGAAAATATTCCCCTCCATTCTACCCTAAGAATAAGTTCCCTATAGAAACTGAGATTTCTTGGCCAAAATTGTAAATTATGCTCTCCCAAATCAGAAATTCTAGCCAAAGAGCCCATCTTAAATGGCTGAGCCAAATTTCCATCTGAGGTACAATTGATCCCTGACCCCTACACTGACTGCTCTGCCAAGTCTCCTCAGCTGTTTTCGATTGCTAAATACATTGGTGTCACCACTTAAGAAGTTCTGGGACATATTAGGTTCTTTTGAGTCTTAAAATAACCACTGTATGTATGAAGACTCATAGAGTTGGAGCTGATATCAACTTAAGTGGCTTGGGGACAAGAGAAGCCAGAGAGTTGGTGTGGCAGCTCCTAGGTCTGGCTGTCCTACCTCCTACTTTTCCCCACGGTCACCAGGCAGGTTCTATGATGATTTGAATTCATGTACGAAGCACTAAAATGATTTTAATGTGTTGCCCCTGTGACAAAGAGGGGAGATTTGTGGAATTTTGTGTCTAGTATTGTCTTTCTGTTTGACAATTTGGTGCAACCTAAAACACTTTGAAAGTTACCACAAATCTTAGATCTTACAAATAAGATAAACTCAGTAAAGATAATCTCACAAATAAGATAAACCCAGGGAGGCTTGATGTTATTAATTTTGTCTGCATTCCTGTTTTCTCCAACATTTCCTTGCCACTCTTTCTGTGTGCTGCATATCACTCTGATGAGAGCTGGCCCTTGACACACAGAGGTGACATTTGACAGGTTAGGAAGAGTTCTCAGGCAAATGCCAGCCTGGATATTAAATGGAAATGGACCAGTTAGCAAATAGATGACAAATAGACCCTGTGAGGCAGAAAGATCATGCCCCACCCTTGATAGGAAGGAATTCATAATAAAATTATGCAGTGACACCCCCCCACCTTCTCTCAGCTGAATCTAAAGACTGAAAAGACGTTGTTAGTTTAAGTTTCATTTCCTTTCTCAACAGGTAAAATATTGCAATATTTGGGACATGCTTACCTTAAAGGAGTATTTTGTTTATTTATCTGAAATTCAAAGTTGGTTGGATATCCTGTGTTCTCACTTATCTAGGGAGAGAGGGACTGCAGTTGAGGCTCAGCAGGCATGCCACAGATCACATCAGACAAGCCAGATGACAACTTAGGGGACGGTGCTCTTGCCTTCTCTCATGTGAGTTCTAGGGATTGAACTCAGGTCCTCAGACCTGGTGGCAGGTGTCCTACTTGCTGAGCCATCTTGCCTGCCTAGATATCCTATGTTCTTATTTACTGACCTTGGAATCTTTATCATTAATAGTGAACATTTAATTTAGCGTGGTCCTCTGTAACCTGGCTTCACCAGATTGGGATCTGCCAGAAAGGACTCCCCGCGCCTCCCCCCCAGCCAACTTCCCTTGTCAAATAACCAACAATTGGGTTCTTTCACAAAACAGGTCAAGAAGTTTAAATACCATAAACCAGCTCCCAGGATTGCCCTGGCCTAGCCAAAAGGGTTCACTTTGGGCCAGAACGAACTAAGGAAGTAAATGTCTCTTCCCTAATCTTTCCCTTGGGATGGCTGAGTGGCACGCTCAGCCTGGCTAGCCATTCCTCCTTCACGTCGCCCTCTGTGTTACTTAACCATTGGCTGTTGTTCTAGAGTGGATCTTGGGTGAGGAAATCAGGTCACATAGACCACCACTGCTCTTCGTTTTCTGTGGGGTGAACTTAGGGCCAAAGGGGATGCCCATCTTTCTTCACTCCTGGCTCCATGCTGGGAAGCATGAGTTTCTAACCCTGGCACACCTTCCATGGTATCCTGAGCTTCTGGAACCTCTTGGTGTTTTCCTGTTCATGCCGAAGCTGGTTTTGGTACCTTTTCAAAACAGGCATCCACGAAGTTTAAGCGCCATGTTAATCACTTTTCCCGGCACTGTGGTGAAATGCCTACAAGAAGCAACTTCAGGGAGGAGGGATGGATGTCGTTTGGCTCCCACAGTTGTGCGTATACAATTGATCTTGATTTGGAAGGCATGGAGGCCAGCAGCTCCATGGCAACAGGAGGGAGAGTGTCGCTGGGGATCCTTCCCTCCTCATATGTCAACACAGCAGGAAGTGGAGGTTGGACAGGAAGTCACACCGGGCTGCCGTCTTTAAGGCCTGTACCACAAGACCCACTTCTTCCCCCTTTCAGAGCTTCCTCTCAAAACTGGGCCAGAAGCTAGGGACCAGATGTTCAAACCTCTGAGCCCATGGGGGATATTTTACACTCGAAGCACACAGGTACTAACTGGCGAATCCCATTTCATCCTCTATGAGCCTTGACAATGGGAAGGCAGGTGTGAACATCTCTTCACGGATGACTACTCATTCCTAGTGTCTGTCTACTCTCGAGTGTTTAACATTCTTGTGTAGAAGAGGGAAAAAATCTTTTTCCCCTACACTCGGCAAGTCCATGCCTGGGCCTTGGAAATTAATCTGACCAAAGACCACATGGAGGTCTTCAGAGGGCAGGGGACTTGAAGAAGCAGGATTTTAGCAAGAGTAACACGTTGTGGAGAGGTGGCCAGGCTAAGGATAGAGGGTAGGCCTCCCGGAATGGCAAACATTTGTTTATAATTGTTGTAGAGCACGGTTATCCCTGCGCAGCATTCCTTTTGTTTGCAAAGGGCTGGGGAAGAAAGAACAGAAGTAGATGGCCAAGCGCGCGTCTAGCTCCGGCTCCACAGCACAAGCTCCAGATCTTTACTCGGTGGGTTTACTAACTGAACCGACTCTAACTCTATTTGCTAGTATCCGAACCACTAGCTACCCAGAGGTTTGAGCGTCTGTCTTCTGCTGAGACCCCAGGGCTTGTCAAAGTCCAGGGTGAAGCTGCCATCTTCTTTTCTGGCACCAGAGTTGTCTCTGCTGTCCCTTGACCATAAACTTACTTCCAGCTTCTTGACAGTTACCTTGAAGCCTACCAGCACACGTTGGACCCTGAGGAGCGGTTCACTTTAGCACAAGCAATGACTGATATTATTCACCGGCGCCCCAAGTTCGATCTCGGCCACTCGTATTTCACTAAAGCCTACCAAGATGACTGTACCTGTCTGAAGCTTCACCAGCAGCTAGTGAGGGGCATCCTCAGCCACCACGTGAGTAGGGCTTCAGTGGTTTCATCTGGCAAGAGGTGGAGATGTAAGCCAGAAACCAAAGTAGCATTGTTTCATTGCAGTCCCCAACATGGGATTTCTGGGCAGAATGTTTATTTGCAGGCTTATTGTACTTCAGAGTTCCAAGCAAACTTAAGCCTTCAAGGAGGTTTCTAACTTCAACTACGTTTAATAATCTATAAGGAACTGAGGACATCGTCTCTTATGAGATCATAGAGTTATCATCAATAAAAGGATGAGTGGCACGTCTTTCCAAGACACTGGCATATGAAATTGTGGGGGTTTCCCCCCAAAGTTGTTTGGGTGGTTTTGTTTGCTTTGGTTTTGGTTTTTGAGACAGGGTCTCACACAGTAGCGTAGGCATGCCTTGAACTCCTAGCAATCCTGCCTTAGGCTGCCTGAGTGATGCGGTCATAGATATGCACCGCCACACCCAGTCTTTGCTTTTCATATTTTATTTTATTTTTGAGACAGGCTCCTACCATTGTAGACCTGGCTGGTCTGAAATTCTCTGTATAGACCAGGCTGGCCTCAAACTCACAGAGATCCACCTGTCTCTGCCTCCTAGTTGCTGGCACTGAAGGCGTGTGCCACTGGGTCCAACCTTCTTTTGCTTTTTCAAGTGGGTTGGCTTTCCTTTCCTCCGCTGACCTTTGACTGAAAGACCAGAATGTTCCATTGTAAACAAGTCTTCAAAACCATGTCTGGGTGAAAACTAGTGAGGTGACAGAGACTGAGAGGATTTTTCCTCTCATCAAGGCTCATGGCTCAGGTTCTGGCATGCTATTCTTTTTAGCTTGAGCAGCAGCGGGAATATGTCCGGAGGCTCTGGCGAGGGGATCATCCCGAGGCTCACAAGACATTCGGACTTCCCCTGAACATAATTTGCAAGCAGTTTGTTTCCATCAACAACAGCTGGTAAGTTGATGTTGTCTTTAGGTGATTACGGGTGTAATACTGGGTCAAAGTACTAAGCTTTAAAGCACCATTCGACGGTACATGGGTGTGTGGGTGCGTCGGCGTGTGGGTAAGTGAGAGCCTTTGAACCCTGCTCATGTGTCTGAGCCTTTGTGTGTTTTAAGCTTCTGTGAAAGGAATTTCTTTCCTCTCACAGTATCACTAAAGAGGCTGCTGGGAATTGTCCCAGATGACGCTGGGCATTATCCCTTCAAAGAGCAGTGTTCAATTTCCTGAGACCACTCTGAATGGGTACACATTTTGTCACTCCCTCGACATGACTACTTCCTACTCTCATTCCTTTCTAGCCTTTAAGTTAGAGGCAGTTGTGAGGTGACAGACTCCAAGTTGAGCAGGATAGCCTGAGATCAAAATCTGCCCGTTGCCTCCACATGGTGGGGAGTAATTGTCTCGCTTCTCCCAACACCTTGCCAGGACACAGATGTGAACACAGGCGTGGCCCTGAGCTTCCACAGGTGCACACTAAAGACAGTCTTCATGAAAGAGGTTGTCATGACAGGATCCATCTTGGGGACAGGCAGAGTACTATGAGAGATGAGAGCTGAGATTCTACCTTCTTAAGAAAGAGGGCCAACCAATAGCCTGCACTTCCCCTGTAAACCTCTTGTGCACTGATATCCCCACCACGACAAGCTTGCCACCAGCTGTGTGTCTGTCTTACTATGGAAAGAACCTGCTCTTCAGGAAATAGGTTCTGGCAGGCCAGGCTAAGGCTAGATGGGATACAAAAAGCTGTCAGAGTTGGTGCAGTTTGCTCGGTTGAAGCTGGTTCCCAGGGTTTGAGCTCTATGCTTTAAGGTCTAGCAGTAAAGCAGAAGCTCGTTTACATAGATCCAAACATCTGCACTCTTCAGTTTTAAGGTAGGAAGACCATTGTCTTGCTCTGTATCCTTTATTTCCAAAACCATAATCCACAGAAAAGTGTTTTATTTATTCCTGAGATCCTCATCTAGACTAAAAAACAATTATCCTTATAATACATACGAAAGAGTCCAGCAGTGTGTGGAGAACTCAAAACTTGTTGATGTTCATTAACATTTGAGGAGAGGAGAGGAAAAACCAGGTGAAAAATAGATGCTAAGGGTCATGGAAACTGGATCTCTGTGAGTTCAAGGCCAGCCTGGTCTACAAAGTGAGTTCCAGGATAGCCGGAGCTGTTACACAGAGAAACCCTGTCTTGAAAAACAACAACAAAATCATGGAAATTATTTACTTTTTCCTTATTTCATAATTTTTTTGTTAAGCTATCCTGTTTTCTGGTGGTCATTGAAGTGTTGACAGTTTTGTTAAAGTCATTTCCTTCCTGAATGATTGGAAATATGTCAGTTTCTTTCTACTTTACAGGGCTTGTGGTAAAGCAAGGAGCATTTGCATTAGCTGGTCAGTTCTCCTGAGTCCTTAGAAGGCTCTGGACCTGTAGGAGCTGTGTTATTTATTGATCTTTAAAAATATAGTCAGATATCTTCTCCCAAAAGTTATTTTTGTTGTATAAAATAAAATCATCACTCTTCTCTTCTTTAAGCCCAGCCTCAGAAAACGTCCATCTGTTGGAGTTCCACCCTTCCCTTGGCCTGGTTGGGCTCATCCCCAAAACCCTGGAGCACCTGTTGCGTGAGGCTCGCCTGGCCCACAAGCCTGCATCATTCAGTGGGCTCGCCCAGTTGGAACAACGTCTCTTGCAGCTTGCCCTGGACCTGTGGCTCACCCCAGCCAAGCCCGAGGCCTGGTACAGCGCACAGCTCCAGAGAGATGTAGGTGCTTTCTGCCAGGACAGTTGGGTCCTTGGCAAAGAACAAGTCCTTCCAGATGTTTCTGTTTAGCTCCTTTTTGCTATTTGGCACTATTCCCCTCTATTGGCCAGAGAAAGAGCACAGTCACAAACCTTGCCAATATTTTTATGTGATTTTTGTTTTGGACAAAGCTTCTAGCTAGTATATAAGGATGTCAGTATAATTAAAATTAAATGGAGGATTACATAGGTATGTGAAAAATGTGTTCTCATTTCTTGTTGGTGCAGTAATGATACACAGTGTGTTTGTGTATCGGGGAGAAGATGGAGGTACACTGGACAGCCATAGTGGTTGGTGGCTCAGGCTGTGCCTGATGACTTAGGTGCTGTCTGTAGTTTTATTTCAATCCTTTTCTTTTACTGTTCGACTTTGAAGGCTGATCTGGGCTTCCCAGTTAATCTTGTTCTACGCCACTTGTGATATGATGGAGGTGATTTCAAGGGTATCAGCTCCTAAGACATCTGCTCCTTGGATCACCATGGTGCTCTCTCTTCTCCTGACCAAACCAAAATCACCCTTTTAAAAATGGATTTGATTTTAAATTTTTATTGTGTGTGTGTTCTCTCTGTATAGTCTTATGTATATCTAATTTATGTGTATGTATGTGTGTGCCTGTGTGAACTTATGTGCACCATGTGTGTGCAGGTTCTTGTAAAGGCCAGAAGGGGGCCTCAGCGCCCCTGAACTGGACCTATAGGTGGTTGTGAACTACCTGACAAGGGTCCTGGGAACCAAACTGAGGTACTCTGCAGGAGCGGTAAGTGCTCAGTCTCTGAACCATCTCTGCAGCTCTTGTTGCGGTTATTTTTAATGCATTTGGTTGCCAGCTATAATTTTTGCATGTGTGATTCCTTTTGATTCACTTATCTGAGCAGTTTCACTTCTATCCACAGATATGAGATTTAATTAAGTAGAACTTTACCCTTTGGCCTATCATATTTTCCCATTTGTTTTTTTTTTTAAACAAAAACACTTATTTTTGTAGAGTTGAATCTGTTGACTATTTCCATTGTGATATTGTCTACCTTCCTAAATGCAGGAAGAAAATCGCCCTTCAGATGTTTTATTTGCCCCTTTTTATCCTAATTTTAAGGGTTTGATTTAATTTTTAGACATTTAGGTCTTTTACTGTTCACAGTACATGGAATGACATGCAAGGCAGAAACTGGACTTTTCCTGGAGTTATGAGCCATTTACCTCACTTCCATTTAATATTCTCACAGTGTCTTGTAGCACCATATTTGACATTTTATAAAACATCCTATATGTTGCAGTTGCTGTTTGTAGTGTTTATGTAGTCTCCTGTTGATGTCACAGGCAATGTGTTCACAACTGAGCCTAGAAATACTGAGTGTTTAAACTAACCTTTTGTATTTGGTTAGGAAATGAATGCAACACTGCCCTCTGAGGACACGCAGGAATTTAACAGCTGCCTTGGCTATCACAGCGAAGACTTTCAGAGCCTGGAAATCACATCTCCAGTAGACGAGTCCTTTGGTAGACATGTAGTTAAGGAAGATGGTATAACTTGTGGAGCAAATCAGAAAAGTAGATAAAGGATCCTCAAACTAGGTCCTTATGGAAAGGGGCGCATCAGGGTCAGTGGAGAGCCTATTTATTCCTCACTAAGGCAGAGGGCATTAAAGGTCACTTGGATGTTTCCCAGGTCACATAGGGCTGCCTGGGAGTGAGGGAGTGTTGCAAGGCAGGTGGGGGTCCTGTGAAACTACAGAACATGGAACTCGAAGCTAAAGTTACTCTTTGTACTACTGGACGACCTTGTAAAGTTTAAAGATCACAGGTCAGGCTTGGTTCAGGCTCACAATCTCTGATACTCAGGAGGCTGGAGCAGGAGGTTTGCAAGTTCAAGGCCAATCCCAGGCAACTTAAGGAGCTCTTGTTTCAAAGTGAAAATAAAAAGTAATTCCATATTAGAATGCTCGCCAAGTATGAGGCCCTAGGTTTAATTCCCAGTGTCCCACCCCCAACACACACACAAGGTTTAAACGTTGTTTTAGATTTCTCATTTCTGAAGAAGAATAGTATCTTCTACACTTCCTTGGGGATCTGGTGAAAATTAAAATGAGTTCATATGTGTGAAAATACTTGGACATTTTGAAACTGCAATTACAGAGGCACATAAAAGTTATTATAAAGGGGCTGGGAGGGGTGCAGGGAGGAGAAACTACAGCCAGGAAGTAATATACGCGAGAAGACTAAATAAATAAATAGACAAATAAATAAATAAAGGGAAGAATTGTTATTGACCACCCAAACTTTTTTTTTAAGTTTTTTGTTTTACGTGTATGGGTCTTTGCCTGCATGTATGTCTGTGTACCATATGCCTATGGTGCCTACGGAAGCCAAAGAAAACATTGGATCCCCATGTACCTGAGTTACAGACAATTGTGAGCTGTCATGTGGATGCTGGGAATCAAACCCAGGTCCTCTGGGAGAGCAGCCAGTGCTCTTAACCACTGAGCCATCTCTCCAGTTTTTACATATATTTCTAAATCAGTGACTTTTATTTCTATTTAGTTCCTCCTTACCCAGTTTTTGTGTTTAGACACGAAACATTTATAATAACAGCATTTACCATCATAATAAAAAATACTTCTATGCATATTAGTTCTCATAACCCCCTGGGAAGCCCTATTAAGTAGTGGTTTTCTATTGGTGTGTGGTGGGTGCCCAGGGAATGATACCTCCAGAGTCTCTGCTACTGACGGTGTTTCTTCTTTTTAGTACATATGAAGTTCCTCCTTTTGAGTTTCCAAATTCCTTGGTTTGCTTTCAGCTCTTTTCAGCTAAAGTGATGGGGGATCCCTTTCTCGTGGAGGAGGTGGGCCTGCTTGCACTCAGGTCTGCGGTGGACAAAGAGCAGAAACAAGGCCAAGATTTCCATGCATTGCTCCTGGAGACATTTTCGAACCTTCTGGAACTCCTGACCCTCCGCCACCGGCTGATAGAAATGAATGTGGAGAGTGCACACTTGGCTCGGTCAGTGGGGACAGGCACTTCATGGAAGGACTTGGGGACTAAATATGAATAGTCCAGCTCACTGTCTCAAGTCTTGCCCTTTGCTCCCTAAAGCAGCTAGACTGAAATGATCACCTTGTTCCCTCCCCTCCTCCGAGTCTCCCATGAGCCTCTCTGACTGTCCAACTGGCCAGGAGTCTCCCAGTGGTACCCACATGTTCTTCCCATCCAGTGCATGTCCGCTTGCTTGGATGCTTAATATTGGTTTGTCAGTTTTCTAATATAAAACCCCTGCCTGGCTTTTCACGGGGATATCAGGTTACCTGGTATCTTACTCTGTTTGTGCTATTATAACAGACTCTACTGGAGACTGGGTCATGTATAAAGAACAGAGATCTATTTCTGACAGTTCTGGGTGTTGATAAGGCCAAGGTCATGGGGTCTACATGCTCTTGCATCTGCTCATAGGTGGAGTGGGAGACGGGTGTGATGTCCCACAATAGCTGGCCTACTTCTTCACTGTTGAGCCCTCACAACCACATGTCTCCTCAAAAGTCTCTGTCAGCTGCTCTTGCACTGGGGATTAAATTTCTAACATGTGAACTTTGGGGGACATCCAAGCCATGTCCTGGGGCCTGAGTCACACCAGGCACTCAGGATTATTTTCTCTTGCATACGATGAAGCTGCCTCGCAGAGGGCCTGGAGACATGAGAATGTGTCAGTGGCACTATCTGGGTCTCAAGAGGGATGGGGGCTCAGCAGGTCAGAGAACAGAGATGCTAACGGAGTCTGTTTCGAGTTTTTAGTAGGAGTCAATGCTAACTAAAGCTTTTCTCAGAAGGAGAATGGAACTCGAGGGTTTGTTTCAGATGCACACAGTACTGCTCTGATTCCCACGGGAAGCCCAGCAGGCATAGCCAGTCCAGCCATCCGCCAGCCACCCTAGGACCTGCGTGGTCACAGTCTTTATGGGACGCTATTTGTGTTATTTCCTTAAATTCTTGTACTCTATCTATGAGATAGGTGTGAACATTTCATTAGCAAGGAAGTAGAGGGTCAGAAAATTAAGTAATTAGTCCAAGACCTCTGCATTAGAAAGTGGTAGAAACGGAAACTGAGCTATTAGTCAACTTACTGCCCCTAGGACACTTCTCTCTACAATTTATGAGTCTCTTGGGAGCTAATAATGTAAAAATTACCCATATATATTATAATCTCCTACCTTAATTCTTCTGTTGTCTGCCTGACCTAATGGGAAGTGGGGCCCAAGATCGTTATAGACTATGCCCTTCCTATAATACTGGGCTTGCTCTCGTCTGATTTTGTGTTTGTGCTTAATCTTCTGTGTTCACTTCCTAGTGACTTAATCAATTGTCTTTCAGGAAAAACTACTAACAAATGTACCCTTGCCCCTGTCCCCTCTTCAAGGCTATATAAGGAACTGGCACGGGAGATGGGTTTTGAAGAATTCCATTTGTATCTGAGGCCTGTTCCCTTTGAGCTAGCATCACACAAGGACAAGGTGGACCCACCTCCTCCTGTCTTTATGACGTCTCTGCTGGAGGACAGCAGTCGAGTGGACAGGTGAGCATCTCGGAGGCGAGAGAGCTGTCATAATGCAGGGTAACCCAGCGAACCATGCCAGCAGAGCTGCGTTTCTTAATTCTCCCTTGGATGCCATCTGCCATCCAGTGTCTTTCTTCTTTCCTTCTTAGTAAGGGGGAAACCAATGTCTCAATCAAGGGTATAGCTGGCTTTGAAAACACGGAATCAGGTTGGGGAAATGCCTCAGTAAAGAGCTTGGTGTGCAAGCTTGAGGACCAGAGTTCGGGTCCCCAGAACCCATGTAAATACCTCACACACGTGGCGACCCACCTGTAATTACAGCCTCAGAGGGTGGAGAAGGTGACCCCCAAAGCAAGCTGGCTCACAGAATGTGAGCTCTGCATCTGACTGAGAGGGCTTGCCTCACTGAATAGGGTTGAAGGCGATGAAGATAACCCCTGACATCAACCTTGGGCCTCTCCATCCATGAGCACCCATCCCCACACACAGGCACCGATATACATTTAAACTTACATACGTATATGCATGACTACCACCACCACACACACACACACACATGAAAATGGGGGAAGAAAGAAAATAAATACACAGAAACCCACGAAGTCATGGAGACCTGGGAGAACCAGGTCAGAGAATGAGCTTCTCGGGTAGACTGTGTCCTTCCAGGTGTAAGGACTGTGAGGGCTGGCCTTCCCTCTCGCTTCCCCTGACAAGGAAGTCAGCCCCATTTCTGCATCTGTAACAACAGCACACAGCTCATGGGCAGACATCTTAGTTTCCTTTGCTGGAAGCCAGTTCCAACCAATGGAACTTATCTCATGGCTCAGGGCAGCCTTTGCTGCTCTTCTCGACGACAGACGTGATCTTCTCAGCTACTGTTAGGCACCTCTCCTTCCTCTCCATCAGAGGGCCAGCTTCTCCTGTCCCCACCTCTTCCCAGAGTCAGTCTGCCCTTCCTCCCAGGGTCCCGGCACTGGCTCCACCCTGAGGAGACACCTTTGTGCTGCTAATATAGATCACTGCTCAGAATTTGACTCAGATGTGTTGTTAGGCTAGCGGTTTCCTCAGAGCATGGACATGAGTGAAAGGTTAGCATGGCAGGATGTTATGTCGATTTCTTGGCACCTGAAAATTAGGGCTGTGTTCATCTTCACTGGGTGAAGCAAGGCTACTGTCCTACAAGGCTACTGTACCTTAGGTTATTTAGCGGCGTTCTTGACTTCTACGCGAGAGATGGCAATAGCAGCCTCTGTCCTCCTCCTTCCCCCTTCCTCCCCATCATCCTCCTCTTCCTTCCCCTCTTCCTCCTCCTTTTCCTCTTCGTCCTCTCTCCTCCTCCTCTCCCTTCTCCTCTTCAACCTACCTACCCCTTGTTTGTGTCTGACAACTGAAGACATCTCCAGACATTGCCCAATAATTCTTCAGGGAAAATTCTTCTCTCGCTCTCTTTCACCACAAGACTGGCATTGAAAAGTAGGAAGTGTGATGGGACCTCAAGTGAGGTGCACTCTCCAGCTGCCACTGTGGAGCCAAACTGTAGTCAGGGTTCCTCCAGAGCTGGTCTCTTATACTTCTAGAAAAAAATAAAAGCTGGAACCCACCTATCGGCACAAACTTCCCGAGGCTCCGTGGCCAGGGTGAGTGGTGACTGGACCTCCCAGTGATGTCCAGGTAGGCTTCAAGGGAAGGAGAGCCTGCTGAAGGGATGATTCGTGCATTCAGAGAGCTTGCATCTTGACTTACTTTTATATATGCTTGTAGATGGAGTTTCTGTTCTGCCTGGTCCCGCTGCCCCTCAGTCCCAAATAAATACACAGAGTCTTATATTAATTATAAACTGTCTGGCCGATGGCTTGGGCTTCTTATTGGCTACCTCTCTCTTAATTATTAACCCATTTCTATTAATCTAAGTATTTCCATGTGGTCTTGGCTTACCAGAGAGTGCCTGGACCTGTTACTCCCTCTGTGGCTACATGGCGTCTCTCTGGTGGCTCACTCTCTGCCTTCCTCTCCCAGGATTCTCCTTGTCTGGTAGTCCCACCTATACTTCCTGCCTGGCTACTGGCCAACCAGTGTTTTATTTTATTTATTTATTTTTTAATTTAAATTTAAATTAGAAACAAGGTTGCTTCACAGGTCAATCCTAGGTCCCTCTCCCTTTCCCTCCCCTCCTCCTACACCTTCCCACCAACCCCACCAACACCACTTTCTTTCCCCAGGGAGGGTGAGGCCCTCCATGGGGGTGCCCATAGTCTGTCATTTCATCCAGGGCAGGGCCTAGACCCTCCCCCAAGAGTCCAGGGTGAGAGTGCATCTCTCATTGTGGGATGGGCACCCAGAGTTCATTTGTATACCCGGAATAAATACTGATTTACTACCCAAGGCCGCATAGATTACCTCACTGACACCCACATTCAGGGGGTCTTGATCAGTCCCATGCTGGGTTCCCAGGCATCAGTCTGGGATTCAAGAGCTCAACCAGTGTTTTATTAAACCAAAAAGAGAAACATATATACAAAAGGACAACCCCCATCATATGCTAATTTCCTAAAGCTGTCACTTTGGAGTGACAGTGTAAGAGCAGTGTGCTGGCACCTTCATACGGTGGCTGACACTTTACCAAGCACACTCGTGCATATGAATTTCCTAGTGCCTGACCCTACAGTAGCTCACAGTCCCATTCGCAGATGAGAAAACAAAGACTGGTGCACACTAAGTTGCTTGATAGAAAGTCACATCTTACAAAGGGCTGTGCCCCAAGGCAGGAGCCCTGTAGAGAATGGGCTGGATGACAGTAAGAAGCAGATGCCTTTTAGGGGTGTGTAGAGGAAGGAGTTGACGGGGTGGGTGACCCTGAACTGGTGTAGTCGAGAAAGTAAGAAGAACAGGGTGTGATGAAGAGAATCGAACATCCCACAGTACGGAGCGGTCACCACAGGTTGACCTCCCAGAGCTGGTCAGCTGCTGTCCTGAGCCATCAGAGGGGCCTGCCCTGACAGGTGTGTCAGGACAGGACAGCTCCACCTGTCTCTTTGCAGGTACTCCCCCACGGCCCACGGCCTGGCCATCGCTGAGCTGGGCGATAACCAAATTGGCAAGTTCAGTTTTTATACAAAAGATGCCGTCCTCAAGGTAAGTGATTTTGCGCATTTCTTTAGACAAGATGCTGAAATTTGAAAGAGAAGCTAAAATAAAATCAAAGCGATTTATTCTTCTTTAAAAAATTAATTCATAGGAATTGGCTTCCGTTCACAAGAAAAGCTTTCCCCCAAGCCTTACCTGGCCTCATGGCACACACCTGTAATCCCAGCATTGGGCAGGGGCAATGTGGAGGCAGGAGGATAGAGAGTTCAAGGCCAGCCTCAACCACATAGCAAGTTTGAGTTTGAGGCCGGCCTGGGCTACGTGAGAGCCTGTCTCAAACAAAAGAAAAGCTGTTCTTTATTATTAATGATGCTGGCCTTGTATGAGCCTGGCTTGAACCCTGAGGACTGCAGCCCACGTACACTAACTTCTGCTAGAGACGAAAAGAAGGCTTTTAAAGTATGTACTTGTTAGTGGAGACCTCATCTTACCATTTAAAACCTGGTGCTATTTTCTGCTTTTCCCCTTAAATTTCTTTGCTGTGTGTGTGTGTGTGTGTGTGTGTGTGTGTGTGTGTGTGTGTAGATATTTTTCTTGATGACTTCAATCTAATCCTGGCTTTCAAGATCCCTGCTTCTGAGCCCCTGTAGCTTATCAGAGTCCTCCCTGACAGCAGGGGAGCTGCTTGGTGTCTTCATGGCAGCTGAGACCTGGAGGCCATCAGCCTGGGATGTATGGCTGCCCGGGGAGGAGCCGGCTCAATCTGGCAGCTGAGCGACAAGAAGTCCAGTGTGCCCTTCGGTTCAAGTCCTGGGTGTTTGACGGTTTACGGAAGCCATGAGTCCCACCCACCGTCAGCGTTTCCCCTCTCTGGGAGCAATCTCTCACTTTCTCTTCCTGTAGCTCTTGTTCCACTCAGGGGTGGAAAATATGCAAGTGGCGCTCGCCTGCCAGGCGGCTCAGAAGAATGCTCTGATGGCGGCCATTCAACAGGTGTCCTTCTACGACATCCCTGGAGCAGACAGTCCTGATGATACCGAGGTCAGCCTCTATGATGGGGAAGCCAGAGGATGCTGCCCCTGCCGGCAGCTAGCGCCAGGTCGCCCCCCCTCCCCCACCTCCCCTCCCATTTCCTCCCTCTCTTCAACCCCTCCTCCCTTCCTCTGCCTTTTCTCCCTCCCTCCATCACCTTTCCTTTCTGACCTGTGCAGGGAAACCAGATACAGTTTCTCATACTGTACACTCAAAACGCAGACCACATCTGTGGCTCCAAAAGCTGTGGAGATTTCTCCCTGACAGGGAGCAAGCAATAAGTTCTGTGCAAGACACCGTCTGGAACTGTTCATACTCAGTTCCAGGAACCTTCAGTTAGCCGCAGATCCCATACGGTAAAGGGCATCAACACCAACACGCCTGCCATTTCAGATCCAGGCACAAGTCTAGGCCTCTGGAACTTCTGATTGGCTGCCTACAACTTGGAGCTCCCGGGACTCCCACCTGGGGCTACTAGAGCTCGCACAGAGTGAAGGGAAGCACACTTCAAAGTTTATTACAAAGTCTGCTCAGAGGGGTATAAACAAGCGACCGGGTGAAGAGGCTGAGTCTGAGGGGTGCTGGGTTCAGGCGCTGTGTCCCCATGTGTAGGGTGCACATCCTCTGGCATGTGGAAGGTTTCTCAGCCACCTTTTTTGCGAGTCTCTGCCTGTCCAGCTGCTCTGAGGCTCTCCATAATCTTCCTTTTGCAAAGACTTATTGCCTGGGCCTGATCGGTCATGTGGCTTTCACAGAGGCTTGGACAAGAATGTGGAAAAGCAGCTAGATGGAAAGCGTGACCCTGTTTGAAGGGATTAGGTGAGAACCTGACCGGGGGAGAGTTCTCCTCAGAATTCAGCCAAGGGACATGGATCGTTTAAGCAGATGTTTATGGAGAGAGATCAGATTAGGCTGGCGGCGTGGTGGTGGGTGGTGGGGGGTTAGCAGCCCATTGGGGTCTATGTTTTGACTTTTTTAAGTTTAAATGAACATTTATGAGGGGTCAGCGTATTTATGAGGTAAAGTGACACACCTCCCAAATCATGACAGATCTCATCTCTGTTTTAGGGCATTTCTCCCTACCACCCTCTTAAAAAGTCCTTGGGGTATGGGTACACCAAAGATGACAATACTGATAATTTTCTGATGAAGTCAGTGTATTTTGATGACACAAACTGTGCATTAGTACACAAGTGGCAACTTAGAAAGTGTCCTGGAGCCTGAGTTTCTGATCTAATGGGGAGAACTTAAGCGTAGCTTCAGGGATATTTCACCACAAAGAGGCATTCTGACCCTCCGGAGACACAGCTGTGTCCTAGACCCTGAGGGCCTCACTCTCTAAGGGAGACTTGGCTGCTGAGTTTGGTAACCCCACGTCTAACTCCTTGTGTGCCCAGACTCCAGAAGTCCCCCACAAGGCTTGTCTGTCTGGATTCTTCAGACCCCTCCCAGAGGCCCTGGGGCAAAGCCTCTTCTGTAGAGGGGTCACCTCTGCTGTTAAAAGGTAGATCTGTGGATTTAAGACTAGGGTTTCTTTGGCCTCTGCTGGAGGAAATCCCAGTGTCCGTGGCCGGCCTCTGGGAGAAAGGAGCAGGTGAACGGCCCGGCTGGTGGAAGATGGGGGTGGAGGCTGAGGTCACCAACTTTGCTCCAGGGGCCAGTTGCAAGGTTTAAGGGCCTAGGGGCTGTTCCTTGGGAGTGCTGAGTGAAGAGCCCCAAGCAGTATGGAAATGTATGTGTGTCACACCCCATTCCTCACTGTCCTTCCTTCTTTGCTGGTCGTGAGTGGCAGCGTGCTGATAATGTTTCCTTTGTAGATTACCCTAAAATACTGGCTGGTTAGACTCATCCAGGACAAAGTGTTTCCACCCTTCCGCTTTGCAGATAAAGGATTCCATTGTTCTATTGTTTATCCTTCCTATAATTCTTTTGGAAAATGCAGGTAGACAATTTGATCCTTTTTTTTAACATTGTAGCTAGTGCTGAGGGGGCCAGTGAACATGCCGCAGCTCATGTGCAGAGGCCAGAGAATAACTTGTAGAGTCACTTCTCTCCTCCCGCTATGTGGGTTCTGAATGAAGCTCAGGCCCTCGGGTGGTAAGTGCCTTCACCCGCTGAGCCATCTTGCTGGCCCTCGATTCAAACTACCACACCATGTATGCTCCTTTCCTCATTTTTGAGGATTTTTGGGGCCTTTTTGTTGTAGAGATGCAACTTATAGAACGTAAAATTACTCCTTGAAAGTGGCTAATTTGTGGGCTGGGCAGATGGCCTAGCAATAAAGGACACGTGCTGCTCCTCCAGAGGACATGAGTTCTGTTCCTAGAACCACACCTTTCTGCTCACAACCACCTGCAGCTCCAGTTCTAAGGGCTCTGATTCCTTGTAGCCTCCTCAGACACCCACACCCATGGCTGCCGTGCCCGCTGCGCAGCCTGTGTCCAAGAATGTGCGAAGGGTGTCGGGGATTGACAACACAGAGACCCGAAGGCTCCACAAGAAGGCGCTCTCTTTTATTCCTATTCTGGCTGGTTATTATATACCCTGACACCAGAGGTGGATGTGGGTGGGTCTGAAGAGGCGGTTAGTCTTTGGACAAGGTCGAGGTCAGGGCGTTCCCGTGGGCCAGCCCTTTTCAGGAACTTATTGCCCGAGGCATTGTATTGTTTTTAGTAAACATGTTTTTAGTAAACATTGTCTTACAGCTGCCTACTCCCAGGCTGATGGGGAAGTGGGTCTCTGCTCAAGGTCTGGTGTCCCCACACATGGCCTCCTCAGACATCCACACCCATGGCCTCCTCAGACACCCACACACATGGCCTCCTCAGACACCCACACCCATGGCCTCCTCAGACACCCACACCCATGGCCTCCTCAGACACCCACACCCATGGCCTCCTCAGACACCCACACCCATGGCCTCCTCAGGTGCATTCAAGTGCATATGCTCGAGCACACATGCCCACACACACACACACACAAAACACGCGGTCTCCTCAGATACACACACATGTGGACAGACACAATAGACACAGGCACATGTGCAAATAAACAAAAATAAAAAATTCAAAAAAGTGTCTAATTCAATGTGGCTTTTTAGTCACCAGTTTCTATTTTAAAAATATTTGTATCACTTTCTAAAGAAACCCTGCACCTAAGTGGCCACTCCCAATCCCCTTCCCTTGGTCCCTGGAAACCATTAAAGTACTTCCTGTCTATGGATTTACTGTTCATATAAATGTATCATACGTGTGGCCTTTTGTGTTTGGCCTTTTTCACTTAAAGCGATGTTTTCAAAGTCTGTGTGTGTTATAGCAACTATTATACTTCATTCTGTCATGCAGAGATAATACATTTTGTTTATCCATTCATCAATTGATTGCCTTTGCTTTCTGGCTATAACAAGTAAAAGTGCTGTGAACATCTACACACAATGTACATGGCAATCATTCCTCAGCGACTGAAAACCTGTGGCTCTTTGGAGCTCAAAGAACAAGACCCAATATCCTCATGTGGGTATACAAGATCTTCCCTCTCTGACCCAAGTTCTCTCTCCTTCTCCTGCCATCCATCTAAACGCTGCCTTAAGAGTCCTAGACATTCTGTACGCTTCGCGTGTCTCTATGCCTCTGCTTCTGTTTCCCCAGAACATTTTGTCCCACACTACCACACCTCACCCCTCCTTCCTCCTCACACTTTTTTGTGGTCTAGAGAATGTTGCTCATCCTCCATGATTCAACTCAGTTATTATTGTCACAGGGAGTCCACCAGAGATGACCACTTAGACACAGCTTATAGCCAGTTAAAAGCCTTTATTCCAGCCAGCTGGGACTACACTCAGGTATTTAGAGAACCAAGTGTAGCTCCAGGGGACTTTTAAAAGCAAAAATCACATCCTGTTATCTCCCTCAACAGCGGCAGGGAGAGGTTTGCACAAGCAAGCTTTTAACAAAAGCTAAGATAAGCAGTTAGCTGCAGGGGCAGGTTTGCACAAGCAAGCTGTTTAGTAGAAGCTGAGGTTGCTGGGCATCTTGACCTCAGGATCCTAGAATAGAGTTGGGTGATTTTCCATGGGATTCTCCATCAGGGACATCAAACTCTAGTTAAATAATGGCCTCAGCGAGAAAACAAGACAGAGGAACCTCTGCACACTGCTTTGCCCCGTTGTCTTGCAGAAAGCAGCCAGCCCTCTTCGAACTCTGCTGAAGTACATCTTATGGTTGCTTCTTCATAAAATGTATGTACAGACTCATTTATAAATCTTTTACAACTGTGTAACAGGAAAGGGCCTGTTAGCATAATCAAGAGATGGAGTGCGGGAGGAAGAGAAGGAAGGGGATGAGACAGAGAACAAAAGTGTGTGCTGTCGCCAATGCTATTCGGGAAGCAGTGAGCCACCAACAGTGCAGCCTGGCAGATAAGTGGTGAAAAGATGCTCAATGCCAGTAACCGTTAGAGGAAAGTGAGTTAAAGCCCCGTTGAGAAATATTGCACACCCACTAGAATGGTTAAAATTGAGAAGACTGATTGACCACCTTCAGTGCTGGCAAGGAGATGAAGCGTCTGAAACCTTTGTAAATGACTGATGAGAATGCAAATGGTGCGACCACCTGGAAAATAATTTTGCAATTGTGTCCACAGTTTTCCTGCTGACTAAGGAGTTCTACTCAAGAGAGTAAAAGCTACAGAACTAAAGTTAGGAAGGCATGAGCTATGTGAGGCTCTGTTAAAAAAAAAGATTAGAACTGAATAAGCAATTTGAGAGTATAGGAGGGTTGCAAGGCTTAAAGGGGAAAGTTGTTAGGCACAGAAACGAAAGGTAGGCATGGTCATAGCTGCGGGAGGAGGGCATGACTGATGGATTCGGACTTTCTGTGGCCCCAGCTGCCAGAAAGTCATACAGTGGAAACCCAGGCTAAAGGAATCTTTTCCTGCCCCCATGATCTGGTGTTGTCTGGGTAAGGAAACCGCTTAGAACTAGATTAAAGAAAATAGATGAGACCTACCAGTCAATGAGCATCAGCCCTGGATCGAACTCAGAACTTTGGTTCTCTTCCTTCCCACCGGTTTCATGGCCTGGCAAGATGACCCCTCTTCTGAACTGGTAGACTTCCATTTCCTGCACACCAGGATGCCCAGGGTGTTCAGGGGAAAACGAGGTTGGAAACTTTAGATTTTTTTCATCTCTGGGATTTTCTTTCCCTTTGGCCTCACCCTCCTGACATCATTTCAATAAGATAACTCCTTGGTTATGCCACTGAAGAATGACCTTGCCTTTGAAGGCTTGCCTTTCTTTCGTTTGGTAGTTAATAGGACACAAAAGACTTCTACCCACCGATCTCCATAAGGAACTGTGCTGGGAGAGTAGAAGATACCGATGTTCTGCTTTCTTCCAAAGCACTCTCTCTCCCGCCTCCCTCATTCCCACTTTCCCCTCATTACTGTTTCATTGCCCAAGAAGGCAGATGTTGAATGTGCGGGTGTAAAGATTTCACTAGACTGGAGATAAGTGGGTGCTTTATTGGGGAATAACCTACACGGAACAATAAAGAACTACCGCAGCCTTTCTCCACTCTTCTAATTGGATCTGAGACCCAGAGAGAAAGAAAGAGAGAGAGAGAGAGAGAGCACCCTCAAGCTTTTTCTTTTTCTGCTTCATTCCACACCTGAAGCCACACCCAAAGGAGTGTGGCCACTGTTACAGGCGCACAGGCAAGATGCCACTACAAGGTATAATCCAGACATACTTGGGTAAGTCTTCCAGATCTTGTAACTGTGCGATCCATTAGCAGATCTGTGCAATCCGTCTTCCAGATCTGTGTGCTCCATTAGCTGTTCTGTAGATGCTGGTCCACACACAGAATTCCACTCTACTTTGTAGGATGGAGAATTTTTCTGGGAGCGTTCTACGTAACTGTACTCATATTCCAGAAATACCCCTACTTTGTGTCTTATCCCTTCAGGGTGCAAACTCATGCCTCCTCCTCTTCCCTTCCCTCCCCTCCCCTTCCCTTCTCTCTCCTTCCCTTTCCTTCCCTTCCTTCCCTTCCCTTTCCCTCCTTGCCTCTCCTCTCCTCTTCCCTTCCCTTCCCTTCTCTTCTCTCCAATCTCCTCCTCCCATCACATATGTGTGGGGTTCACTGTAGTCCAACAGCCCTACAAGGCCTATGTCTAACAAACTGAACTCGTGTGGGTTTCTGATGGCTTAGGAAACAAGTTCAGCTCTGAAGCATCATGACAGAATGAGTCCAACCAGAAGAGATTCCAGAACTGCAAGTCACAAAGAGTGTTTGCTATCAGCCCCAACTCCAAAAGCTCCAGACACCCTTACTCATTCTTCAGGGCTTAAGACTACCAAAAGGTACTGTATCTAGTGGGAAGATATTTGAGTCAAAAAATAGAGTGACTCATGCGAGCTTTAATGTTTCATGCTCTCATGTGATGATGCATGTGAACACTCCCTTAGATCCAGTCCTCTACAATGGAGGGTCAGCTCAGCCTGGGTTTAGTCATTCTCTCCTCTCTTCCTTTTTCCTCTCCTCTCTTCAATTTCTCTTTCTTCCCTTGACTCCCTCCTGTCTCTTTCTCTGTAGATTTTCCCATACTCTCCTTCACGAGCAGGGAGATAAATAAGCCACTCCAGACTTTGTGTAACTACATAAGATTGAAAACACAGAACTGCTTTCACTATTCTAATGAAGATTTTACTGTTGTTCCAAAAAATAGGAGGGTGAGTTCTCTGAGAATCGCGGTGTCCAAGAAGGTGTGTCTACCACCAATGATGCCTACTATGCCTTGATCTTTCCCCACTATGATGGAGAAAGACATAGACATACTCTCTAATAACTATGCCACTCTGGTATTTCGTTGGGTACCAAGGGCGTTCTAATTTAATTTGGCGAATGTGGAAGGAAAAATGATGACAAGCAAAATAACTTCTATTCGAGATGCTGCTAATGGGACACATGGCCAGAGGTCAAGTGTCTTCAGACCACGTTCCCAGTGTGGATGAAAATTTAAGATCAGTTGAGAGGACCCTCTAGTTCTGGTGTCTCAATGGCTAACGTTGAGAGGGTACACTGCCCAGGCTGTGATGTCTGGGGAGGGATTGCCGATGCATGTTTTAGGCACAATGGGGTCTCCAGGGAGCACAATGGAGTCATCAGATGCACTTAAGAAGAAGCCTGACTTCCTGCAGCAGCGCCCAACATGTGAGTGATTGGGGCCACACATCTGCTGGCCGCTGCCCTCAGCTCAGCTGTCTCTTTCTCTGTCAGGGCTCCAGAAGCCTTCGTGTCTATTCAACTAGAAAAGGTGGGTTTGCGGGACACGATGCTGAACACCTTCCTGCACAGAAAACAGACGGTGGCTGACAGGATGGAGAGCCCTGTGAGTGTTAAGGAAGAGGGTCTCCCTGAAACTCTCTATGCTTGAATAAATGAATAGTCTGAATTTGGCATCTCTTGCTTTAAGCATTCAGAAAGGGCTATGGAAAACACTGCACAGAACCCAGGCAAGACAGAATCCTTTCACATAGACCATAGTAATGCCCTAAGGAATGCACATTTTCCCAGTGTCTTGTCACTTTCTAAAAGGACTGGTCTGAGTACCTGTGCCAGGACATTTGCTGCTTTTGAGTGACCTGCAGGGGTCGGTGGCTTGGGCAAGGTAGGCAGGTGCTCACATGTCATCTTTGTTTATCAGAAGCTACTAATGTGTTCCTATTTAAGTTATTTTTCAAATATTAGATCATTTAGAAGATTCCCAATTTTGTTAATAGTGTCACATTATTCATTAAGTTTTTGATAATAAATAATCATCTGGAAGGAAATGAAATGGAAGAAAAGGCTTTGTCCCTCCCCATGACAAGTAAGGGAAGACTTAGCCTGACACAGGCATGTAAATGGACCGAAATAGCCGGCAGCTGCGTTATTCACTGAAGAGTGATAATGGAAGCAAGGGCAGTCACTGTTTTCTGAGAATTGTTTATTTGGGGGAGATTCTATGCCATTCTCCTCAAAATAAATAATTCTCAAAAAATAGTGACTGTGTGACAGAGTTCTAGGGTTGCCCAACACCACCAGACCAGAAAGAACTCAGGCAATATTAGGTCAGCTTTGACAGTTGCAGGATTTCAGCCTACTGGCAAGTTAACAAGTTAGTCCTTTACCATCCCATGGATGCTGGCTGAAGTATGTGACTGCAGTCACAGATAGAGCTGAGTCCTTGCAGCAGAGCAGGCAGCACAGAGTCATGTCCTGTCAATGCCCTTTGCTTCCCACAGAGACAGAGTGGAAGAGCCACCAAGCACCCAGTGGGTTTCTGTCAAAAACCACAAAGCTGGGTGGGGAACCTCTTTTAGAGCCAACCTGCCCTTTTTCCTAGAGAGAGGCTCTCCCTCAGCCCCGAGGCCTGTTCTCAGCAAACACAACCCTGAGACATGGAAAGTGGTCAGGACCTGGCACTGTTGGCATTCTCAGCGAGATGGGAGCAGATAGAAGAGACCCACACAAGGGTCTCCCAACACATTGGCCCTCAGAAAGAAAGGCTCAGCCTCGTGGCTATTTCCCGCTTGAATTTGACCATACATTCATTCATATATATATATTTCCTCTTTTATCAACAGGATGACATTGAAAAAGTCAAGAGGGAACTAATAGTTGAATATTGCCAAAAGTAAGTAGAGTCTACATGAATAATGCACTCTGGTTTCTCTGCCTGGGTACCCTTGCCAGCATGTTACCTAGAAACCCAGACCCACCAGGAGTTGTAAATGAACCACAGCCATAGAGAATGGATAGACCCAAGTAAGACTCACACCTCACGCTGAGGGGAGGGGCATTAGAAGTAAGGATGGGGCACTTGGAAGAGGTCCATGCTTCTGCCTTCAGACAATGGCAGCCTTATGCAGGTTGTGACGTCTTCTCAACGGAGAATGTTCTAGTCTCTTTGAGAAGTCCCCTGGGAGGTAGATTCTGGAACTTCCCTGAGAGGTTGAAGATCTTGGATTCTTCAGGGTGCCATGTCTTCCTCTGGCCTCCAGGTTGAACTTCCGCATGTCTCACTATGCCCTTCGGGGTCAGATCATGGCATACGGCAATAGTCTGAGAGGTCTTCTAGAGGACCTCCCCACCATCAGGGACACCTTCTTCATGGTGGGACAACCAAATGAAAAGGAGGGCTTGAAGGACTCCAGTGGGGGATTCAAGGCTGACCCCAGGTAAGCAAGGCCATTAAAGCTAGTTACTCTACCGCCTCGGCCCTCCCTCTCCCGGGAGACTGGTTAGTACAGAACTCTTGGTGCTCCAGCGTCCCCCAAGGTCCAGGGATAGACTTGCTAGGCAGGGCTGCACACTATTAGGAAGCAGCGCTGTGTCTCAGAGGTGGGAACCTAGCGGGAGACTTTTAGGTCACTGAAGGTATGTCCTTGAGGGGATTTGGGAGGTGCTGGTTTCCTCTTCATCAGCATCCCTTCCTCCCCTCCGTCCTCTCCCTTACTTTTCAGATACACGGCCTCACCTAAAGCATCAGGGCCACACAGCGTAATAAGCATTTTCTCTTTATAAATAGGTTGTTTCAGGCACTTGTTACGGTAGCAGAAAGCTGGCCTTCCGTCTTCATTGCCCTCGACTTTGACTTTTGGCTTGGCAGGTCAGAAGAAAACATCAGCACTCCAAGAAGGAGAGCAGCTCTGTCTCTGACGGAGTCCTTTGTTCCCCGCATGTGTGACTGCAGTTTGCAATCAATGGGCTTTTGTCTTCTCTTGGGAAGGCCAGAGAGTCTCACCAGTCACAGCCCTTTCTACAAGCCAATGTCTAAAATAAGCAAGCAAACAGGGGAGCTTGGCTTTTAGCTGCCCTGGCTTCTGATAGTCTACTCAGGGGAGAAGAAATATTTAAAAGAAAATAGTAGTTAGCGGCACTGTGAGTAAATCAGCCGTTTTCCCTCTGGTAGGCTATCCAGAGAGAGACTGAAAAGACAAGAGCTGTTTCCATGTTTCTTCATCATGCTGTGTAGATTTCCAAGTGTTCTTAACCAGTCTACCTGGGCCACCCTCCCCGATGGAGGGGTCAGCTAGCGTACCTGTGCAGCCACTAACCTGTGCAGTGTCTTGTCTGTGGAGGAGAGGGAGCATGTGTTATAGGTTGTGCAGTGTTCAAGGAGCTTGCCTCACCCCTTAGTCATTTTCTATATAGTATGGAGTTTGAGTGGCAGTAATATTTGAAATATGACGGATGAGACAGATAAAAGGCATCAGAAGATGGCATGCTTCAGACCATGCATTCACTCACTCATTCATGCTTGTGTTGTGGTGTTCAAATTCACTGGGAAAGACCAAAGACTTAGACTAATGAATTTATTCTTACTGCTATCGGGAGGGTGGCAGCCTTAGAGCCAAACAGCAGGCTGTGTGGAAGGGGACTGAGGTGGCGTTTTTAAGGTGGACATCAGAAAGGTGTATGTTACAACTATCCATGGAACCCACAGCTGGGCAGGAGGAACACTCTGTCTCACATCGATACAGATATAGAAGCAAAAGCAATCGTTAATGCCTCACAGCTCATTATCCTACTCCTCTCTCACCTGCAGGCTGCTAAGATCTTCCCAGCATTCCAGAACAAAAGGCCAACAGCCCCTAAGATGTGCCTGGCTCCATGTTAAGTGTCTTTAGCCATTTCGGGGACCTGTGTAAATTATTACTCAGGTCTGCACACTCTAATGACTGGGATGGAGCAGGTCACTTCTGGGCAGGCAATAGCAGTGTCCTCAGGTTAGGGCTGGTTGTCGTGTCCCTACGCGTGTATGTACATCAACCATCCTTTTTCAGGCCTTGCTTAGTCCCAGGCCTTTTGCACCAGGCAAGGGGAACAAAGATCAACAGTCCATTGGCTCCAGAGGAAAGCTCAATAATCAGCTAACTCCAGAGATAACATGGTAGAGGAATCCCTCAAAGTTTATGAAGGGACAACGGAGGGGATGTTTAACTCTACCCCAGGACTCCCGAGAGGAATTGAAATAAACAAGGAACAGGGAAGTGGAGCTTATTGAGAAAGTGGGATAGTCAGTGAAGGCCAGAGAGGGAAAGGAGTTTAGTCCTCTATCCCTTGACTGGGCTGACAGGGGCCCATCTTTCTTTGGTGTTTGCAAGGTGCTCTGGGCGTGGTTAAAATCAGTGTTCTTAGTTTTCAAGTCACCCAGCGCTTTTTCTGAGACCTCAGGACTTGTTTTTTGGTTTTTTTGTTTGTTTGTTTGTTTGTTTGAGACAGGGTTTCTCTGTATAGACCAGGCTGGCCTCAAACTCACAGAGATCCGCCTGCCTCTGCCTCCAGAGTGCTGGGATTAAAGACGTGTGCCACCACCACCTGGCAACCTCAGGACTTGTAAGGGTCCCTTTTAGAGAAGAGGGGGTGGAGACATCTCTGAAGACTCCTATGAAAGGCTTTCCTGGACATCTGCAGTATTTATCTCTTCTAAGAACCACTGCAGGCCGATCCTCTAAGACCTCTCTGCTCATGGGTTTCTACCCTCTCGGCAAACTGACCAATCTACGCTTGGCATTGAACTTTCAAAGCTCTTTCCAGAAGTCTATTCATGAATCCTCTACATTTTTTCTTTCTTGCCATTAATTTTTTATTTCATTTTACATTCCAACCACAGTTCTCCCTCCCGTAACTCTTCCCCCCACCTTTGCCTGAATCCACTACATTTTTGTTTAGGGTGAAATGTTTAATGCAGTCTGTTTTTTGTTCTAGTGTGTTTAACTTGCAGTAACCAATGAGGGGGTGAGGTTGTGGAGAGGAAAGGATCTGTGTGGCTTGTGGTCTCACTCTATTTCTTTATGGTGTTGTCTTAGTTACAGTGACATCAAAGCCAGCAAAGATGTCTCCTGGATGATGGCATTTCCTAAAGAAGTAGGGGCATGGCTTCTAAGTGGAAAGCCTGGCCCCCTCAGGAAACTGCTTAGTTAAGCACAATGACTTTAGGACAGAGTCTTGGGCCAGAAAGCAAGGGCCACCCAGAGCAGTGACTGACGCAGTTTCACGGCTTCTTCACAGCCCTCACCTCCTGCTTCCTATGCCCTCTAATACGAATGTCTTGCCCCTTGAGGCATTTACTTTTACTTTATGTATCTGTGTGTGGGCCTGCACCTATGTGAGCACACCTCATGAGTGCAGAGATCAGAAGGGGGTATATGATTCCCCTGGAGCAGGACTTCCAGGTGGTTGTGAGCTGCTGTGTGGGTGCTGGAAACCAAAGCCAGACCCTCTGAAAGAGCCATGAGCCCTCTGAAGCTCTGAGTCACACTCCAGCACCTAATATTTCTCCTTTAATAGTCTAATGTGTACGGATGTAGCAGAACTTCTGCCTTGTGTGAAGTTTGGGGACAGTGCTTCCTAAGAGTCTTCCAGACTGCAAGGACTATGGTTCTGTGAACTGCGGACACAGGCCAGCGGCATCAGGAGCAGATGAACTTTCTGCTCGAAGGAGAAGGCAGATTTCGGCTCAGTTTTGGAAGTTCTTGGGCAGAGCAGCAGCATCAGCTGACTCTGGAGAGGCTGTTCTCTCAGAGTTCATCTTCGTGGGAGTGAGTGTAGGAGCAGAAATCATGTCAAACATCAGGAAAGCAAAGCTAGGCTTGGTGACGTGCTTGGGAGGTGGGAGGCAGGAGGATCAGGAGTTCAAGGTCATCCTTGAAAATTTAACACAGCCTGGGCTATAAGATGTTATCTGAATATAAGCCCACCTCTGAAGAATAAAATAATTTTAAAAGGCAGGAAACAGAGAGACACTGGAATCCATCAGTCCATTCCAAGGGCACACCACCAACTGACCCATGGCTAGGCCCGTAGGATTTACCCAGCACCCTCCAATACACCCCCAGACCAGTCATGATGGAAGAGTCCATTATGAACTCTGTTTCAAGGGGAACGTACTTAAACTCAATCCAAGACATGACATTCAGCCACGATCGGGTGCAGTGGAGATCCTTAGTCTGAGAATTCACCTATCTGGACTTCACAGCTCAGTCACACGGCGCCTGAAGGGCTTGGGAAAATCGTTTATCTTCAATCTCTGGACTTCAGTCTCTTCTCGGGGTGAGGACAGTGGAGCGGTACTCGAGGTCACACACATTGTCATTTTCAGCGCTTAGATATCTAGAGCAAGGCCACGAGAAGTGGATTGCTGGTGAAGAGCAGTCTGGAGAAAAGAGGCCATTCCCATGCCTGCTTGGGAAATGCCCGATAGGAAGCAGCCGGCTCGGGGATAACTAGAGAGCAGTGAGCGGTGATGAGGAGTGAGGGGAGAAGGGAGAGGACCGTTGTCTCAGCCACAGGACAAGGGACTGGGCCACACTGAACAAAGACGTAGCCTTTATTTTCAATGTCAGTTCCAACCACTCGTTAGTGTCCCCGCTGAGGATTCTGAGATGTTTTGTCTATGAGAGAATGATAATTGATTGGCAATGTCTGCCGTGGTCAAGAGCCCATGAGTAGTGTTAGTTTTTTTTTTTTTTTTTTTTTTTTTTTTTTGGTTTTTTCGAGACAGGGTTTCTCTGTGGCTTTGGAGGCTGTCCTGGAACTCGCTTGGTAGTCCAGCCTGGGAGTAGTGTTAGTTTAAAATTCCGAGATGCAACTTAATCATCTAAAGGCTCTAATGTACTGTAGTTTGGCAGAGCCCCCCACCCACCCAAAGCCAAGTCTTTGTCAGAGAGGAGCTAAAAAGGGAGCCCTCTTTCAACGAGGTCCCTTGAGGCTTCTGTTCTCTTCGTGGTTCCACGGAAGGCTGGAGTCTGAAGAGCAGGCTGTCACACCAGCGCTTTGAAGGGCAGGCTGATGGCTGTCACTCCTGCACATTGGGGGGCAGGCTGATGGCTGTCACTCCTGCACATTGGGGGGCAGGCTGACGGCTGTCACTCCTACAGGAAACTCATATCCATCTCTCAGGCCACAAGAAGATTCAATATGGCTGTCAGTGTCACCACTCAGGAGGTTCCTTAAACTATTTAGGAAGTGAAGTCAGTGAGGCAAAGTGCCAGATTTAAATTGGAACCAAGGAAGAAAGAGGGACCTAGGATGTCACCCAGAGTCCCCTAGCTCAGGTGAATAATGGTGGCCATGCCTTTCTCTCTCTCTCTCTCTTTTCTAAGTCCTCATTATTACTTCTGTGTGGTGTCTGTGTGCGTGAGTGCAGGGATGTGTGTCCAATGACACACACGTGGCCGTCAGAGGAGGACTTTCTGGGTTGGTGTCTGTGTGCATGAATGCAGGGATGTGTGTCCAATGACACACACGTGGCCGTCAGAGGAGGACTTTCTGGGTTGCTTCTTTCCTTCAACCACGTGGAGGCAGATTGCTCTTGTTTCTGCCACACTGTGTACTCTAGGCGAGCTGGCCCGCCAGCTTGACAGTCTTGTGTCTGCTGGAGGATGCTGGGATCATAGATGCGGCATGAATCTGTTGTTGTTTTTTTCTGTGGGTTCTAGGGATGGAACTCGGGTCATTAGACATAAGTGGCAAGTGCTTTTCCCCTACTGAGCCATCTCAGAAGGCATCGGTCAGAGCTACAGAGATGGATTGCCAGTTAAGAGCCCTTGCTGCTCTTGCAGAAGACATGGGTTCAGTTCCCAACATGCACATGGCAGCTCACAGTCATCCCAAACTCCTCTTGCAGGAGACTGGATCCCCTCTTCTGGCCTCTGTGGGCATCGGGCATTCATGTGGTATGTATTCGCACATTCAGGCAAACACTCACAGGAACAAAATAAAATAAATCCTTTTTTAGAAAATAATATAGAGGCCCAGAGTCAGTGAGCTCCTCTGAGCTCAGGTTAGTTGTTTATGTGGGTTCCCTTGTGGTGATCTTGACCCCCTGGCTAGAACTGACAGCTAGGGAGCCTGCTTGGGACTGAGCTAGGCCCTCCGCATATGTGTGACAGTTGTGTAGCTTGGTCTACTATTGGGACTCCTAGAGTGGAAGCAGGGCCTGTCCCTAACACTTGAGCTGGCTTTCAGAAACCTGTTCCTCATCCTGGGTTGCCTTGCCCAGCCTTAACACAAGAGGGGCTTAGTCCCATGTGCCATGCTTTGTTGACTCCCATGGGAGGCCTCCCCTTTCTGAACAGAAGCAGAGGAGGAATGGAAGATCCCAGGGGCAGGAGCAAGGAGGGGAATGAGAGGAGAAGAGGAAGGGGAAACTGGTTGGGATGTTAAATAAATGAATAAGTTAAATAATAATAATAATGCAAAGGCATTGATTAATGTAAAATTCAAGGCTACTCCGGGATCCTGTAGGGAGGGTCACATCAGGCTTCGAGGGTGTGGGTGACAGTCTGTTAAGCCAGGTACCTGGGCTTCTGTGCAGCCTTAAACCAAACATTTACAGATATACGTTTGTCTATAAGCCTGCAACAAGAAGACTCGTTGTGGTGTGCTGTGGTGCTGATATTGGGGAGACGAAAAGGCCAGGGTCTCAGAACCCAGCAAGAAACTCTTAGAACAGGAGCCTGTCTCTCCAAGGAACAGCGCTCACTCTAGAAGGCCGCATCCCACCCACCCTCTCCCTCTCTCTCTGTCTCTCCAAGGAACAGCGCTCACTCTAGAAGGCCGCATCCCACCCACCCTCTCCCTCTCTCTCTGTCTCTCCAAGGAACAGTGCTCACTCTAGAAGGCCGGATCCCACCCTCTCTCTCTGTCTCTCCAAGGAACAGCGCTCATTCTAGAAGGCTGGATCCCACCCACCCTCTCCCTCTCTCTCTCTCTCTTTGTCTCTCTCTCTCCCTCTCTCTCTTCCCCTCTCTCTCCCTCCCTCCCTATCTCCCTCCCTCTCTCTCTCTCACCCCCTCTCTCTCCTTCTCTCTCCCTCCCTCTCTCTCTCTCTCACTCTCCCTCCCTCTCCCTCCCTCCCTCCCTCTCCCTCCCTCCCTCTCTCTCTCCCCCTCTCTCTCCCTCCTTCCCTCCCTCCTTCCCTCCCTCTCTCTCTCCCTCTCTCCCTCCCTCCTTCCCTCCCTCTTTCTCACTCTCTCCCTCCCTCCCTCTCTCTCTCCCTCTCTCTCCTTCTCTCTCCCTCCCTCCCTCTCTCTCTTTCTCTCCCTCTCCCTCTCTCCCTCCCTCCTTTTCCCTCTCTTTCTCTCCCTCTCCCTCCCTCCTTTTCCCTCTCTCTCCCTCCCTCTCTCTCTCTCTCTCTCTCTCTCTCCCTCTCCCCCCTCCCATCCTCACTCTTAGTGAGGTTTTAAATTGTTACTTTCCTTCGCTGCCCATCCACTGTCTACTGTTCTCTCTCCCAGCCCCGGCCCGGTAGCGTCCCCCAAGTTCTTCCCTGTACTAACCCACATCATCTGAATTCTGTGCCAGCGTCCTTCCCCAGACTGACTGCTGCATGTCTACCTTATTTCCCTATTTAACGGAACCATGGAGGGCAGGGGAGGAAGGCAGGGCTGAGGAGTCTAAGAGGACCCTAGAGCACATGAGCCTTGGGAGCTGGCAGGCAGGATCGGCATCACCCTCAACACCTCACTTTCCTCAGCTGTGAAACGGGGACAAAAATAGATCAAGACATTAAGTGACATAAAATATGTAGCACCCAATATGAGACTGGCCATCTCATTTCTTTCCTTTCTTAGCACAGTTTGCCTCCCTCCGTACCCACGACTTCCTCCCTCCCACACAACTCAGGCTAAAATCAGCCCCCTCTGCTCTTTCTCCCGATGAATTATTTATACCATATTTATAAGTCGTTCTGACCACCCATGAGCAGCAGGCTGCTCCCTGGGCCTGGGCACGGGGCCGGCAGTGACCCTGCACGCAGGCCAGGCCTCTGGCTTGCTGGGATCTTGGCTTGCTATGAGCCCCTTTTTCCCACCCTGCAGGAGTTTCCAGCGTCGGCCTCGGAGTTTGCTGTCACCCGATGGAAGAGTCTTCCTCAACTTATGGTTTATCCCTCATCCTTCCGAAGTGCTGTGTATGTTCAAAACTCTGCCAGAAGAGGTTGGTGGATTGTGGGTGTAAAGATTTCACTAGACCCAAGATAAGTGATAAATGGGTGTTTTATTGGGGAACAAGCTACACAGAATAATAAAGAACTACGACACCCTGTCTCTGGCCTTCTGAGAAAGCCAGCGTGAGAGACTATGCCTCATGCTTTCCTCTTTTCGCTTCTGTCAGCACATGAAGCCACGCCCAAAGGAGGTGTGGCCACTGTTGCAGGTTCACAGGCAAGACGCTGCCACAAGCCCCTGTGGCAGCTGGTCACTTTTCAGGTCCCAGGGTTAGCCACCTTGAGTGAGGCTTCCGTGATACCTGATCACCAGAGTTTTCACAGCTCCTGATACTTTTGCCCGCTTGTTTCATTTTCTCTTTCTCTTGAGACTCATTATTTCATGAGTGCTGTTTTTTTCTGGGCCATTGATGAACACTAGTTTGGACTTCTAGTATTCTTCATTCACTCTCAGTTTCTGCCCAGCCCTTCAATCAAACCACACTTTTGTTATCCCGAAGCTAACAGAAGATGGTTTGTTTCTGAAATAGTCTTAGCACGTAGCCCAGGTTGACCACGGGCATGAGGTTCCCCTGCTCCAGCTTCCCAGGAGTGGTAGGGTAAAAAGCGTGCAACACTGTGTCAAGCTGCCTGCTGGGTCTTGTTTCCTGTTGATCCTCTTTGGGAATCACACTAGAAAGCCTGGACTGGGCTGGAACTCACTATCTAGGCCAGGCTGGCCCAGAACCTGTGTCATTAATGCTGGGACTGATTAGAGGTACGTGCCACCACACCTGACAGGATGCAGCTTTTGGGCTTGCTCTCCGACTTGATGATCAAGAATAACATTGGGAACCATTAGAAAATCGGCATGGAAATGTGTGCTGAGGTGTCCTGCTGAATATGGCATTTGGGGAATATTCTGAATTTTCCTTATGACTATAAACACCCATGCCTCGGTTATAGATGCTCGGAACAACACTGCCTGGATGAGAGTCCCTGCTGCGACCCACGTGATTCACTGATAGTCAAATAAGCACACAGCTGTGTTCGGCTGTGGTGTTTTTACACAAACAGAAACGTGGTGCCTTAACCCCCACAGTGGTGCCTTTGTCTAAGAGCAGGGCTACTCATGAATAGGTTTGTTGTTTTCTTTCTCTCGCTTATTGCCCTGGGTGCACTGTGAAAATGTTTGCTGTAGCATGACCTATGCTCTGAACCACAGTTTCTGCACCCATCATCCACTGGTCAAAAACAGTTGGGGAAAATACGATTCATATGTAGATATTACAAGCAACTTACGATGATTAAAAGCTCACAGGAGGCTCTACATAGATAAAGCAGACATACTGTCCCATGTCACATAAGGGATGAGCACTTGCATGCACACGCTGGCACTGCAGCCTCCTAAGGCCACACCCTGTGGATACTGAGGGACCACTGAATGCTTGCATAGACATAGCTTCCCTAGTCTGTCTCCAGTGTTGCACAGGCCTCTTAGGAAATTCCTGAAGCCATCTTCTTGTGTTGTTTCTACCCACAGGCAGCTTTTAGAGCCCTGAAACTGACTCTCCAACTTGTAGCGTCTCTCCACGACATTGTGGCCTACCTTTTCAGTTTTGCCAAGCTTGGCAATTTCCCATCATGCTTCGACTCTCCTCTAAGCCCTGGCCCTTTGAGGAATGACTGGGGAGGACAGGAGGGCATTGGTAAGTAACTAACAGTCACTATTAGAATCACCAGACCTGTTTGGTTAGTATTGGAAACACAGGACTGTATCTCCTCATGACAGCGACTAGAAGGACTCAGGAAAAGTCCTGCTGCATACCGTCTCCAAGTACACATTGTGCTGACTGGTTCCACATTCATAGGCTCACCAGAAAGTGTACTGAGTCAGGCAGGAGTCCAGAGGCCCAGCTCTGACCTTGCCTCTGCTACTGGGTGTGAACCGTTTTACTCCCCCCATCTATAAAATGGGGTAGCATCTCACAGAGGTATTCTCTGGGCTGAAATCTATGTAAGGATACTTGAGGCCACTCTAAAGATTAGCTCTGATTCCCCTTTCCTTCCTCTTCCTCGGTGGCTCACATGACAAAGTCCTACCCAAGCATCCACTGTGAAGACGCTGATAGTCCTTCTAGCTCAGGGCCAGCTGATTGTGCTGAGACAGGAGAGGCTTTCATTTCTGTTCTAAGCAGTGAAGGCCATTAGGTTATAAGATGGCATCTTCATGTGTCTGGCACTGATAAGATACTATGCAACAGAGGCCAAAGAGCTAGCTCTGTCAGCAAAGTGCTTGCCGTGTAAGCATGAAGACTTGAGACCACGTTAATAAAAGCTTGTGCTTCCAGCGCAGGGGAGGCACAGATGGGTGGGTCTCTGGGGCCCCCTCGGCCATCCTATCCAGCCCACTTGGAGAACTGTAAGGCAATGAGAAACCCTGTCTGGAAAATAAGATAGATCGCACCGGAGGAACAACACCCAAGGTTGATCTCTGGCCCAGACTTACATCCACCCAGGTGGACATGCTAACACACTCATACATACCTCTCTCCCTCCCTCCCTCTCTCCCTCTCTCTCTCTCCCCCTCTCTGTCTGTCTGTCTGTCTATCTGTGTGTGTGTGTCTGTGTGTGTGTGTGTGTGTGTGTGTGTGTGTTGGGGGAGTGTGGCACATGTATGTGGTACCCTTGGAGATCAGTAGAGGGTGTTTGATCCCTCTTAGTGAGCAATCCGACATGGGTGCTAGGAACTGAACTCAGGTCCTCTAGAAGAGCAGTAAACATTCCTAACTGCTGAACCACCTCTCTAGCCTCAACAACAGAATCTTACTAATAGGAAGCAGAGACTGATTTTGTTTTAGTAATTTGCCTCATACAAACTAAGACACTGGCTCTGTTGATAGTGACCAATTAAAATCAAGTACTGCAACATAGTTGCCAGGAATTTTATAAAGTGAGATGAACCTAAGAAATGTTTACATCAATTAGTTCTAAAACCAAACGTGAGATGATCTGAGTCTGTCCCCTTCCAGCTGTGACTCGAAGGGAACAAGTTTGAAAGGAACCCAGGAGCTGGTGTTTAGTAGATTTGCATCATGCTAATGCACACAGAGGAAATCTGAATATTCGTATCAGGGTGCATCGAAGGGCATCTGGGGGGATCTGGTGGTATAGGAGGATGTGTGGCTGAGGTGCAGGGAGGCAGAGAAGCTGGTGTTGATGCTGCCTCGACAAGAGGCTTGGAACTGTTTCAGGCTAATGATCTCCACAGGACACAAGCAAGTCTCAAAGACACGCAACACAAGCTTGAATCCACACCCAAGTGCCCTTACTAATGTAGTGGCTGTTGGGGTTTATTCAGAATATGCTTAGCTGCACATTCTTGGGGTGGGGGACAGGGACACATAGATGGGACAGTGGGAGCTGGGTTTTAGAGGGTCAGGAGAAAGGAGGGTGGGGCAGAAAAATGTACATCCTGTTTCTTGAGTCTGAGGTGGCCAGAGTCACATTTCCCGATGTTCCCTGGGTCCTCTGGCCACCTTCCCCTCCATCCCCAGGCTGCTTTCCCTGCCCACATCTGCCTCTTCCTCTTCCCAAGCCTGCAGTCCCTTCTGAAGAAGGAAGCTGGTAGGAGGCCAGGGAGAGGTACTTCTCACCAGGACAACCGCATTGTAATAAAGCCGCATTTCAACTTCTGTAGCTGGGGGGGCATGAGTGTCATTTGCCCTAACAAAATCAGTGGAGGAAATGGGGGAGGGGTTGGGGGCTGGGGGGGATCCACCTAGCCAGACAAGAAAAAGACACTGACCAAGGCCATCAGTCCATCATTGTGCCGCTGAGGATGCGTGGAGATGGGGAGGCCCCTGAGGACCTAGAGTTCAGAACGAAGGAAGTTGTGTCCTTGCTGCCGGTGGACCGCAAACCTGGAGCTCACAGACCTGTGCAGGAGGAGCTCAGGTTTTCTGCAGTGTCAATGGGAGATTGCACACTCTGCTTGCGGCAAGTAAAGGGGGAAATGTGCTCAGGGGAATATGTGTAAAGTTTTTCATGCTCAGGTTTGCTGAAAATAGATGAAGAGCAAATTAAGTGAAAAGGGGAGAAAACTCCGTAAGATAATCATCTTCCTAAGAGGCTCTGAGGCTGCATAGCTCCTGGCCCAGATCCCAGAGGAGACAGGAGAAGCAAGGTGGGAAGGGAGCCCGAGGCTGACATTTACTGGAGGTAGATAAAGTGACTTTCCTGGACTTCCACGCTTTAAAATATTTTTTCGAGGGCCAGGTGGTGGTGGCGCACGCCTTTAATCCCAGCACTCAGGAGGCAGAGGCAGGCGGATCTCTGTGAGTTCGAGGCCAGGCTGGACCGACAGCCTCCAAAACAATACAGAGAAACCCTGTCTCGTAAAAACAAAAACAAAAAAATTAAAAAATATTTTTTCAAGGGTACTTTGGATATGAGCTTATGGTCCTCCCCCATGACCAAACAAAGACATGCCAGCAACCTGAGCACCTCTGTGGACCCCCGCCAAACTCCCCTGTCTTGGCAAGCAGCCAATCCCTTTAGAGTCAGTGTGAAGCATGGATGGGGGAGTTTACCCTGAATTTTCTTTGCTAGAGCCCAAACACAATTAATGTACTCTCCCTCTCTGTCCTCCCCCTCCATTGTGAGTGCACTTGCACACAGAACAGGAGGAACTTCCTTTCCTTTCCTGATGTTTCCTGGGTCCTCTGGCCTCCTTCCACTCCATCCCCATCCCTAGGCCGCTTTCCCTGCCCTCATCCTCTGCCACTTCCTCTTCCCAGTCAGGCGGTCCCTCCTGAAGAAGGAAGCAGAAGGAAGTCAGTAGGAGGCAAGGGAGAGGTAATGCCCGCCAGTCAACTGTACTGTAATTAATAAGCCACATTGCAACACATAACTGCACTCACACAGACCCACCCGCCTCTGCCTCCCAAGTGCTGGGGTCGAGGCTGTGGTGGTATGTGTTCGACAGCACACCCAGCTTTATTTGTGTTTTAATTGTGTCCTAAAAAGTAAGAGGTTTCATTATCTGCAGCAGCTCCCTTTCCACTTAGATGTCACAAGTATTGTAGTCCTCCTCCCCTTAAAGCCTCTTTGTCCTTTTCTCATGGTCCCCTTTCCGGTTTGGTGACCTATACCTATACTCACATATGTGCACGTGCGTGCACACACACACACACACACACACACACACACACACGCTTCACATATGAGAGAGACCATGTGATGTTTGTCTTCCTGAGTCTGGGTTACCTCAGCTAGCATAGTAATTTCTGGATCCATGTTTTTGCGAGTTTCCTATTTCCCTACAGCTGAATAAAATTGTGTATATGTACCATGTTTTCATTCTCTGCTCACCTACTGGTAGGCAGTTGATTCCATATCCCTGCTGGTATGAGCAGGGCATCAATCAGTCTCTGTAGTAGGATACAGAGTTCCTACTGCATCTTCAGGAGCCGTACAAGTGGGTCACAGGGTAGTTCTATTTTTAGGGTTTTGAGAAACCTTATCCTGGTGCATACAGTGGCTTTTCCCATTCACCAGCAGTGAATAGAGTTTCTTCTTCCCCAGATGCTCACCAGAATTTGTTGCCATTTGTTTTCTTAACGCTGGCAATTCTGACTACGGTGAGGTGGATTCCTGATCTAGTTTAACTTTCATTTCCTTGGTGGCTAAAGATGTTGAATACCATGTTTTAAAAATGCTTATTGGCCATTTGTGTTTCCTCTTTTGAGAACTGTTCGGTCACTGACCTGTTAATTGGCAGTGGGTTTTCTCATTGTTTAATTTTTGCAGTTTATATATTCTAGACATTGTGCCCACCCCATCTGAAGTGCGGCTGGTAAGGGTGTCCTACCTTCGGTAGGCTGTTTGCTTTTCGGGCGGCTCCTTTTGCTGGGCAGGTCTGAATATCATATAATCCGATTTGTCAACTCTTGTGGTCATTTCCTGTGCTGTTGAAGTCCTGTCTGCCCTTGCCTGTACTCATCGTCCAATGTCCTCTGGCATTTCTCTAGCACTTTCAGTGCCACAGGTTTTTTTTTTTTTTTTTTTTTTTTGGTTTTTCGAGACAGGGTTTCTCTGTATTGTTTGGAGGTTATCCTGGAACTAGCTCTGTAGACCAGGCCTCAAACTCACAGAGATCCGCCTGCCTCTGCTGGGATTAAAGGCGTGCGCCACCAACGCCCGGCAGTGCCGCAGGTTTTAAACCAGGACAGCGGCCATTTTTAGTTGCTGTGTGTCAGCACACACGTGTTTTGATCACAAGCAAGAGAGGACAGACAACACAACAGTGGACAAGCTGAAATGGGGAGAACAGTTGTGCCCCAAGCACCTTAGTGTTCTGTTACCATCACTCCCTAGTGGCCTGTGCCCACATACTTTGTTTACATTTTACAGTGCTTTAATCATAGGATATAGGGAGTTTTATGTTTTCCTCTTTTACATACTACCGCAGGGGACTGCAAATGTTTTTGTTTCATTGCCACTTGCCTGAAGATGTATTGCTTGTAGACCAAAACCACACCCCATGAACAAATGACGTTCAATGGTCACCTCTTTTCCTGTCACGCACCCAAAAGTTCTGCAGTTCGTGTTACAGTCACTTCCCTTTCAGTGGGAACTTCTTTGTTGCTCAAGGGAACTATCATATTTAGAGGACTCATTTTAAAAAGAAAATGTGATGATGGGACCCAATGACTGGGAAACCCCCAATTACCTGTGTGTAAGAAATGGATATCGAATCTGGATTGCTCATCTTTCCTAAAGCCATGTGAAAGTGTTGGAAGTGTCAGCAGCCGTTCTTGAACCTGGAACCACCCTGCTCAAACTCTCACAGACAGCTTGCCTGATCTGTCTCATAGTCCTCTGCTTTCCTACTGTGCAAATGCTGAGGAGACCCAGCACTCGCCAGGTAGGAAGAAGGCTGCTTCGTCTGGAGAAGCACCCAGAGAGAGCAACCTCATCAATGCCTGTCCTGGGCTGCCATGGGAGGAACAGTGGCCATGCTTCACAGCCCCTCCTATGGCAGGGCAGAAAACTGTCCCCGTCAGAGGAAGCTGACAGCCCTTTTAGGAGAGGCTGGTACTCAGATAGCTCTGAACACGTAGGCCTGCAGTGCTCCCTACGGGTTTGTCGGTTTTACCCAGCTCTCCTATTTTATCTGACTAATTCCCACCTTGGGTCAATGGCAGGAGTCCGGGTGCAGGCCTGGTTCCTCAGCCCAGCCTGAGTGGTCCAAAAAGCTCATCCCCATGTCATCTGGGGGCTGAGAGCACTCACTCGATGGATCCTTCTCTCATGGTACAGGTTCCAAGAAGCAAGCCAAGTCCCTAAGATGACTACAAGCTTATGCGTGGGTGTGTATACACATATATGTGTGTGTCCATGGATGAATGTGTGCCAGATCTTTTTACTGGCTTTATGATTCTTGAGTCAGCCCACACGCGGTGACAAAGGAAGACCGATTCCAATGACATGACAATGAAAATGAGTGTGTTGTATAGCTGACGGCATCTTCAAGTTCCTAGTGGGTGTCCTGAGGACTTGCCCGCCCTGTGTCATTTTTCATTCTGTTCTGAGACCATGGTCTGGCAGATTTAAAACTTTGTTCTTACTGTACAAGGGTGGGGGTGTCTATCTTCCAGAGAGAGGAAGAAGGAAAGAAGCTAAATTTGACTTCGGTTTCTAGAGCTGCTGGTCTTGCAAAACATATTATTAGCACATCCACAAACAAAGGAAGTTCGTTTGGATGACAAACTAGCTCTGGAGGTGAAAGGCGGGTCTGATGCCCTGGCTGTGGTGGTCTGTCTTTCCCTGTCTGACTCCAGTGTCTCTCACTTTCCAGGGTCTGAGCTTCAAGAGCTGCAGAAAATGATTGACAGTCTCCGGAACCCCCAGGACCCGAGCCAGGTGGCCCAGGCCCTCCTCCTGCGAAGGGAGGTCACTTGGTTGCAGTTCGATGCTGCCATGAGGCATCTCCTCCGGTAAGGGCAGGAGCCGCTGCTCTGCCAAGGAGAGTCTTCTTGCTGAGCAGGTGCTTGCTGAGGCCCCGCCCAGGGAGGCCACAGTTAGCAAGATTAGACAAGGAGTCTTAAAGGCTCCAGACAGCTCCAGCACTGCTGACCTCCACACGGTCCTCGCAAAGCTTGTGTGGAATCTGCCCCGGTATTCCTGAGGTTTTTAAAGACAACTTACACACAGTCTATTACATTAGCTCCTTTTAAGTTTGTGTTGCAGGGAGTAAAACTTCTGTACTTAGGAAGGGTTTATTTTGCCTTTCAGCTCTACCTTTCAAAGGGACAACTTGCACCGTTCACCTGAAGCTTATAGAACTAGCCGTGGGAATTGGCTTTGAAGTAGATCCACCTTCATCTTGTAGGAACCATCATCCCTCAAGTACTCCAGTTATGAAAGTTTTATTTGGCTGATTAATTGTGATCCTGATGGATTTGGATTAGTATTCATGTTTCCAGGAAACGTTTTATATGAGAAAGAAGAATCAAACCCGAGCACCCATGGGTGTGTGTGTGTGTGTGTGTGTGTGTGTGTGTGTGGTGTAGTGGTGGTGGTGGGTGGGTGCTTGTTGTTTTTAATTAGAGCAAAGAGCAGAACCCTAGTATCTTGCTAAGAAGCTCAGGAAATCCTGAAACTCACTAACCATCCAAAGTAGGCCTTGAACTTGTGATTTTCCTGTCTTAGCCTCCTGAGTGGTGCAACTGTTTCTCCAGCCCAACTCAGATTATTCTCTTGTTTTGAAATAAAGTCTTAATTTGTAGCCCCTGTAGCAGGTCTGAAACCTGCTATGTTTACTAGGTCAGCCTTGAATTTGGACCAGTCTTCCAGTGCTGGGATTAGTCATGAGTCACCTCCCCTACCCCACCCCAGCTCCAATTATTCTTACCAACTTCTTCCAATTCATCTCCAGTGTGAGTAATCAGCCGAAAAGGGCCCCACAGGGCTGTGCCAGAGAATTACGAGTGTTTCCCACCCTTAGCATGGAGCCTCCATAGAGAAGGGAATTATGGGATTATATTGAACGAATGTATTTTTCTACTTTGTGTTTGCTTTTTTTCTGCCAACGATTCTTGGATTTAGAATATAAATTTAGCAGTGTAAGACTTCCTGTTGACTTTCTTTTTATTGATGAACAGTGTCAAGGCTACAGCTTAGTTTAGCTTGTGGCTTGTGAGGGCTGTGCATGTCTGGATGGCTGCTGAATCAGACACTGAGTTGACCTCTGTGCTCTGAAAATCTGAAAGTGTTTGTTTTTGTTTTTGTTTTTTTTCCTTTTCATTTGGTTTAGTTTTTGTTTTTGAGAGCCTGAGCTCTTCTGGAACATCTGCAAAGCTCAGCCTTCCAAGTACTGAGATTGCAGGCATGAGCCACCACGTCCGACCCAAGATAGAAATCATAAGAAATTTACCGGTTGTGGGGGAGCAGGTTCATCCCCCATGCATCCTGTACGGTTCGAGTCATACAGGGTTCTGTCTAGGGAAACCACTCTGCTTCTCCACACTTACATGGTCCTGCACCGTGTGGCCAGGACAATGGGGGACAAAGTGTCTGATGCCAGCTTCCTATGGTTTCTCAGAGGAAACCACCCAGGTGGTGCACCCGCATTCTTTATTTGGTCCATCTTCCTGGTGTTTTTTCTTCCCAGAAGGCTTCCTGCTGGGCGTATGTAGAATCACAGGCTAGAATCAGAGCCTTATGTATGCTTAGCTTCAAAACCTGTGGACAAAGGTAGTTTCTGGGCAGCAGAAGGGTTGAGAAGGGGACACAAGGGATAAAGAAAGGCTGACAGAGAAGTGCTACCCTCTCCATCATCTGAGGTAACACCGATCCTGCAAATAAGGGCAAGTGTTTAGATACTCAAGAGACTGCACACAGGTAAAGTTCCTTGGAACATCTCAGGATTTACCTGAGCAAGCAGAGCTCTTTGACTCAGGAAAAGATCTGATCCTCCTGGGTTTGTAAAGTGTTGAGTGAAGTCTTCCCCACCATCCGCCTGGGCTCTTCCACAGTTGCAGTCCCCCAAAAATACACAGGATGCTACATTACTTATGGAGCTGCTGGCAGTTTGCTTGGTTTCTTACTGGCTATCTCTGACTTAAATATTTACCTCATAATTGTTAATCTAAGTATTTCTCTTACCGGAGAAAGGGTCCGGACTTCTTACCCCTATGGTGGCTGCATGGTGGCTCCCTGTGTTTCTCCTTCCCAGAGTCCTCCTCAACTCCTAGTCCCACCTATCTTGCTTCCTTATTGGCCAACAGTGCTTTATTCAACAACCAATAAGAGACAGATTTCAGAATGACATCTCCCATCATCTCCTCTTTTCTGTCTAAAATAAGAGAAAGGTTTTAACTTCAACATAGTCAAATTATATATAACAGAACAGTTATCAAGTAAGAACATAGTTACAATATTTGGCCATTAACATTTAGTAAGATTTAAAGAAAATATCATCTATCCTATCTCTGTGAGTCTAAAGTCCTATATGTAGCTTATCTTTTTATCATAACTAAGAAAAACTATAATTATAACTATCTGTCTTCAACTCCATCAAAGACCACAGAAGGATAGTATATAAACACTAGAATTGACAGACATCTTGCTGCCTGAACAGTCACCTGAAGTTCCTCTGTAATGTTGGGGTGTCCATCTTCATCCCATAGGCCACAATGTGTCCAGAAGACTTCTCAGCAAAGCAGGAGATTTCAAACTGTCCATCTGCATTGGCAGAGTGTCACTCATTTTTCTGTGTCCTGAAAAAAAGTCTGACAGACTCTTCCATGAATCAGGAACCCTGAAGGACTATTTGAGTTCAGTAGTCACTTTTCTGTGGGTCCTGCATGTCCAGTTTATACAGCAACAGTCAAGCAGTATAGGCAAGAGCAGTTTCTTGCCCAAATGGCTAATCTTGCCATGTTGAAAGCAAACTCCATAATACACTTCTAACACATGAACCTTTGTGTTTAAAACCATCTCTAACTCACAGCATCTGGTGTGTGGATGAGGAACTCAGGGAAGGAGGTAGGCTTGGGTTCTGTTGACTTTTCCTTGGAGACAAATACTCTCCACCTCAGATGGTGCACAGACTTGCAGACCCAAGAAACAGTCCCACCAATTGTAGCTTGGTGAACTAATGAGTTCACTTATATATGAGTGAAGCAATACCTCCAAGAGCATAGGAAGTCACACTATCAAAAACCAGTTGTCCTGTCTTGCCGTGCCCCCAAACAACTGTTTACCACTTATATAGACTAAGGGAGGGGTGCTGCTTCATGAGCCCCTCTATGCCATGACTGAAAGATCATGGGCCTAGTCTTGCGTTGGTCTTCTGTCTGTGATCACTGCTGCTAAGAATTCAAGAAGGCAGTGGCCATGTCATAGCAAAGGGCAACATTCCATAATACCTTGGTTCCTTAGTAAGAACCAAGAATTAAAGCCACTTTGGTAACTGTTTGTTCCAAAATTCTTCACACAAAATTTCTAAGACAATACAGCATGTCAGGGGCCGGAGAAATGGCTCAGCAGTTAAGGGCAGGTATTGTTCCTGCATAGGCTCAGAGTTCGGTTCCCAGCACCCATGTCAGGCGGCTCACACCCACCTGTTACTCAAGATAAGGAGATCTTGACACCCACTTCTGGCCTTGTAGGCACTAAAACTCACATGCACGTGCCCCCTCCCCTGCAACATACGCATACTATTTTCAAAAATAAACCTTCAAAAGAAATAGAGAGAGAGAGATCTTGTCAAAGAGTGAACACGTTAAGACTGAACAAAGGAGGAAGGAGGGGAGGGAGAGGGAGGGGAGGGGAAAGAGAGCTCTGAGAACTGGTGGTAGAGATGGGGGGGTCATCGATATGAGCATGCAATGGAAGAAGCTATTCTCATTTGCTCTGCTTCTGCCTTGTGACTTGTGCTGAAATGTGTTTCTGTTCAAATTCCTGCTTTCTGATGCTGTCATTTTAAGTAAGCATATATAGGGTATATGTATATGGTATATGTGCATAGAGAGACCTTGGAAAATTTAGAGGAAGGTGGGAAGCATTCCTGTAGCCTTGGGCTCTATGTGGATGGAGGTGATGGCCTGTGTGAGTTTTGTCGTTGTATTTCAAGCAGTACTCCAAACGTTCCTGACACACTATATCACTGCTGCATTTGCTGTGTTGTGCGTTCCCTGGCAGGGCCCACTGGGGAATCACATGGAAGTTAAAGGAAACGGGGGGGGGGGAAGGTTTATGTAGCCTTTAGGCAACTCCAATCTCCATCCTAAGTAGAATGTGGAGCTAGGGGTTAGCTCAGTGGTGGAGTGCATGCTTAGCATGTTCAGTGTCAACACACACACACACACACACACACACACAAGCACCACCAGTCGGTAGAGGAGCAGCAGTCTAAGTGCGTCTCCATTAAGTTCATAGGTCTCTACTTCTGCTGATGACAAAAATAGTTCCCTTTCTGATGCCACATCATTGGGTCACACATGGTAAAAGTGTTCGTCCTCGAATTCCAAGCCAGTCAGTTATGGTTTGTTTTAGTTAACCTCCTATTCACTCTAGTGGTGAGTGAAAGATTCTACCCTGGGGCTTGTGATAGCTGAACAGATGGCACCAAATACTGAACCAGATAAGATCAATAGCAGTTTTTTTAGTGCTGTGTCTTCATGCGAAGGAGAGGCCACATCCAGTGAACATGCAGGGACAGAGGGAGGCAATATAAGAGGGTGTGGTTCTCCCTGGTTACCAGGAATTAGGGGGACAAGATCAGTTTGTTTGCCTCGCTCCAAGGTCTGGCAGGAAACAGCCGTTGCTCAGGGACAGTGGAAAGAGCACTCCTTGATAAGGAGTGTGGGTGGACATGGGAACCTTATCCTGTGAGAAAGGAGAAGCTGTGGTTAGACTATTCAAGGCCTTTCCAGGTGTCTAGGCAACTCCCAACACTGGCCCTTAATTTTAGAGCTCACACCACACCCTCCCCTTGCTCTTTCTTCTCAGAGGCAGCCTGGGCTCTAAGCCATGCTAGTGAGTTAAGAGAGGCGTGGCCACTTACCTCTGTGTTGGGCTGTCAGGTTTCCTGCTCCACAGCGCCATGCACATTCACTAATGGGACTCAGGCACTCCCAAGTCTCCCAGACGTGCAAGCCTCTGCTAACCTCCTCAGTTCCATTTCCCTCAGCCTGGCAAGTCTCCTTTCTCCTTGGTGCCAGAGACTTGGACTCCACGGAAGACATCAGTTCTCAGAGATACCCTCCCCAACATTATCCTGGGTCAGCACTTTTCTTAGGCATCCTCTATATGTTAGAGACGGCTAGCTGAGATCTAGAAACTCTGTGCTTCCTTGTTAATCTTACTTCCTTTGGGGCAGGAAATCGCCCCGAATTATCCCACTTGCCTCTCGTTCTTGCTTACTTTATAAATTTCATGCTCTAGTCTTTGGGGTTTGTGGTTCTTGATGTGCAAAGCCAAATTTTGTTTCAACAAAGCCAGTGTGTTTCCTCTCATACCCCTAGATCTTACTTAACCTAAAATTTGGTTTTGTAAATTTGTTGCTTCAGCTATTAACTTTAAAAGAGTTGAGCAGACAGCTGGGGTCTTTGTTCTGAAGCCATTGTTGTGATTGATGCCCAGTTTGGTAGCCCTGGGTGGCTGATTAGTTCAAGTGAGTAGGAGCTAATATTAAGTAAAATTTAAAACTTAATCCCTCATTCACAAGAGCTGCAACAATTCCATGCACCCGGTGCCTTCTGAACTTCCCACCTTCCTGAAAGTTCTGCCACTATACTCTATTAATACAAAGTTTCGATTTCTTCCAGAGGGTTATAGACTGTGAGAGGGAAGGGGAGCTTGGACGGTGTGGTTGAGGGAGAAACCTTGTTCCTCTTTCAAAATAATCTCTTGCTACAGTAAGTTTGAAGAAGGTTCTGGGCTTTGAAAGCGTAAGTAACCACACTAAACAAAAACTCTCGTCATATTTTGGCAGGGCATTTTTGGCAGCAGGAAATGCTCCCGCCCACCAGTCTGTCGCAGATGGTGCGTGCCATGGTTTGCCACCACTGAGCGACTGTCTCAGGAGGAGTATGTTTTCCTCACAGCTCAGCCTGCCCCAGCCACTGGATCCACGGAGCCCCCAGGTGAGCTTTGCAAGTGTTGTGTGCCGTACTGAGGTGTTGCCGTTTCATTTCCATGCGGTTTCCGTGTTGCAGGGTCTTCGTACGTCAGTGGCCCTCGGTCTTCATTGGTCTCCCTTCACTCATACAGGGAGCCAAGGGACTCGTGACCACGAGTTAGTCCCTGGCAGGGTCTTTTCTGCAATTGTCCAGTGGGTTGATTGGGGGCAACAGTCTGATGTTCACAGCTGTCAGGGGGAAAACAAAATAAAACACCCAAAAAGACTTGATCTTTCCTATTCAATAAATAATGATGCAATTACAATGCATAAATAGGTCAGGCCCTGGGCTTTGAATTGCCCTGGTTGCAACATGTGTTATCAAATGTAATCCTAGCAACTGTGACTACTCCCACTCAGGCACATGAACCAGCTCTACAGAGGTCAAAGTTCAGGGAAGCCAGAGATGAGACCACTGAGAGAGTCAGAGCAGCATCAGGCTCTCAGAGCTTGTACTTTCCCACTGCCACAAACACAAGCCCGACCCCAATGGGCATCCATTATCACCCTCAGACCCTGAGAGGCAGGAGGCTGGGAGCAGGTGCAAAGTGCTGCCTCAGGGTTTCTCTGGAGGCTGCAGATCACCTCAGGGCATGATGGAGAAGTTTGCAGCCTCATCCATCCAGCTGTCAGCAGGAGAGCCACATCCAAGGCTGTTCCCACAGACCTCACTCCAGAACTTCCTCACAACATGGAAAATGGCTTCCCAGAGCCAGAGACGGAACCTGGGGCAGAGGGAACCCGGGGTAGAAGCCTTGGCCTTTGCATGGCCGGCTTCAGAGCTGACACCCTGGCTGCTTCTGCCATGGTCCAGTCACGAACAGTAAGCTATTAAGTTCAGCCATGTTCAAAGGGTCAAAGGTCACCTCTCTTCCCTTCTGCACACCCCATTTTAGCTACTTTTCTATTACATTTATTTGTGTGTGTGTGTATGTATGTGTGTGTGCCTGCTTGTGTGCATGCACGTGTAGGGTCAGAAGACAATTTGCAGGAGTCAGTTCTCTCCTTTCTAGATCTGGGATCAAACTCAGGTCATCAAACTTGGTGATAAGCTCCTTGACCCAATGAGCTCGATATCTCTCCCCAACCCCCTCGATAGAGAGTGTCACATAGTTCAAGCTGATCTATTTAGTAGCCAAATATGACCTTGAACTCCTGTTTCTCCTGTCTCCACTACCAAATATTAAGATTACAGGTGTGTCACCAGCCCTAAGCACTAAGCCCTATCTCCTGATGGAAAGTGTTTGTGTACATAGCTTTAAAATCACCTTGCAAGGCTCCTACTTAAACATTACAAATGATTCAACATTAACCTCAGGCAAGTCCCCTACTTCCATGCTAAACGACAGTGACTTTTGGTACAATCCTCACCCTCTTTTAGACCCACAAGACAGAGCTGGCCATGACACTGGACCTGCTGTTGATGTCTTTGGATGCTTCCTTGGATTAGACGGGTGTAGGTGTCCTGGCTCACTGCTGTAAAACCACCAGAGTCTCTAGAAAGTGCCTAAGAACCAGGTCTAGAAGTATAGAATGGGGTTCAGTGGGCAATCCTCTGCGTCCAGGGTTTATATGGTGCCGTAAGAAATGCAACGTCCTCGGGTGTGCTATAATGCAGAGAGGACAGGAGTTCACTGTAGTACTTGTAGCTCTAGCCTGAGGTGATACCTAAAGTTGGAGCACAGTGATGAGGAATGACATTGGAAGGATATGGATTGTATTTAACTAAGTTTACTTCTGTTGTTTAGAAACATACCCTCTTGGTGTTATATTAGTCCAAAACTTCTTTTGTTTCATTTGAGGCAGGGTCTCACTGCCTAGCTCAGAGGTCCTCAACCTTCCTAATAATGTGACCCTTGGTGACCCCAACCATAAAATTATTGTTACTTCATAACTGTAATTTTTCTACTGTTATGGCTGTAATGTAAATATCTGTATTTCCCAGTGGACTTAGGTGTCCCCTATGAAAGGTCTTTCAATTCCCAAATGGATCACCACCCACAGGTTGAGAACCACTGGTCTAGCTAAAGCTGACCTCAAACTTGCAATCCTCCTGCCTCAGTCTCTGAAGTGCTGGGATTACATGTGTGTGCCACCACAACCCTCTTGTTCTGCAACTTTGGACACTGGCACCTCCTTGTTATACTGAGACCATCTCAGTAGTAATGCTGCTGCTCCTTCCTCTGTGTCACTGGACATGCTCCAGTGAGAAGGTATAAAAAATGAACCATGTGAGGGAGTTTTGGAGACGGACACAGAAATCTTACTCATGTGTGTCTTCATCTGAGGGACACGAGACCATTGTTGTGTCTGTTGTTTGCTTCATTTAGGCATTTACGATGTTCCCCTGGAGGGCGTTTCTGGAAGACAGTGGGCCATTTCCAGTTATGAGCAGCATCCCAAACACCTTAGAGTATGATATGCAGGTAGGTCCGTCTTCATGCTTGTTGGAGAGAACTGAACAGACTGCAAAGCAGGGTGTCACTAGGTTCATGTTCTAGTCAGTGGTGATTTAATCAGATAAATGGTGTTTAATTACGAAGCTGTAACCTGAGGCTGCCGGGTGAGTCATATTTTCTTATTGTGGAAAAAAAATCATGCTCTCAGCAGCGATTGGCCTGTGCTGTGGACTCAGCTGCAGTTCCCAGGACAGCAGTGACCTAGAGTCACCGTCTGAGCCTCTTAGAGAAACCGCCAACTGACACCTGACCTGGGATGGGAATTGCTTAAGCGGGACTGAGGAGGGGATTTTCTTTTACTTGTTCTATTTATCATGATGCTTCTTTAAATTATTTCGAAAAAATTATGTTTTCTCATGATTAAGGAAACGCCAATATATTTAAGTGTGTGTGTGTGTGTGTGTGTGTTAAAGTCAAGACAAAAACTTATAACTTGGCTTCAGAATATGGAGTGGAGAGTCGGGGTGAGGCAAGACTGGATATATGCTGATGGATGGAATTTGTTTGCATTTGTGTATGTCTAAAATCCCCCATAAGTAAATAGATGTTTTAACAGTAAAGGCAAGAGGGTTTAAAACAAAACAAAAACAGAGGCAATAGCAGTTCACATTTAGGGTCTGTCTGCCAGTTTTTCCCCCGGGCATGCCTGTGTGCATATCTGTACTTTTACAGGGAACTGTTTATACCACAGGTTTGTCATATCTTCTGTAAGGTTGGGAGACTTGCTACTTCTACACAGAAACTTACTACATTCAAGAAGGACTTTAAGCTAGAAATATTACTCTGATTTTTGGATTTTTTTATTTTTTAATTTTTAGTTGAAAGGGTGAAGGTTTATAAGCATAGTTGCATTTAATATTTTTCTTCAAAACCACGTATAAAGGATATGTAGGTCTCTTCAAAATGGGAGGGTGTTTTTGTTTGCTTCTAGATGTGTCTTTGCGGACTTAGTGACCGTGACCGCAAAGTGGCCCATGGGGAGCTGGTGGGTGTGCAGGCACTACTGGAAGACGTACTTCTGAGCGGCTCTCACGTGATCGTGGAGGGTTCTTCTGAACGGCAAGCCACACGGGACAATACACAGGTATTCTCAGCAAATGGGCTGCAGACCTGGCCAGTACTGTGCCATACTGAAGGACTTTCCTCTTTTGGGAGACAGACTAGAGGGCTATCGTGACCAGAGCTGCTCCCAGGAGATGCCAGGACCCTGCTAACGCTGCAAAGCAGTGGCTGAGAAATGTGGAAAGCTGTTGACGGGTATTTTCTTTCACAGCGAGTCTTATGATTAAATCCCCACTTATGCTATTTACTTAAAAGGTTGTGTTTTGTTGTTGTTTTTTTTTTTTGGTAGGGATGGGGGTGGAGAGATTGCTCAGTAGTTATGAACCCTTTCTCCTCTTGCAGAGGTCCAGAGTTCTGTTGCCAGTACTCACCCATATTAGGTGCCTCACAATCACCTGTAACTATACTGATGCGCACACATCAACACACAGATACAAACACACAGATACAAACACACATACACATGTATAATTAAAATAGTTGTTTGTCTGTTTTTGAGACAGTCGCTCATGTCACTGGTTCTCAATTTGTGAGTCCCCACCCCTTTGGGAGGGTTGAATGATGCTTTCACAGGGGTTGCCTAAGACCATCAGAAAACACAGATATTTACATTACGATTTATAATAGTAGCAGAATTACAGTTATGAAGTAGCAATGAAAATAATTTTATGGTTGGAGGTCACCACAACATGAAGAATTGCATTCAAGGGTTGCAGCATTAGGAAGGTTGAGAACCACTGCTCTATGCAGCCTTGGCTCACCTGGAACTTGCTAGTATAGACCAGGCTGGCCTTGAACCCATAGAGGTCAGCCTTCCTCTGCCTCCTGAATGCTGGGATTAAAGGCCCATGCCACCACTCTCGGCCAATTAAAAATATTTCTTTCAACTTTAAAATGCTTTTGAGGTGGGTCCTGATACATAGCCCAGCTGGCCTGCCCCGCCTTCCGTTTGTGCTATTTTTAAAATAGAACAAAGTCTGTTGGGAGTCCATTGAAGCTCCCAAGGCAGACTCTTAGTTTATGCTTTCTTTGCGAGGCACTTACTTTAGCACTGGAGTTGGGCATCCCAGAGTCATGCCAGAAGCTCCAGGTGAGAGCCTCAGTGCCTAGCCTGAGGGTACCAGATTGGCAGTGTTTCCTCGGTTTAACCTTCTGAAGTTCTGGGCACAAGAATCATTCCCCACTGCATAAAATAACTCCAAACAACCCTTCATGGCCTGGAAACCTGGAAGCTGCATGTTGGAATCAGTGAGCTAGCTGGACCCCTACCTAAAGTGCCCCTTGTCAGACCTCAGCTTTCTAGAAGCCTACTGTTGTCTGTTTCCTTGCCACTAGTCACTCAAGGACACCAATCAGGCAGCATGGCTGTTGTCTTTCTTTTCCTTGGCCGTTGGGGTCCCTACCACAGCACAGAGACAAGTTCCTGAGATTTGATGGTAGGTTGATTTTCTGTTAAAAGTTTTCTTTCCCCTCTCACGGACCCTTTGTGTGACCAGGCATCTGCCCCCTCCACATTGATACACATATGTAAACGGAGAAGGCACAACATGCATCAGTGTCAGTGCTCACCTCTTCCTGAGCCCGTCTTGCTGTGTTTAATGTCTTTCCCAGTTCCATCCATTTTCCTGCACATTGACTAATTCTTTTTCTGTATTTATGCCATGTTCCCTTATCCATCCATCCACTGATGAGCGTGCAGTCGAATTGCATTCCCTTGCTGTACCATCAGAGCAGCAATAGACACAGATGAGCACAGATCGTATCTCTGTAGTAGGGTATAGAGTCCCTGCCAGCAGCGGCATAGCTGGATCCGGTGGAAACCCTGTTTTAGGTTTTGAGGTGCCTCCTCACTGGCTCTACCAGTTCGCACGCCCACTAACAGTGGGAAGTGTTCCTCTTTCCCAGCGACCTCTCCAACACTGAGGTCATTTCTTTTATTTTTTTAATTGTTTTTCTAGTCGAGACTCAGCCACAGATTTTTCAGTTTTAGTGGTGAATAGTATTCAATAGTGAAAGTTTAAAAGCCAGTGTGGAACTCCACAGCTACCGAAGCTACCGAATGGCTGTTCAAACTGTATAAAAAAGTTCACTGAGACACACAGGCTTTGATCTGGCTAAATGATGGAGTGTGTGTGTGTGTGTGTGTGTGTGTGTTTAATTTCCAAGTTTTTTGTTTTGGGTTTTGGTTTTTTAAAGGCAGGATTTCTCTGTGTAGCCCTGACTGTCCTGGAACTCACTCTGTAGACCAGGCTGGACTTGAAATCAGAGAGATCCACCTACCTCTGCCTCTAGAGTACTGGGATTAAAGGCATGAGCCACCACCACCTGGCTAATTCCAAAGTTTTTTTTTTAAAGCAAAGTTTATTAAAAAATAAAATGTTTAGAAGTAGCTAACCTTAATACAAACATATTAAGAAGTAAGTCTGATTTAATGATTTTGATTTTATTTTGATTGGTTTTACTTTATGATGTGTGTGCGGCTGAACCTAAAGCAAGGGCTTTAAGCATGATACACACAACTTCACCACAGAGCTGTGTCCCCAGCCCTGGAATCTGGTTTCATTTCGAAGTATTTAGCTATTTATAGGAGCAGGAAACACTAGAATCTTTACCGCCCTGAGCCAAGGCCCTGAGCGTCTGTGGCAGTTTTGTCAGGGTCATGGTCTCCTAAACTCTAAGGAGGTAGATTGACTCAGAGTCTTTAAAATTGTGGCCCAGGGAGGCCCGTGTTTCCGCTAAGACAGGGACTTTTTTAGCAGTGGAGACCAATCATGTGGTGTGCGGGCCACCCCTCCACATCACTGTTCCTGACCTTGATGGGTCAGATTTCATTTGATGAAAGGGTCCTGGGGTTAAAACAGAAAAGACTTCTGGAAGTGCACAGTTTGTATGAAGGCTGCACAGCTGAGGGGCTGCTCACTGTTTGTGGACACTTCACTCCCCGGGGCCTGGATGTCAGTTCTTCCGTCTATTCCGCCCTCTCTCCGGCAGACACACCTTCCTTTAGCTGTGTGAATAACACTGACGTTGGCTCCAGTTACACCAGGCTGCTCTTCCAGTTTCTGGTTCTGCTGTCTGACTGAATGTTCTAGGCCACAGGATTTGCCATCTGGCTTGCAAAACAAAACTTCCCTCTTGTGCCAGCTGAACTCAGGTCCCCAAGGTGTCTTTGAGCCGCTGGGTGGCCTCGGAATTCCTAGCACTCCATGGCTGGCCTGAAGCTGTTTCTTCCACAACCACTAGTGAAATACTTAACTAATGAAACATCCATGAAAAAAAATGAACGAATCCTAATGGCAAAGGAAGACTGCAGGCTGAGGCAGGGGGCTCGTCACACATTTGTGACCTGTCTGAGTTGCAAAGAGTGCCAGACGATCCAGGGCCACCAAGACCCAGTCTTGATGAATTGATTAAAGTAAATTTGAGTATAGAACAGTAAATTCAAACAGAAAGTTCTCCATTTTCCTTTTAAAGGATAGAAGGTATCAGATTCCCCGAGCTGTTGTCAGCTAGGTGGGGTGAACCCAAATTCTGCTTTCTGATTCATAAAATGGGTAAAATCCCCACAGGAAAGTTATATTACACCTCAACCTTGGAGGGTGGAGAAGACTTAAGTCTCAAACATGTTAAGCATGTTCTTTTCTTTCTTAAAAGAAAAGAAAAGAAACGAAAAAAAGCTTTTAAAAGATCTGGTTACATGTTTCAGTATTCACCTGTATGTATACATGAACCTAGTGCCCAGAGAGGTCAGAAGGCTTCAGACCCCCTGGAACTGGAGTTAGGGGTGGTTGTGGGTACTGGGAACCAAAACCTGGGTCTTCTGGAAGAGCAGCCATTGCTCTGAACTGCTGAGCCATCTGTCCCCACTTCATATTTTTAAGATTTATTTTTATTTCTGTGCGTGTGGGGGTGTGCCACCATCTCTCCGGGGGCTTATGGAGGCCGGGAGAGGGTGAGTCTCTGAGAGGGAGTTACAGGAAGTCGTCATCCACCTGACATGGGTGCTGGGAACTGAACCCGGGTCCTCTGGAAGAGCAGTAGTCACTCTCCAGTCCCCGTTACACACTTTCTCTCCTTTCCTCCTTGCCTCCCCCTCTCTCTTTTTTCTCTTTTGGAAGATTCTGGTGTTTGAAGGTGGAGGCTCAAAGCCAAGTATGAAGTGCCACGCCAGTTACCCTAGCGCTTGGGAGATGGAAGCAGCATGTTCAAGAGTTCAAGGCTGTCCTCAGCAACACAATGAGTTTGAGGCCTGCTACATGAGACAAAATAAAATATAAAAGCCAATGGTTCAAAAGGCAAGCCGGAAACTGAGACAGAGCTGTTTCTATCCTGTCTGCTTGGCAAGGATATTCAGCCTTCTGGTGTAGGTGTAATTTTCTGTTCCACCAGCTAACTCCCAAATAACCACACAGAGACTTAATATTAATTATAAATGCCCAGGTAATAGTTTAGGCGTATTTCTAACTAGCTCTTATAACTCAACACATATATTTTACATTACATATGCATTTATGTATATGAGTGTGTGTGTGTGTGTGTGTGTGTATTTGTTTTTTTGAGACAGCGTTTCTCTGTGTAATAGCCCTGGTTGTCCTGGAACTCACTTTGTAGACCAAGCTGGCCTTGAACTTGGAGATCCATCTACCTCTGCCTCCCAAGTGCTGGGATTAAAGACATGTGCCACCACTGCCTGGCTACCCATAATTTTATTAATCTACATTTCACCATGTGGTTTTTACCTCTATTCCATTTTGTGTGTCTGATACTTGAGTCTGGCTGGCTTCTCCTAATGACTCTGCCCTCCTTCTTCCCAGCATTCTCTCTGCCCTGAAAATCCTGACTAGCTATTGGTCGTACAGCTTTCTATTAAACCAATCTAGTGATACATCTTCACAGTGCACAAAAGATTATTCCACAACAATCTGGGTTTTTTCTACACATACTACAGGCCTACAAACCATTTCTCCTGGATGTTATTTTGCATGGATACATATAAAAACTTATCCTGTCTTAAGCCACAGTTGATAAAGGATTTTCTGTCTCTGTCATGTTTTCAGCCAGATTGGTCCAAACATCTAGGACTCTGCCCAAGTCGTTTGGAAAGCCACGCAAAGGCCTCTGCGTTGCTGGAGGCCCCATGTGAGGCAGCGATGCCCCTGGCTCTGCTGAAGTCCTTCCTCGTCCTGTGGAAGCAGCTGGAAACGCTGAAGGAACACTGGGGCCGACTCAAGCTTCAAGGCCAGGAGGTCAACTCTGCCTCCCTCCACAGACAGTTCTCAGAGCTCTACAAGTGAGTACTGCTGATATAAAACAAAAAGCAAACAAAAAAACCTGGCTGTTGTTTTTCTCTTTTAATTGTTTTGTTACTTTTTAAGCTATGGCTATCCTATTCAGGCTAGGCTGCAAGAGCTGAAGTTCTGCTAAAGAACTCAAGATTCAAAGGTTGAGGTAGAATCCTGCTCCCCAAAAAAGGCTGAATAGCAAGCAGGTCACCCAGCTCACCGAGAAGTCCATGTTCTCTCCCCTCCTTAAAAGCCCTTCTCCACCTGGCTCCTCCCTACAGCTTCCTGTCAGCTAGTTGCTGACCCAGCCTCCTGACCACAGGTGAATTTTATTAAATCAAACACATCTTTGCATCATTAAACAAACGTCCCAGGGAATAAACAAAAGCGACACACCTCAAATTAATATTCTGTGACTCATGTCAGTGAGTAGAGCCTGGGGTTCGAGGTTCTTCCCCCTTCATTGAGAGTCAGACCCGGATTCTGGGGATGCCCAGCTCTACCTGGTCAGGTGGCAGCTAGAACAGTCTCCGCAGCAGTGGCGTAAGGAAAATCTATTTAGAGCTGGACTCCATTAACTGTCCTGCATCTTCACTTACTCCCTAGAACCTTCTGTCACTTGGACCCCACGATGCTGGCGGTGAGCTTTTTTAGCTCATAGGGTGGACTATTGCTGGTGCTTGGGACACCATAGCCCAGTGCTAAGCCTAAATGCTTGAGGTATTACACCCAGAAGGTGGCATGGCACATGTGGCATAAGGCCTTAGGTCCACAAGGTGACTCAGACCTTGGCTACACACCTCATCTAGGATGACTTAGCTGGCAGGAAAGCCTGCTGTCCCTGCCACGTGTCTGTTTCTTAGTAAGCCCAGGCCCACTGCCCCAGACCTCACCGAACTTCTCTTTGACACATCCAGAATCGTCTATCCCAGAGTTACTGAGTCAGATTCAGAGTTAACTAGAAATGGGAAGATGCATCAGCATTTTGCATCGTGGAGACAGAAGTTATAGGAACTTGGTAGAGAAAGGCCTTGGTATCAAATATTGACTAAAGGCATGGCAGACTCAGTTGCTGATGTGTCCCTAAAGGGGTTGGGTCACAGGAAACTGAAAGTGACTGGCAGAGAAATGGAGTGAGAGGAAATATGTTTATTTGCTGGTTTCTGTCTCTTTTATTTCTTAGAGCTGACATTTTCTACCCCAGCATGAAGGCTTTAGCCAGGCGGGTGGGCAAAGAAGACGAATTTGAAGAACTTATCATAAGAAGCCAGTCTATTCTTCCTCCAAAGGGAGTCTCAGAAATGGAAATAAAAGCTCAGCAGGTACACAGAGCGCTCTTCAGTTTGCCTTTGAGAAGCTGCCTTGCTACTCTGGTGTGTAAAACAACAATAAACACAAATGGTGTTCTCTTCCAGCAGGGGAGGGGCACTCTCAAAGGTGTGGGAGACTTGAGTAAGCAAAGAAGTACCCCCAAATGCCTTCATTTTGTACGTCTAGGTTCTTGTTTTCATTGTCCTCAAACTCACATGCTGCATCATAGGAAGCATAACTAATATGATCCTAACTATGAAATCCATCCAGTGCGCATTCATGTGGAAATACTGAACAGAGCATTTCAAGTGTTTTCTCTCATAGAAAGAAAGTACAGTTTTTGCAGTGGTTCAGGTAGTGTACTGAAGAGTCTTCACCAGCCCAGCTTGATCAGGGGACCCAGGGTCTCTGACTGTCTGAGCAGAGCAGCCACTGAGCAATGGGGAATGTCGGTGTGAACTCTGTGTATGCCTTCAAGTCAAGCACACTGTCTGTGCTCCCGAGTCCTGGCTCTTCTGCAGTTCCTGCGTTCCTCTCACAGGGAAGCGTAGGCTCCACAAGCATTGTGCTGGAGTGGGGCTCATAGCTATTGAAGCAAGTCATCTTGATGTATCTTCTCATGAAGTCCTCCTTGGCATGTAAATTGGTTTTCAGGCTCTTATTAAAGTAACGACTCATGAGATTTATGGTGCCATTTAGAGATCATCAGACATAAAGTGTTTTGTAGAATATGGTAAGAGAGGTTATAGTTTATCGATCAGGATGAGGGCCATAAAAAAAAAGATTTGGTAGAAAAGAGAGATGTATTGATCTCCAAGAAGAACTCAAGATCCCAAAAGGCTTTCTTCCCAGAGAAACGAGCTGAGGGAGAGGACAAACCAGAAGCCCGTCTGTTGGTATTGAACTTGGGAGCCCAATAGATAACTGAATTGCATAGTGATGCTTATTTTCTCAACGTGTGCTTATTCCAGCTCCAGAAACTTCTGGAAAGTTTAGAAATTCATATGATCCAAGAGGTAATGAGGAAAGTTAGTAGAGAGATGACCCTTCTTCTATCAGAAAAATCCAAGGAGGAGCCTACCCTCCCAACAGGTAATGAGTGCTTGTTTTACTACTTGAAAAGAATTAACATTTTTTTTTATTACAAAGTGTCAGTGATGGTGGGGACAGACCTCATCCCATGCTACCATGAAAAGCCTGAAGAGGTCCCTTATCTTTTAGGGACTTCTGCTCAAGTAAAGCCTGCTTCTTTCCTTCTCTAGACAAGTCAGGGAGAGCCAGTCTGAAGCAGAGCTGGAGTTTATTAAGAGGGTTTTATCATATTTAGAACTGGATGTAACAAAAAGAGACCCCAAGGAAGAGGGCTAACTCAACCGAGAGCTTGGGTGTGGCTCTGTCAGGGAAGAAGTCACAGTTCAGTGTCTTATGGTCTCCATGGACACTGCTCTGTGGGCCAAGTTTCTATCCCACCTGATCCCTCAGCCTTTGGGTCCCAAATAAACACGCAGAGGCTTACATTAATTATAAGCTGTTTGGCTAATGGCTTAGGCTTCTTATTGGCTAGCTCTCCCTTAATTATTATCCCATAACTATTAATCTGTGTATCTCCACGTGACCTTATCTTACCAGAGAATCCTCAGCCATCATCCTATGTCCCCAGCAGCTACATGGTGTCTCGTTGGCAACTCACTCTCTGAGTCCCCTGTCAGAATTCTCCACCTATTATCACAGGGTTGTTCCTATAGATTGAGTAGGGTCACCACTAATATAGTAAGACCCTAGGATCAAGGGCTACAGGGGGAAGGCAAGATGTTTTTACTACTAACAAGAGGTTAGCCTTGTTTTATGGGATTCCAAGAAAATACCTGCAGATAAGACTACACTTGCAGGTCGCACAGGCTCAGCTCCTAAGCGTGTGTGTCTTAACATGTCCACAGAGAGCATCGGGTCCCCTGGAGCTGGAGTTAGAGGCAATCGGGAGCTGGGAACTGAACTTGAGTAAGTGGCTTTAACTGTTGAGTCATCTCTTCCCAGCTCCTGGAATTCTCACTTCTCAGCTGGTGTGAGAGCAGCCTCATCCATTCTCTATAGTGAGGCGTGCCCTTCCCTTTCCTAGTGACTTTCTATCCTGACCTACACAGTATCACAACAGCAGTGCCTTGTATTTGTAATCCCCTCACTGGGGAGGCTGAGATAGGAGGATTGCCATGAGTTTGAGGCCAGTCTGAGCTTTATAACGAATTCCAGGCTAGCCTGGGCTAAGCAGTGAGCCCTATCTGAGAACACACACACACACACACACACACACACACACACACACACACACACACGGGTTGGGGATGTAATTCAGTGGTAGAGTACATACAGTACACACAGAGAGTAAATGCAAGGTCCTGGTTTTGGTCCCCAGCACTACAAAAACAAACAAGTCATAGATAAAATATCCTTTTACATCCTTGACCTACAGAAGAGTGCCATTAACCCTTGGTATATTTCTTTTCATTTGAAAGGCTTTGTGTGTGTTTAGTTTTTGCTTTGAGGCAAGGACTCACTATGTAGCCCAGGCTGGCCTCAAAACATTGTCCCCCCTGCCTCAGTTTTTTGAGTGCTGGGAGATGCTTGGCTCAGGATGTGGTACCTGGGATGGTAGAGGTCAGGTCTCCTGCATACTAACTCTGAACCGCGTGGGTGGAGTCATGGGTGCAGTTGAGGTTCCCTTAACCCCACACCCAAGGGAGTGTAAGATTACAGCAGGAAAACACCCGGAGACTTTGGAAGAAGGAAAAGCGTCTTATTAAGTACTTGCAAAGAGACTTTTCTTCTGCTTTTTTGAACAAGCGTCCCTGGATTTTTATTGCAGCAGGTTCTATGGATTATGGAGACCATCAAATATGTATTCCTAACTCCTAACAATCCCACAGAGAACTACAGAACCGTTGATCTAGGGGGAAGCTGTCTGACTAGCAAAACCAACTAGGTTTTCCTTCGAGAGGCCATGCATGTCCACCAGAGTGGTGATGACAACCTCGTCCTCACCTAAGACATCACCTTTTTTTTTTCTTTCCTCACTACCAGGGTCATTTTATTAGGACTTTCAAGTCACTGAGTTTCATAAACAGGGCTTGGGGAAAGGCTGTGCAATGTGCAAGCTGACCACTCCCCCAAGGGCGGCTCCAAATGTCACCAGAGAGTGGAGTGTGAGGGAGCTCCAGTTACGGAACACTTCACCAGACACAAAGATCCCTTGTTTGTGCTATGCACTTGATCCAGGTGGCTCCCTTCTGAATCCCAGCCGAAAAGCCACAAGCCCCGAGCAGGTGCAGCCACCTTCCAGGATCCGACGGTTATTCTGATGATACCCTGGGGTGGGGGCGGGGCGCAGGAGAGCATGCTCGCTTTGTGGCTGTGCTGCCCTGGCCAGGGAGGTGGGGAGCTCATCAGCTAGGCTTCCAGGGAGCCTTGTATAGATGCCAGCGGGAGGGAAGCAGAGGAGCAGACTGGAGTTATTCGGAACAGTGGTCGAGCTGACATTAGCGCATCACCCTGGCTAGTGCTGACCAGTTCTAGTAAGGCCCCTGTTAAGATTCCATCTTTACAAGAATTTAAAGCTAAGTGCATCTGGGAATACAGCGCAGCCTGTTTGCCTAGCATGTGCCAGACCTTAGACTCAGCGGTCGTCACCACACACATAAAATAAAAGCCAGGACTGATGGGTGTGGTGATTGCCTCTGTTTTCATTCTATTTGGGTTTTGGCCTTCAATCTGGGGGGGTGGGGTCTGTCTCAGCAAGGCCCTCTGGGTCAGCTGAGTTCCATAATGCAGGCAAGTAGGTCCCCACTGTGTGCCCCGGATGCTGTGTTTCTCTAGTTTAGTCTGCGGAATGGGGTATCACTTTCATTCCAAGGCATTGAAAGCTTGGAATCTCCACCCACCCATACAGTTCATTGCAGCTACAATGGGCAAAGCTTCCAACCAGAGGCAACTTCTGCTCCAGAGAAACAGCAGTTAGTGGTTAGCTTTGACACTACGGTTAGCCTGGAGCTGGTAGCTTCCTGGAGGAAGTTAGGATTAGAGAACATTTAGAAGCAGAGTGACCCTGCTGGATTAGCAGAGGCTCCAAGGTTTTTCCTCAGGGTCTTTGCTGTGGCCAGACCAGGGTTTGCCTTTGCACCTGCCAGAGACAGCACCAGAGACTGCTTAAAGTGCTTGCCTCGTAGGCATGACTCAAATTCAGATTCTTAGCACCCATGTAAAAAGCCAGGCATAGCTGCAATCCAGCACTAGGAGAGGTAGAGACAGGGGATCCCTGGAACTCACTGTCCAAGCAGCCTAGTGGGAGACCCAGTCTCAAAAATATAAGATGTCAACTCACACACACATGCGTACACCAAAACCCTGGAAGATTTTTCTCCGCCTTTCTCCTCCTATCTCCCTTCCACCTTGTCTTCGGAACTTAACCTTTTTATTCGTGGTCTCCAGTTTGTCGGGGAGGCTGTGGAGAATGGCATCCACACCTGGTCCTGGTACTAGTTCTTGATAGCTGAATTAGTTATCTCCTCCCACCCCTGCCCCAACCAGAGAGCCAGCAGTGACTCCAGACACCCTGATTGAGCCTGAAACTTTCTGTGCCAGACACAGGCTCCCTGAATTCACAGTGGCCCTGCCACCTCCATGTTTGACACTTTGGCAATTAACTGATTTTGAACAGATTTTCTAATTTTCCCTTAATAATAGGAAGGCCAACAGTGTCCAAAGTGGAATACATACATACATACATACATACATACATACATACATACATACATACAATATACATCTGTGTGTGTATGTGTGCATGTCTGTCTGTCTGTCTGTCTGTCTGTATCATCCTTTGGAGATGCAAACCAGTAGAGTATGGATCAGTCACAACCTTTGACCTGCTTTTGTCCCTTTTAATCATCGCCTGTTCCAAACCTGCTTATGAAGGTTTTAGTTGTCATTAAATTTGAGTGATTTAATTCAAAGTTATATAAGCTAGTAAAGTCAGAGTATGTACAGAGATCTATAAAAACCAAGTTGATTTGTTTAAACTGTGCTACATCTTGCTAATAGAATATTATTAAAACACTAAACAAGCTGGGTATGGTGGTGCACACCTTTAATCCCAGAACACAGGAGGAAGGAGCAGATGGATCTCTGTGAGTTTGAAGCCCGCCTCGTCTACATAGTGAGTTCCAGGACTGTGTAGGGAACTTGGCTCAAAACAAACAAAGAACAACAACAAAAAATTCAACAACAACAACAACAACAAAACCCATCAAAATTTTGGGGCTGGAGTGATGACAGTGACTAAGAGGAGTACTGCTAATCCAGAGGACCAGAGTTCAATTCCCAGCACCCACCTTGAGGATCTGACACCTCTGGCCTCCATGCGCACCCACATACACACACATAATTTAAAATTTAAATTAACATAAAAAACAGGTGGAGCCTTTAATCCCAAAACTCAAGAGGCAGAAGCAAGTGAACCTCTGTGAGTTTGAGGCTAGCCAGCTCTACATACCAAGGCTGTGGAGGGAGATCCTGGCTCAAAAAAAAAGAAAGAGGGGGGGGGAGAGAGGGAGGGGGAGAGAGAGAGAGAGAGAGAGACAGAGAGACAGAGAGAGACAGAGAGACAGAGAGAGACAGAGAGAGAGAGAGAGAATGGTGCTCTATTTCACTCTCCTTTTCGTTCAGCCTGTGGTCCCAGCCCAGAGCATGCTACCACCTCTCTTGCTGCCCACATTTAGGGTGGATTTTCTCCCCTCAATGAGCCTAGTCTGGAAACTTCATTATGCACACACCCAGAGGTCTATCTCCTGGGGGATTCTAGGTTCTGTCCAGCTGACAGTAACAATGGCAATAAGTTTGGAAAACTTGGAAAGCCTTGTGTGAATCTTCCCCCTAATCTGGACCCCAGAACCTTTACTGTATTGTTATTGCCGTCCTGTCCAGAGATAGTGCAGCACTTGGGAAAATAGTATTTAGGGCAGCAGATTGAAAACCACAGGAGGACAGGCACACTCTTACCTCCTTGTGCCTTCAAGCTCACACTTGTTGCTCCCTGGCTGTTGAGGAAGGGAGGGGAGGGAAAGGAGCTCCTCTGCCTTCAGCTTTCCTAGGGACCACTGAGATACCCAGAACCAGGTCATGTGGGGGAAGTGTGTTGCTTCAAGCTAAGTGCTTCTAAGAGAAGGAGAAAGGGGAAGTGACTTGGCCAACTCAAAATCAAACTTTCAGTCAGGGACAAGGGTCAGAGAAAAAGATCCTCCCTCCCACTTCTGAGCCTCTGCCAAAACTGTGGCTTCAAGGCAGGGGACTTAGCTCAGTGGCTAGAGAGCTTGCCACACAGATGGGAATTGCCAGACTCATGTAAAACTGGGTGCTGCTGCACACAGTGACCCTAGCACATGCCTCCAGAAATGCCAGCCTGGGATATGCAATGGAAAAAAAATCAAACAAAGATCCCGGTACAAACAAAACGCAAGGCAAGGAAGGCAACACCTGAAGTTATCCTCTGACCTCTAGTCTGACGTGCACTTACACTCACCATAACACAGAGAGAGAGAGACAGAGACAGAGAGAGAGACAGAGACAGAGAGACAGAGAAAACATATCCCCTCCTGCTGCTTCATGCTGAAGACACCATGGCCACACACACACACACACACATGCACTGAGAACGAGACAGATGTGGCTGTTGGCTCCTCTTTGCCAGAAATTCCTTGGACGGCTTCCTCTCTTGTCCAGCTGTGTGCCTTAATTTGAACTCATGTGCAGGGAGAGAGCTGGCAAATCCTCCAGCTCCCAGGAAAAGGCTTCTCCTTAGCTGCAGCCAGAGATAACCCAAACTGGCCCCGAGCTAGAAGTGTGTAATGAATACAACACCTCCATGGGCCTCTGCCCCAGAGCACCCTGGGAAAGGCATCCAAGTTCCAGTCTGAAACGTTTTCATGATGATCCTCAGTTCTGTCTGTTCATCAAAGCTTAGGCTTCTCTAAGAAGCACGGACTGTGATTTATAGTTTTATTATGCAAAGTAGCCACCTGTGGGAGAAATTCAGAATCCCGTTTTCAAAATCAGGACTTCTGCTGGGTCAGTAGGGCAGTCTATAAATTCTAGAGGCGTGGCCATTTCTGGGCAGATGGCCGCAGATACTTGCTCTTGTTCTCTGGTCACCCCGTGCATTTTGGACAGTGTGGCAGGGCCTCTCATCTGAGAGGAAACGAAAAGCCACAGCAGGCAGGGTGCAACAGAGGAGGGGGCAGTGGAGCTTGGCGCCCCCAGCAGAGTCACAGCTTCTAAGATTCCTTAGGCCCCGGTGTGGAGTGGCATGATCTGGCTTATGCTTCATTGTAAATGTGTGCGCGTGTATAAGCATGTACACATGAGTACACAAGCATGTGCAGGCTAGGGGACAACCTCAAGTGGCACTCCTCAGAAACCATCCACCTGTTTGTTGAAATAGGACCTGTCACTAGCCTGGTGCTCACCAACTGGCTGAGCTGGATGGCCAGTGAGCCCTGGGGTCTGCATGCCTCCATCTTCCCAGCAATGGGCTTAAGAATCGAATCGTGTTGCCACATCCAGCCGGCTTTCATAGGTGTGTTCTCAGATGCTTTTCTTGCAAGGCAAGCATTGACCACTAGTGCCGTTTCTCCAGCCCCTGTCTTGAATCTGGGAGCAGAGAAAAGGTAAGTGGCCGGATGCCGGGTGTCTTCTGAGGCAGCAGTGATGGATTAGATGCACTGTGGAGCAGGAGAAAAGAACAATCCTCCGTGACCCCAGGCTTCTGAACAACTGGGAAGACGGAAGTTCTGTCTTTGACATGGGCAAGCTCATTTAGGAAGGGGACACCCGTAACTTGATTATACATAAATTAAGTTTTAAGTCACCTTTAGAATAAAAAAGAAGTTAATCCAAACTTGAGATTATTATATATTATTATAATTATAAATCAGCTGTGAGATGATGAGGCAGCAGGTGAATTATGAATACACAGGAATGAGTAAGGCTGAGTCCTGGGGCACAGCGGGGTGGAGGAGAAGGGCGGGACACTGTGAGCTAAGAAGGAAGCCAGGTTGAAGACTTTCAGGTGCCTTGAGAGGGGACGCTTCCCCAACGGGGGGACTTACAAACTGGGCAAAATGCTAGCTAGGGCAGGCAAGTCAAGTCACTGGCTTTACAGGAAGTTGTGGGCATTTACGGTAAAATCCGTTTCCCCAGACTTGTGGAAGTGAAAACCAGGCAAGCGGGTTTGAGGGATGGCATTGCTTTCTGGGAATTCTTGTGAAAGGCACAAAGAAATGAGGTGGTGGATGGCAAGAGGAGACTCGGGAGGAGGATTTCAATAAAATGAGGACAATGGTGTGCAGCTGCGAGCAGTGCTCAAGGAAGGAGGGTAGTGACAGAGGAAAGACAGGGAAACTCCTAAGCCACGGCTCTGAGGCTCCCCTTATGTACATTGTTCTATGCCTTGCCATTTTCACTTAGTAACCCAACGTGGTTTTGATCAATACCATCAAACTCTTCCATCAATATTGGGAGAATTTCTTCTGTGAACAGTTGCATTCTACTCCATTGGGAGGGTTTTCGTAGCTTCTGCTACCATAAGAAACTTTGTGTTGCTTCCTCTCCTACGAATCAGCTATGATCTTTGTTTACTTCTGATTGCTGCATTTGATTGAAATCATCATGCAGATACAGGGTAGCAATCAAGTCAGACATCACGAAAGAGGATAATAGCAAAGGATTTCTTTCTGGGTTTTATCTACAATAACCATATTGTTCACTGCTTTTCAGAGGGACTTCCCCAAATGTTTTTATTAAGAACCTTGTTAGATATTTCCCTTCCTCCATATTCCAGAGGGTTCCATGCCCCAGTCTGCCTCCTCCCTTTCCCTGCCGGCATTTCAAAGTGGCAGATTGTTGTGTTGGCATCGTTTGGCAGCTGTGGAGTCATGTCCTTGATGCCAGTCTGTGTTTTGGGATGCCTGTGCTGATCTGTTTTTTGTTATTTGTTTTTCTAGATCTTTGGAAACACCAAGTCATGAAAGAAAACTTTTCAGTTGTGAGACCCCAGATAGTTGAAAGATTTGTACAGAGACTAATGGAGAGTTACCAAGAGGATGGACCCAAGGTAGGAATTCCAAACCAAGGGCTCCACTCTCCTTAAACAGAAACCCATGGGAGGAAGGCTGCTATTGAACACTCCCCTGGTGCTCTCCACTCTCCCTACTGAGGCTGAACTCCAAATGACCACCACTCACCACCACTGTAGTATGAAAAAGTCTAATGTCTGTCCATCTTGGAGTAACCAGGAAATGATCATTGGCTAACACCAAGTTTGGTCAAATGGTTAAAGACAAACTTGGAACTTTTGCATGAGTTGGTTGTTTTAAAGCAGTTCCTGTTGCTGATTTGTTAGTATAAAAAAGAAGAAAACCAAAAAGATCTATAATACACCTAACCAGGAAACATTGAAGTTTATAGTTTGGAGAAAAGGTCAATAAAAGACCTACAGCACCAAGAGGTAAGAAGTCATCCACACCCCCAACTTCCTCTCCAAGGGAAATGGCACCAATAATTTTACGTTTATGTTCTTTCAGAAAAGATACCTGAACTCGTATAATACCCTAAACTGTAATGTTGAACAGTGTTTGCCCTTGGCCAAAAGTGTTTGCTGAAATCAAAAGAATTCATTGAAAAAGCAAGACAAGAGAGCAAACACAAGTATTTGAACACCAGTTCCAGGATCACTGATAAGTGCTTAACACAAAAATCGTCTCCACCCAACCACTAAAAAAAAGCTGTTCTGCTAGACATGGTGGTGCACATCTGTAATCCTAGCACTCAGGAGGCTGGGGCAGGTAGACTAAAAGTTCTAGGCCAAGGGCCAGCAAGATAGAGCGCTGGGTAAAGGAGCTTGCAGCCAAACCTGGATGACGGGAGTTCTATCAGCAGGACCCACGTGGTGGAAGTTGCCACATCTGACATGGCATGCTCTCAAGTATATGTACATGTGGGTGTGCATGCATACACACGCCCACACACCAAACACACAAATAGATAATGGAAAGGGTGTGGGGGAAGGGTTCCAGGCCAGGGGCCAGTGAGATGGCAGAGTGAGCAATGGTTCTCGCTATAAAGCCTGGTGACCTGAGACTGATCCCCAGAACCCACACTGTGGTAGGAGAGCACACACTCCAGCAGGCTGCCCTCTGACTTCCACACAGGAACATAGACATAATAATTAGTCAGTCAGAAAGACAGACAGACAGATGAGAGGAAACAAGAATTCCAGACCAGCAAGACTCTGTTTTATAAAAATCAATAAACCAATAAAATTTAAAACTTTTTAAAACTCTGTATTGGCAAAGTGTGCTCAAATTTCTCATATTGTTTTCTTCAAGTTTACATTCTTTTCTTATGTTTTTGGAAATGTTCGCATAAATTTTATAAGAAACACTTCGGTCCTTAATTACGAGGTAGCGAGTTCCCAAGCATGGTTGGGGATGTATTTCCATGCACATATACTCACTTAGTGTCACTGAAGCGTTGTCCTGTGTGCTGATGTGCTCCATTTTCCAGTATGGAACCCTGACTGGCCTCCACCATTTTCTGCTGAGATCACAGGCATGTGCCACCACCCCCAGCCAAGGATGACACTGTGTAGGAAAGAAATGTAGACTACAAAGGCAGGGCAAATCCCTATCAGGTACATCGGCAACTCAGGAAATGCTTCGAGAGGTTGATGATGCTTGGCTCCTCTCAAGTTCACACCTGGCAAGCTACCAGCCTCTTCTGCTCACCTGCAGGAACCAAGAGTTCGCTCACGATCACAACCAAAGCTCCCCCTGCCCCAGGCGGCTTGTGTCTGGTCATTTGTTACTAAGTTGTATTTGACCTTCCATGACATCTTCACCACAGGTCCCTGGAGACCCACAGATCATGGTTCTGACCCTGACAGTGAGCCTCAGATAGCCCAGGCCCATTAGAGCCCTCACTGGAGTCTCTAGATGATTCGGCAGGGGGCTTGTTCAGGAAAACCAAGTGGGTACACATCCGTTGGACCCTCCAGAACATGCAGACAGGGAAACAGAGCTTTCCTGAGCCCCTTTACTGATTTCTTCCATGTCCAATGACTGGGCAGTGGCCAGGTGTCCTCAGCCCACCAACCCTCCCCTATACAAGCCGCCCCTGTTCCTTTCCACTGTTCAGGAGGCACACACTTGCCATTGTGGCCAGTCTCCTTTAAGTTCTAGGTTGTCTGCTCAGCTCATGGTGACCTTGGCCTCAATGTTTCTCTTGGATTACTGCCTGGCAGTGTGCTGGGTTGGGTCACCACATCACTCTAGTGCAGTGAGCTGTGCCCTGAAGCCCACAAGGTGTCCTCAGACACTGAGCTACTGCCCATCATCCGACTTGTTCTTGGTCAGTTTGGTCCATTCTTCGAACCTCTTGAGATCTTTACAGACGTGCATTTTCAACATCTGGTTGCTCTTTCAGCCTGCTCTGAGGTCCTCACTGAAGCCATTAGTAGCGGTGAAGACAGGACAGTCCCCAAGGCCCCAAGCTTCCCACGCTAGACCTCCCAGGCTGCACAGCTGTCTCAGACCAGAGCATCCATGGGCCAGGGGCATGCACAGTTCTCCTGCAGTGCTGCCATCCAGCCATGCTCTCCAGCCCCCTTCTCGGGCACCCCACTGGAAGCCAGGGATGCTGTCTGCTCTATTTCCTGTGGAAATCAGGTCATTCTGGCAGGTGTCTTTTTTTAAACTCATGTCGGTGTCTAGTCTCTTTCCAGTTTCTAGAAAACCAGCCTCCATCCATCACTGGTTCTAATATTTTCCCCCTTTGAGGCAGAGTTGGAGCTTATTAAAAAGGATTTTTAAATGTTTTAGTACAGTTATTTATTTATGAGGAGAGGGTACATGGAGACCAGAGGGAGACTTCCTGACTGAGGTATTGTTAGGTCCAAATCTTGAAACACAAGGAGGAGCTGGCAAAATGAAAACAGGCAGGGGACAGACCGCACAGCAGGGTGGGGGGAAGGACACTCTGGATAGCGTTAGATGGGGAGTGGCCCTATGTGTAACCCCTGGGAGTCAGTCCCAGTAAGAACACACCAACAGAAGGGGTGTTTTAGAAACCTCCCAAATACTTTTGTGCCTGATACTAAACCAATTGTTTGGGGTGGGTGTGGTGGCACACTCCTATTAAGCCACTGGAAACGGAGTGAGTCCTGGCACCGGCCAGTCCTCACCCAACATTGGCTCTCTTGAAGAATCAGAGCACAGGGCAACCTCCTGTTCTTCCAGCCAACACCATGGCCATAGTCAGTTTTGGGTTTAATGCTGCTGCTGCAGCGGGCTGGTCCAGAGGAGGGTGGTAGTGCCTACTGGGAAAATCTGGGTCAATGGGGGGGGGGGGGATGGGAGGGTGAAACCCATTCCAGCTGCCTCTACACAGAGCAGGAGGAACATTTGCAGTGACCTGAAAGTAGGGGTGCAGCTGAGGGTTCCTGGAAGAGCCAGCAGAAGCCCCGGGAAGGCTTCATAGGCTCCTCCCAGAGTGCTGAGTGCAATGTACAGGAACAAAGAATGACTGACCAGAAGCCTTTCTTCCTCACCTGCAGCTGCAGCCCCATCTCAGACACACTCCCCCGCCCCACTCCCTCATCCCGGCCCTGCTTTCAGAGCTGGACGGCTGGAGTGGATCCTTCTGTCCACTCGTGGTCCTGTCCCTTCCGTGCGCCCCACCTCAAGCCCCCCCCCCAGCCCCCAGCTTCCTCTAGCCAGTCTTGGGAGGAGGGTAGAGTTCTGACCATCCTCACCTCTCTGGTGCCATCCAGACTCATCAAGGCCCCTTTCCCCTGCTGTGGGAAGCCTCTGCTGCCTGGAGAGCCCGTGGTAATTACATTCTGCCAGCCCACATCTTCGGGGGCTATGGTGGCAGGAGGTTAGTCTGAGAAGCCATTGGCCTGCTAGAGAGTTGAGAGTTGGTGGAGGCCTTTTTGGCTTGTGCTCACTCCAGGCAGAATTCCCAGAGCAGTAAGGATGAGTCACTAGGGCTGGCCTCCAGGGTGGCCTGAGGTGAGGTCACTGGCCACACCCTCACTGACCTCCCAGTCTTGACTGGCTTCAGGTTTTCATCAGAGTCAAACCAGGAACTTCCCTTTGCCCACAAAGAAATCAGGGTTCTGAAGAGTGCCCCAGCATCCTTGGCATGGTGTCAACAGCTTCCTGGTGCTCATTGCCCAAAGGTGCAGAGGCTAGCAGGGTAAGGGTGACTTGCCTTACCCCATCCGCTGAAGGGGGCCTGGAGAATAAGTCCTAAGACTCTGGGCTTTTGCCCGGCTACAGCCGGTTCCCTCCCACAGAAGCAGAAGTTGTCCTCAGATCCCATGGACCAGTTATCATTACATCATGCCAGACTAATACAGTTGATGACTTTTTGAAAACATAACTTTTAGTATGTACACTTTATGTAAAAATTATTTAATTACATGTACAAATTGTGATTATATTATATGAGAAAAATAGAAACAGGCCAGGCGATGGTGGTGTTCATCTTTAATCCCAGCATTTGAGAGACAGAGGTAGGTATATCTCCATGAGTTCGAGGCTAGCCTGGTCTACAGAGAGAGTTCCAGGATAGCCAGGGATACAAATGCTGCCTAAAAAAAAAATGAAAAAGTAAAAAGAAAGAAAATAGAAGTATGGGCCAAAGAGATGGCTTAGCACAGTGGTTCTAAACCTTCCTAACACTGTGACCCTTTAATACAGTTCCTCATGTTGTGATGACCCCAACCATAAAATTACTTTCGTTGTTACTTCACAACTGTAATTTTCCTACTTTTGTGAATCAAATTATAAGTATCTATATTTTCTGATCGTCTTAGGCAACCCTTGTGAAAGGTTTGTTAGACCCCCAAAGGGGTGGAGAGTCACAGGTTGAGAACCACTGATCTAGACTTACATGGGTCTCCTCCCTCAACTGTGTTCCCCATGGTGACAATAGACCTTCCTAGTGATGTGAATACCTGTGGTGTGGCAGAGACCAGGAGGCAGCTGTGGAGAGAGAGGGCCAGGAGGGACTTGGATGGGCAGGATGAGGAGCACTGTCCCAGCAGGTGAGGGTCCTGAGCTGGAAGTTGGGGAGCACTGTCCCAGCAGGTGAGGGTCCTGAGCTGGAAGTTGGGGAGCACTGTCCCAGCAGGTGAGGGTCCTGATCTGGAAGCTGGGGAGCACTGCCCCAGCAGGTTGGGGTCCTGAGCTGGAAGCTGGGGGTAAACTGTGAGTTCTGATTGGGGAGTAGCTCTCCCTGTGTCTCCAGACTTCATCACAGAACTCAGAGTAGTTTCTGGACATACGTTCAAAGCCAGCCACCTAGTTTATCTTCTCTGCAAGTAGAGCTAAATACTGCATCCTAACAGTTTGTCTCTTTGATTTATAACCTTTAAGGTTTGAGACACACGGCAGGCCAGCCTCTGTTTCTTCTCTTGTCCCTGCCTCTGCAGAGGTTCGGAGCAGAGTGAAGGGAGGGAGGGGGTTATAGGTTTCAGTGTTGAGGGGAAATGAAAATGTGTCTACGAGTCAGAGCAACGCGTACCCTGAGCCTTAGCTTGGTGTGGCTGCCAGAAGCCCTGGCGGAGCCACCAAGAGAGACATCATTGCCTTTTCAGGTCACTTTCAGGAGGGACCACCTGGAAGCCTGCCTCCTCTCCCTGGGGTGTGATGTGATGGCAAGAGAACGCAGCAACTTTGAGACCTACTCCATGTGTTACGAGCACGTGCTGCAACATGCCAGGGAGAAGCTCAGCCAGAGGGAGCAGGTACCCAAGGAAGTGGGACCATGCAGGAGAAAGGATCAGAGTCACCAGGCAACGAAAATCTGAACAGGGGAGGAAAGCTGTTCTTAGGACGAATCTGGGGGCAGGGAACAGTGCCCTCCACATTACTTTCTCATTGGTTCCTTTTCGCGGGCCCTGGCACTCTTAGTTGTGAAGTTGCTTGCAACAACGAGGTTGTAGACTGTAGAGGTTACCATGGATCCAAGGCAGGGCCAATAAATGGGGTGAGCCTTTGAGAAAGATGTGTAACTGCTACCCCTCCCTCAGATAACACCAATCTCCTTGTACTATTCCTGGTCTATCACACACACACACACACACACACACACAATCTGTCTTCATATCATCAGTCAATTTCAGTGATGAGACCTTGTCCTAGTTAGGGTTTCTATAGCTATGTAGAGATACCATGGCCACAGAAACTCTTACAAAGGAAATCATTTAATTGAGGCAACTTACATTTTGAGTTTAGTCCATTATTATAGTAGGACATGACAGCGTGTAGGCAGACTTGGTGCTGGAGAAGGAGCTGAGAGTCCTACATCTTGACCCAAGAGCAATAGGAAGTGGTCTGAGAGTCACTAAAAGAAGCTTGAGCAAAGGAGACCTCAAAGCCCACCCCAACAGTGACACACTTCCTCTAACAAGGCTATACCTCCTAATAATGTCACTCTCCATGAGCCTATGGGGGCCAATTACCTTCAAGCTGCCACAGACCTCCTTAAAATTAGGTCTCAGTGCCCATGGGGTCTCAGAGTCACTCTGTCATATGATTTCATTTTATACTTGAGAAAAATATGAAACACTGTACATAAAAAAATTGAATGAAGTAGTAAGGTATCAAACAGTGAGTCTTGGACTTGTCCACACTTGATGACTTCCCCATAGCTGAGCTCTGCCTCATTGTAGAAGCCTGGAAGTCCTGGCGTGGGTGGGTGTGGGTGTGCACACACATGTTCATGTGTATTTCTCAGAAACTACACACCTTAATTTTTTGAGACATATTCTCTCACTGGAACTTGGAGCTTGTCAATTCAGCGTGGCTAGCTGGCTAGCAAGTTTCAGGTATCTACCTGTCTCTGTCTTCCCAGAGCTAGGATTACAAGTATGTTCCACTATGCCTGCCTTGCATGTTGTCTTTTGATGTTTTGTTAGAATCCTCAAAATTTAATTGCCCATAGTGGTGCAGCCTTGTAATCCCAGGACTTGGGAGGTAAAGGCGGGAAGACCAGAAGGTTAGGGTGCCCTCGGTCATAGATTAAGTTCAAGGCCAACCTGGTATACATGAGGGAGAGAGGGAGGGAGGCAGAGAGATCCAAAAGTCTAACAAGGTGCCAAGCACAGCCCAAGCTACTGACAGGACCAGGGTCCAGAGGATCTTAGAATGAGGCTGTGTAGACACCAACAGGAAGGGTTGTGTGTGCACGTCAGTGCGTGTGTGGTAGACTGAGCCCTGCCTTCTCCTCCTCAGGAAGTAGACTTTCTTCGAAGAAGTCAGGTTCCTCCTGAAGACTGTGCTGGTCAGGTAGGTCGGTTACAAACTCTTAGTCTGCCAGAAGCTGCTGTTGCCTGCAGCAATCTTGTCCAGAGAGGTCCATGCAGGCACATTCAAGGACTATAATTTCATTTTTGTGTATGTGATCTTCCTAAGGGGCATTTTCCCCTAGGGTTTTTCTTAAGTTGTCTTTGTTACGTATTGTTTTTGGGGGGTAGTACTTGGCAGAATTATGTGGGTACACTTCTTTCTTTTTTTAAATGCCAGTTAGAGTGAATTTCAAAAATGAAATGGCATTTGGTTGAGGGGTCAAGGGAAGGCCAGTGTGGAGATGAGGGTCAAGACAGTTGAAGGATTTTATCAGAAGTACTGTGCTTAAGTACCAGGTCTTTGAGACTCGTCCATTCATCACAACAAGAATGTTCCATGCAGGGTGAGTGTCTTTCACCTCAGCACATGGGAGGCAGAGGCACATGAATGTTAGAAGTGTCTGACCCTATTCAGGACTGTTGAGCCAACCTGAGATTCTGCCTTCCCCATATACACAGTAGGCCATTCGCCTTCACGAGATTGCAAATGGAGACTGTGCTAGTCCATATGGAACTATTCTGCAGCTTGTAATTCCTCCATTGCTACCCACATGTCATGTTGTATATTCCACATTATTTCTGATACTAGGTTGCAGAGCTCAGTCATGACCTGATCATGGAAATCACCGCTCTGAGAGCCCAGCTGACAGCTCTGGAAGAGGAGAGTTTGAACCTAAAACACCAGATTAGAAAGGAAGTTCAGGAGGAATACAGATCATTAGTGCAAGCTTTGTTTATGACCTGCTTACACATAAAGGCAAGTGTCTCACATCTGCGATCTGGGAAGCCCCGTGGCTACATACCAAGGGACCAATGGCAGAATGGCCTTTGAGGTACCAAGAGATTCTTTAGCCCCCCCCCCATTTCAAGCAGGAAGGTTTTGTTTGCTTGGAGGTTTGTTTTATTGAGACATGGTCTTGCTGTGTAGTGTGGGCTGTGCAGCCCCTGCCAAACTCAGAATCAAAACGTCCCTACTGCTTTAGCTTCCCTTGCGCTGGGGTTATAAACGTGCACCACAATGTCTAACCAGCTAGAAGATTTTGCCGGAGAGAGGATGAACGGTGGGTTGTCATTTTTTTATTTTGTTTTGTTTACGTTTGTGCGTGTGTTAGCATGTACATGCCACGACACACACGTGGAAGTCAGTTCTTTGCTCTTACCACGCGGGTTCCAGGGCTCAATCTGAGGCCATCAGGCATGGCGACAAGCACCTTTACCCACTGAGCCATGTCACCAGTCTGAGTTGTCACTATCTTCCAGGATTAACACTCAGTTTTGGAGAACTGAGTTGTTTATTCTACAGTTGAGATCTACTGGTTGTTGGAAAGAGGAGGCATTCTGCCTCAACTTCCCTCCAGCGTCTCTCACTGTTACTTCAGCTGAGTGAGATACCCAAGTGGGTGAGCTGAGGACCTCAGAGCCATGCTTGGGAGGAGTGAACAGCAGCCTGAGAGCTTGTTGGGCAGGTTTGGAATCTGAACTGGTTTTCACAGATCTGGCTCACCTTCCACGTGCCCTTCTGCCTTTCTCCTGCATTTAGAATCAGGGATCTACCAACCTGTCAGTCAAGGGGCCCCCAAAAAGGAATGATGGGACTCCCTCATTATACCACTGTGGAAGCTAGTCACTCTATAAAATTGAGCATCAGACAGACAGAGGTCCTACGCCTAAAATGAGTCATTGGGGAGCTTGGGCACCCTGCCTATGGATTTCGGTATACACACACAGTGCCCCACGTAACTGGATATTCTCTGGAGCCAACCCCATTTAATCCCTCCCTTCCCTTCCCTCCCTGGGAGTTCCAGAATAGACCCTAGGGTTGTCTTATTAGCAGGAGCCCCTGGCGATGCTCTGCCTTTGTCCTCCAGGGACTATTAGAGATGTCTTCTTGCTTGCAAAATACAAATGCTTACAAATATTAAAAGATCAAATTCAAAATGGCCTCGAGCTGCAGGAGGAGTCTACGAAGGCTAGCCTTTCCCACGCAATCATGCAGGCATAAAAAGATAAAAAGTGGGCTCTCAGCTTCTCCCAGACTCAAGGAGTTCTACCAAACCCCCAAAAGTAGAGAAGCCCTGTCCAACTCCTTGGCCCCAGGCAATGGCAATGTTCACACTGATAACTACACTCGGGCTTCCTGACATAATTTCTAACTGGGCATTCTCCTGCCTTCCTCTCTGGGGAAGTGGTTCAGAAATAAAATGGTGCCTGTGTGTCCTCTTCTCAGCCTTGGGATTTGTCTGCTCAGGCTGCCACAATAAAATGTGCTAGACTGGGTGGCTAAAACCCAGAAGTTTATTTTCTCACAGTTTTGAAAGCCCAGAGTCAGAGATCAGGTAAAAGGGTAGACTGTTCCCTTCCTAGTGGACCCGAAGCTGCCTTCCCCTATAGAGAGAAAGAAAAAGACAATCCTCTGTCTCCCTGAGATAGGGCCCCACCCCTATGACCTCATGTTACCCTCAAAAGCCGTCTTACATCACCAGACATCTGAGGTTGCATAGGTGAGTTTGGGAGGAATCACGATTCAGTTCACAGTACTGAGTGTCCTGGGTCACTGTCAGCCGCTAGCCACAGCCATTCAGAACAGAACATCTCATACCCAGGTTTCCTAAGGAGCAGTCAGTCCACCGTCTTCCTTCACTTCTCTGTATTTAGTGAAACTCCTGATGAGTGGCTCATCTACAATGACATTAGATTCTGCTCCGAGTCAACCTGGGAGCCAGAACTCCACCTTTACCACCTCAACTCCTTTCCCCAGTCACCCTGTCACCTCCCCTGCCCACTGTCCTTCTGGCTCAGCTTGCCCTGGTGTTGACAGGCGAGGCATGTTCTAGGACACATAAGTGGCCAAAGGATGAAGCCCTGTAGCTGAAGGACAACACTTAAGGGCCCCTACTGTGCCTGCCTTGTAATCCACGTGAGGAAACCTGTTGGGGGAGGGGTGCATTTTACACCCCCCCTTCACGCCGCACGGGGCACTGTACTTCCTTGAACTGAGTCTGCAATTTTCAGGAGAAGCTGGATGAGAATCAGTTTAATTTGATCCAGAAAGTGTGTGAGCTCATCGGTGAAGTGAGAGCCGAAGGGATTGCCAACATGAAGCAGCTGAAGAAAGCCTGGGGCTCTGCCAGACCTGAGGAAGGAACAAAAGAGAGCACAGCCGAAGTTCGTGGTCGCACGCTGCTGCATTTCTTCCTAGCGCCCAGCCCATCATTGACCCGCTTAGTCTCCCCAAAACACTGTAGCATTGTCTTAGAGGGACCCTGGGGTGGGGCTCCACACGGTCACGAATCCTTTCAGAAGGCACATCTGGAGTTAGTATCAATTTTCTGGTTTAGGAACCATGTGCCCTTCTGGGAAAAAGGACAAAGAGTGGCCTTTTCTAAACGTAAGCCTTCTTGGCAGGAGCAGCTGTGCCCCTTGGAGCAGGACAGCAGCAGCGCCCTGGCTACTCTGCTGTGCAAAATGCGGAGCCTGGGCCGCTGGCGCCTGGCTGTGCTGGAGGCTCGCCTTACAGGTCAGCTGAGCAGGGCAGAGAAGGTGAGTGTTGAGGAGAGGCCCCTCGTGTGTGTGTGTGTGTGTGTGTGTGTGTGTGTGTGTGTGTGTGTGTGTGTTGCTTCTGGCCAGGCTGACTGCAGTTGCCATGCTGGTGGCAGGTGGCAGGCCCAGCCATGCTAAAGAATCTGGCAATTGGCGACTGATCTTTTCCCCCCTGGGAACAGGCAACCTTAGAGCCTTGGGAGAAATAGGAACCAGACAGGCAGAACCAGCCATGGCAAAGAAAGGGTAAAGGCGAAGAGACAGGAGGGAGTGTTTATTAAGGGCTTGAGCTACTAGCTTTGGATTTTACCTGTGATGGTCTGAGGAAAACCCTGCTTTAAACACATCCAAAACAAAGCGCATATCGGGAATGGTTTGGCAAGTTGCACTTTCTCGAAATCTGGGTTTACTCTATCTGTGGTGTTATCCATAACTAAATCCACACAAGCAATGGCCAGCCAGAGCTCTACTCTATGGGGACTGTTAAAGAAGGGCCTACTGTGAGGTGTTAGCCAAGGCTTGAGACAGGAACCAGAGAAAAGAAGCTTACTTCCGGCCTCAACCGTGTTTGCAATGTTTGCAGGAATCTATTCACAGCCAAAGAGAATGCTTGAGAATCAAGTTCATGGCAGAGCAAGAAGTGGGTTTACTTCATCAGCAACTACTGGCTGCGAGGCAGGCCCTGGCCAAAGCTCACACTGACAACAGGACGCTCAGGCGGCAGCAGGATACCCAGGTATTTAGAGCCCCAGAGTTAGCCACTGTGTGGCCATGAGAAGGGCTGCGGCTACTGGGAACAGACACCATGGCATCCTAGCATCTAGAACACCACTGACTTGAGAAATACTGGAGTTAGTTCCCAAAGAAACTCAGGACAAATGGCTAACTGAGGTGCCTATCAATATATCGATGCAGGCTGTCCCAGCATGGCAAGTATCTGTTACAGGATCCTGGGTCCTCTCAGCACCACACACACTCACACACACTCACACACACACACACACACACACACACACACACACACACACACACACACACACACGCACGCACAGCCCCTGAGCTTCACTCCTTTTCCTTCCCCCAGCTTCTTTTTTGCTCTGTATAGCCCAGCCTCTTTGGTCACGTGGTCTCCCGGTTCTGGGCTCTCTCTCCGTCCTCTCTTGCTCCCTTCCCTTCTCTGCCTCTCTCACTCTCCCTGTCCCTCTCCTCTCAAGGCCCTGTCTGCTGGCCATGATCAGTCTACTACTTTCTCTCTCTGCTCCGGACTCTTCTGGAAGCCCTGACTGTACTCTCCTCACATCCACAATAGAAACCTTCTCCTCAACCTGGGAGCGGTCGTGTTCTCATCTTCATTCAGCCAGAACACAGATTCCAAAACTCCTTCCTTCCTCTCCCTCGTCCTCCCCACTTTCGCGTTTCTTTGCACTGTTGAAGCAGAGTGTGACTTTGTGACTCGGGCTGGCTCCTGTCCTGCTCGGCTCCATCTTCTTCTTTGACTGTCTGGAGTCTGGCTTCCCAGAGATGTTTTGAGAGTGGAGACAGCGCCCAGGGCGGAAGCGCCCTTCCACACTAACGCTTCAGTGGCATGTCCTTGTCTGCTCAGAGCTGATCCCACCCGCTGCTGCTCCACACGAGAAAGGCTTTGCGGCAATGCACGTGCAGCTTGTGGTTAATCTGAGCATTTGGTGGCAAAGTAATTAGCATGAATGGCATCGTCCGATGTTTGTACTGAGAAACTCAATTTCTTGACCTGATAATGTTCTGGAGCGGGCATTAGCACGGCCTGGCTTTTGTTATACTTTGTTGTGGGTTCTGTCCCCTCTGACTGGTGTCTTGGGTTCACAGTAGAAGTGCCAGGTGAGACAAGATCCTAGGATTCTCGCTGCTTACCGGCCCAGGACCAAGCGCTCAGACGGTTGTCCCCAGAGCCCAAGAACAGCCCAGGCAGCCACATTGAAAGGAGGACTGTTATGTCACCCAGCCTCAGCTGCCTCTGCTGCCCGCTGTTGATGGCTTCCTTTCTTGCCTTGACCCTCCCTTGCTGCAGGCTCAACTGTTGAGGGAGCTGGAACACAGAGTAACTCAAGACTCCGTCACTCGGCAGCAGCTGGAGGTCATAAAAACATCTGGCATGGAGAAACTCCTAGAAGACGTGGAGCGAAAGGAGCAGCAACTGCAGCTCTTATCAGCAGAGGCTGAGCGGGCTTCGAAACTGGGCCAGCTGCAGTGGAAGAGGATGGACAGGGACCTGCAGCAGGTGAGGCCCCGCCAAGCGACCCCGAGGGTCCTGTGGAGCCCGCGAAGCCTGAGAAGCCCGCTGGATATCCATGTGATGTCTGTTCTCCAGGCCTCTCTGCTACCCTCACAGCAGGCTCTCCAGCTCTGTCAGTTCTAGGCTCACCAGAAATTCGTTCTGTATACCACCCTGGGGCAACTGCCTGAACATCAGTGTTCAAGGTTCAGAGTTCTAGTACCCTGACCTTTGAACTGGGGTCTTTTAAAAAAATTATGAGTCAAAGTCTAGAAAAGGAGCAAGTATCTGAAAGCTGTGATAAGAGGTTTTTATTTGGGTATTTCTAGAAGTGCAGAGATAAACATAAAAAGCAAAAGTGGCCTGGGCGTTGGTGGCTTGCACCTTTAGTCCAAGCACTCGGGAGGCAGAGGCAGGCTGGTCTATTTGAGTTCAAGACTAGCCTGGTCTACAAGAGCTAGTTCCAGGGCAGTCTCCATAGCCACAGAGAAACCCTGTCTCAAAAAACAAAACAAAACAACAACAACAAAAAAGCAAAAGTGGTTTGCAGATATAATTTTTTAATAATTATATCCCCCCAGGGAAAATAGAAAAGGGCTATTATAATGCAGGTGTGGATTAATTCAAGTCTCAGTAAGTAGACTAGAGAAGGTAATTCAATAGAACCTGATGCAGAAGGTCCTTTACACATATCCGTGGGTGAATAAAGCCTTTATTCATTCACTAGAAATAATAAGAGAAGAAAAGCAATTTAAAAATTAAATTGAACTATTACTGGTCAAGGGTTTCAAGGACTCCAGGAGAAGTTCTATGAGGATAATTAAATTGAATTGAGGGAACACTAAACAATATACTTTCAAGGCCTTGGAGATAAGCTGCTGCAGAGTAAAAGAAAATTAGAATTGCACATTTATGAACTGGGCATGGTGGCTTATGTCTATAGTCTAGCATCGGGGCCACTGAGGCATGAAGATTGCCATGAGTTTGAAGTCAATTTAAGCTAAATAGAACACCAACAGAAAACTTACCCTTCATTGTGCTCAAATTCTGAACCCCCAAATCTCCAAGAGACCCATTCTGATGCAAAAGCAAAGAGTCTTTTATTTTTTAACAAGTCAACTGTATTAACTCGGGCCCTTCATCCATTGGACACCTCAGGTGGAGTGAGAAGGGCCCGAAGGGGCCCATGAGGCAGGGAATTTATTGGGTAGAGCAAGGGGAGTGCCTAGGGATACACAACAGTCTCAGGATTGGTGCGCTTGTGGGCTTGATCTGTCCTGTGTTGATTGATTCACTGGTTGCTATGGCCCATAGGCCCTCCCAGGGCGGTTGCTATGCTCTACACACCACTGTTATGCCACTTTGAGCATAAAACACTTCCAGAGCTCACCAGCTAACTTCTGATTGGTTCCTTGCCACATAGAAGATATCTGACCTCCTAGTGACTAGGGCAGGTCCAGTAAGGTCAGAAACTCAGCAGTGTGTGCTGAGTCAGGGGCCTACATCTTGCTGGGTCTCTTCTGCAGCCTGTCATGGCTGATAAAGCAGGGGGCTGGGTGAGGGTCTGGTCCCTTTACCTTTGTGGGACATGGTGGCACACACCTTTAATCCCAGCACTGAGGAGGCAGAGGCAGGTGGCTCTCAGTGAGCTCGAGGCCAGCCTGGTTTACAGAGTGAAGTACAGGACAGCCAGGGCAACATAGAGAAAACTCTGTCTTGAAAAACAAACCCTCCTCCTCTTCCCTTCTCCCTCCCCCCTCCCCCTCCCCCCAAAAAACCCTTCAGCTGCTCAGCCTTTTACTCCATCAGCTGCTGCCTATGAGGAGAGAATTAGTGCCCACATCCTTCAAACCTGTTTATATGAAACTAGTTATCTGTATTATATTTTCCTATTATTGTGACAAAATGTCGGACACAGGCCACTTAAGGGAGGAAGGATTTCTTTCTGGCTTGCAGTTTGAGGTGATACAGTCCATCATGGCAGAGAAGGCATAGGCAGCAGAAGGGTAAGGCTGGTAACGTTGGATCCCTCATCGGGAAGCAGAGAGCGAATGAGAAACAGAGGCAGACTATAAAACTTGATACCAGTGAAGCCTTCCTCCGCGAAGGTTTTACTTTCTCAAGGTTCCACAGCCTTCTAAAACACAAGCTGGGAACCAAGTGTTTTTAAATACAAGCCTAGGTGAGACATTCCACATTCAAACTAATCCTATATTAATTGTTTTTCATTATTACTTAACTATTGTTGTTAATTGTTTGATGGCAAAGACACTGAAGGAGTTGAAATAAATATTTGAGGGTTTTTCTCAATAAACACACTTGCATCAAAAGTGCTGGCTCTTTCTGAACTGTCTCTCTCTGTCTCTGATAGCCCTCGTGTCCCTGAGCTTCTCCATCCCAAGAAGCAATTCTCAGTCAGCCTGGTCTACAAAGAGAGTTCCAGGACAGCCATAGCTGTTATGCAGAAAAACCCTATCTCAAAAACAGAAACAAAAAAAACAAAAACAAAAACAAAAACCCTGTACCTTTTGAGCCTTGGGTCTGTTCAAGTTATGGGCCACCAAGATTCCCTCCCCTTCCTGCACCCATGGCCAGTAGTGGTTTCTCTAGCCTACCTCCAACCTATACCTCCATGGGTGAATAATGGCGACCTACTCCAGACAACACCCCTTGCCTGGAAAGGTCACTTAGAGCATAGACTTTGGAATCACACCTCAGCTGTAACTGGCTGGGTGACTTTGACACTCTTTGTGGCTTTTCTGTGTGAGTCTCTGCATCAGTACAAAAGAGATAATAATATACTTACTTCTTAGGTTGGGAGGGAACATGAAATGTCTCAGATCCTGGGACAGGGACTGATGGGCAACTTTCAATGGGAATTAGTGTTTACGGTTGTGATGGGACCATGAACACAAGACAAGCACCAGAAACAGACCTGGACTCAAGCCTCTCCTTGACTGATTGAATGAGTTTGGCCAAGGAGTTTGTGCTCACAGAGGTCCTTAGTAAGCTTGCCTCTTCCTTCAGCTAGTGCCTCTCAGAGTTCCTGAGTCCTGACTTGGCTCAGGAGCTCTTGCTATGCTTCTCCCCCCAGGACGAGGGCCATACACACACACACACACACACACACACACACACACACACACACACACACACACACACTCACAGTGCCAGAGAGAAAGGGAGAGAGGGCACCATAAACTTGATGGTTAACAATAGACATTTACTTATGACACTTAAGTTTGAAAATGAGGTCTTAACCATGTTGGTTCCTTTCAGAGGTTATAAGAAAAATAAATTGTCCCATATCCCTTCCTAGTTTTTGGTGGTGGCTGATAATCCTTGGCTTTCTTCCCTTTGGAGATCTAGCCCTTCAATTTCTACTTGTGGTATAGTGGCCTCTTCCTTCGGTGTCCCTCTCTTTGTATCCTACCAATTCTTCAAAGACCAAAGGCAATAGTCTTTGGATGTCAGGCCCACCCGAGATCCAGTGTGAGCCCATCTATTTGAGCATATCCACAAAGACCTCCTGTCAAGCAGAAGTCACATTTGGAAGTTCTAAATAAGTGAGTTCTGAGGGGATGGTATTCTACCCACTGTAGTATGGGTTTCTTCTTCATTGTTGTCATGGTTAAAAACAACTGGGGGCTAGATTTCAGAAGAGAAATACCTGTGATTTATTCAAATGAGGACCACTTTGGATCCTTCCCCTGTCTGACTAGGGGATGTTAGGTCAGCATGTAAGGAGAGAGCTGGCAAGGGATATTACAGCTACAGGAGACAGACTTCTCTCAGACACCGGGCGGGGGTGGTGGTGGTGCTTAAGGCCTTCTCAGCAAAGACGGAGCTGTGATGGAGATCTGGGAGAGGGTCCCTCTTTCCTCTGCTTAGTGGGTTCCTTGTGTAGATGCTGTGAGCTGGGCTCTAGCTTTCCCTATCCGTCCAGTGGAAAAGAAACATGTTAAGAACAGTGGATAAAGGCGCTTGCCTACAGATTTGATGACCTGAGTTTGATCCACTGGAGTCACAAGGCAAAAGGAAAGAACCAGTTCCCACAAGTTGTCCTCTGCCAACCACACAGGCACTGTGGCATGCAGGTGACCCAACACAGACACAAATAGGTAACTAGAAAAAACAATAAGTAAATGTTTTGTAAAGAAGCATAAAGTTGTAAATGAGCTCCGAGTGATTATAAAGCAAGGATTCCTTGTTTTTTCCCCCCACGGATGACTTTTGGTTCTAGGTATTTAATTCAGTTTACTTTAGCTGTTCCTTCTCAGGAGTACAAACTTAGGCCTGAGTTCAGACTATGCAGGACTCTGAAGACTGGGATCATCATGGGGTAGCCTTGGACCAACATTCTCCCTCGTGTGGTACTCTTGGATTCTCACTCTCCCTCAAAAGTCACCCGGGAACCAAGGGAACTAAAAAAAAAAAATCACCACTCAGTATTCCCACTTCCCACCCTGTCTCCTCAGATGAGAAGCCAGCTAGCTCAGGAGCGCAGTGTGAAGCTGGACGCTTTCCACCGTGTGCGGGAGCTGCAGAGTCAACTTCATGACATGGAGCAGTCATCTCCCCAGATGGGCTCCCCGAGTGGTAAGCACGGCCTCCTCTGGCTAGCAGAATCATCCAGTCTTGGGGGCATGAATTGTAGGGGGGCCTCCATGACTCCAAGACTAGGTAACAACCCAAGGCAAGGGAGCGGGCTCTCTGAGAGTGTGGACTGAATGAATAACACATGGATAAAACAGCAACACCAATAAACTTCTGTAATGATTTGCATGATCTACTTAGCTCAATCAGTCTCAGCTGGCTAGAGGACCGTGTAAAATACCACCTGAAGGACATTAAGCATGGCATTGCTTGTTGGAGTGCCTTGATGGTTTGTGGTACCAATGACCACATTTCTGAGGTGTTATTCGTAAAGTCCATTATGACTGTTGGGTGCTGGAGCTCGGGCTCCTGTGGAGATGTCCATCAGGGTAGTCTTCTGGACAATGTAGACAGTGGGCAGCATGGCGTCAGATCCAGGACCACTCTAAAGTGGCTTCCTTCCCTGTGAGATTCGTACTGAATAAATTCCAGATCTGTCAGAACTCTCACCAAATGTTGGTGATCGTGCTTGGGTCATTACTAGGATTAGTCAAGTTCTTCCTTTCTGATCTGTAGTGTTGACTGGTGGAGTGTGGAGGCTTTGGGGGGAGATCACCAGACCCCTACTAGCTGTGTGACTTGAAGCAGGTTAATTGGCCTCTCTCTGCACAGTACAGTGTGAATGTCTACCTCCAAGCCTTGTCCTCCATGTTAGATGGAAGAACACCCATCTGACACATAGGGTAATCTTTTGCCAGTAATTGTATAAGATGGGTACTGTGGTTTCATGCGTGTGTTTATTTCTTTATCTGTGTTTCCTTTCGGCTGCTTGCCACCATGAATGAACTAAGAAAATAGTCTTTGAGAAGCAAAGTCGAGTGAGGTGAGGCTTACGAAGAACACAGCTGGGCTTGTCCTGAGACCCACAGGCCCTCCTCCTCTGACTCTGATCATGCCTTGCCCTTGAAGGGGCTTTGGTGTCCCTGCCTCAACCTAACAATCCCTGCTATGCCAGCTCCAAGATGGGTCCTGTTGTGATCACTGCTGCCAAGCAGTCCTACGTGGCTTTAGCTATGGAGATTTTCTCTCTCTTCCCTCTACTCCTCTCCCACCAGACATCTTTGTCATCTCCTAGAGAACTGCCCTTCAGGACCCTCAGTATCTGCACATTTATGAGGTGCTCAGGAGGTCCTTCCTTTCTCAGATGGGGGGCCAGACTCTTTTCTAGTAGAGAAAGAATTTCCCCCAGGATTCCGGCCTATCACATCGGGGAGGGGTTTTGTAACTGGGTTGTGGTACCCCACACACAGGCAAAAACCTGAGAATTGAATCTTTAAACTGTGCTTTATTCACGGAACCAGCAATCTGAGAAGATAGTGAGTTAACATGGTAGAAATCTGTCTTCGGTCCCATCATAGGCAGCAGATTACATGGGGGTAGGGCAAAGGCAGTCAACCATTGCTGAGTTTCCCCTTGCCCCTCGGGTCAGGTGACCAGTCTTGTCTTTGAGGTCTACGGTGATGGTACTTTTCTCCTTATTGTCTCCTCTTTGCCTCAGATGGCTTCACAGACACAAAGGCCATCAGGTCTTGCCTAGATTGAAGGTTAAGTCTGAACAAACAAACCACAGACAGTGTGCACCCTAGATACCTCCCTGCAGAAAGGAAGTACAAATGTGCTCTTGAGGGAGGCAGGCAGGATTAGGGCACCCTCCTTTTAATAAATCACTTGGCAGCCTGGTCACTTTACCTGCGTGTTCTATGCACATACCACTCTTCAAACAATTTCCCTAGCAACCTCAGATCTCCTCCTACATGGGACTATAGTAATGTTATACAGTAACAATAATCAAATGCTAACAGTTTCTATTTGAATGTGTTCGAGATATATTCTGGTATGACACAGGCGTAGTCAGCCTAAGCTGGTAAGTCAAACTGTGCCCTCAAAGTGAACTTTTGGGGAGATTGCCCTTCTTGTCATTTTATGCTTATACAATCGGGTGTGCATGTGATGACAAGATGCATGATGGGAAAGGATTACTCACAATAGGAGAAATGATTATATGACCTAATCTATCAGTCAAAATAGAGAACCAGCCGGGCAGTGGTGTCAATCACCTTCATTCCCAGCGCTTGGGAGACAGAGGCAGGTAGATCTCTGAGTCTGAGGCCAGCCTGGTCTACAGAGTGAGTTCCAGGACAGCCAGGACTGTTGCATAGAGAAACCCTGTCTCGGAAAACAAGTAAGCAAGCAAACAAGCAAAAAAGCAAAAAGAAAAAGGAAAAATAAAAAATTGAGAACCATCCAGTCTCTGCACTTTAGGGAAGCTTAAACAATAATTGGGGCCTTGGCCTATGTGCCCTCACTTTTTTGGCCAATTGTCCGTCTTGACAAGGGGCCCTCTCTTATCTGCGCCTTGTCTTGCTTTGAATAAAGCTGTCTTGCTACTTTTGCAAATCTGTGTCATCCCCTATCCCGACCCTCCAAAAAAGAGCCCGAGAACCCGGGAACCCGGCCTGGCCTCCCACCACAGGTCGTGATGGCTGTGTGAGGAGGGTAGTTCCTACCTGAGAAGTGGGTGGAGCCTTTAAGGGGTGGAGCCTAGCTCAGAGGTCCCTAGGTTTCTGTGGTGCGACCCACCACAGGGATTTAGATAGTTTCTGTGGAGCCCCAGGCAGTTGGGTTTCCTGCTTGTGGCTTCATAGTCTTGTTGATAAAAGAATTTCAAAACAGTCTCGGAAAGATGAAGGAACATTTTGTTTGAATTTGAGAGGAAAATAACAAGGCGGGTAAGCAGTCATCTCAGCATCAGCTGTGAGGGCTGTGATGGAGGAGAGAGCCGCCCTGAGTTAGGGTCGAAGGAAGCTGGCATTTTCAGGATCTGAGGCCAGGGAGCAGCTGCCTGGGACAGGACTGGGCATTTGGAGAAAGAGTAAGAATGTGGGGGAGCATGCTGGGATCTCGGCCAACAGACAAGAGATTAAAAAGAAAAGAAAAAGGGTTGTTCTTTTTAGTTAGAACTTCAGAGAGGCAGGCGGACCTTGTGCCTGCACAGGGGGTGGGGTGATCCTGCACGGGGGCTGGAGGTGGGAGGGTAGTGTGAAGATCTGTAAGCGTCTGCGGGGGGGGTAGTGTGAAGATCTGTAAGCGTCTGCGGGGGGGGTAGTGTGAAGATCTGTAAGCGTCTGCGGGGGGTAGTGTGAAGATCTGTAAGCGTCTGGGGGAGGTAGTGTGAAGATCTGTAAGCGTCTGCACGGGGGGGTAGTGTGAGGATCTGTAAGCGTCTGCACGGGGGGGTAGTGTGAAGATCTGTAAGCGTCTGCACGGGGGGGTTGTGTGAGGATCTGTAAGCGTCTGGGGGGTAGTGTGAGGATCTGTAAGCATCTGCACGGGGGGGTAGTGTGAAGATCTGTAAGCATCTGCGGGGGGGTAGTATGAAGATCTGTAAGCGTGGGGGGTAGTGTGAAGATCTGTAAGCGTCTGCACGGGGGGGTAGTGTGAAGATCTGTAAGCGTCTGGGGGGTAGTGTGAAGATCTGTAAGCGTCTGGGGGGTAGTGTGAGGATCTGTAAGCGTCTGGGGGGTAGTGTGAAGATCTGTAAGCGTCTGGGGGAGTAGTGTGAAGATCAGTAAGCGTCTGCGGGGGGGAGGTAGTGTGAGGATCAGTAAGCGTCTGCAGGGGGTAGTGTGAAGATCTGTAAGCGTCTGGGGGAGGTAGTGTGAGGATCTGTAAGCCTCTGCACGGGGGGGTAGTGTGAGGATCTGTAAGCCTCTGCACGGGGGGTAGTGTGAGGATCTGTAAGCGTCTGCACGGGGGGGGTAGTGTGAAGATCTGTAAGCGTCTGCACGGGGGGGTAGTGTGAGGATCTGTAAGCGTCTGGGGGGTAGTGTGAGGATCTGTAAGCGTCTGCACGGGGGGTAGTGTGAAGATCTGTAAGCGTCTGCACGGGGGGGTAGTGTGAGGATCTGTAAGCGTCTGGGGGGTAGTGTGAGGATCTGTAAGCGTCTGCACGGGGGGGTAGTGTGAAGATCTGTAAGCGTCTGGGGGGTAGTGTGAGGATCTGTAAGCGTCTGGGGGGTAGTGTGAGGATCTGTAAGCGTCTGGGGGGTAGTGTGAGGATCTGTAAGCGTCTGCGGGGGGGGGCTCTGGTGTTGTAAGAGACTTGTCTTCCTAAGAGGTAAGAATTCCTCCTGTCTTCTTAGCACCTCCGTCTGCAGCATTCCCGGAGGACTGAGCACGGCCTTCTGGCCAGTTGGCTGCAGACCCATTAAGATGAATCTTAAGGGAAAAGACAATAGTGTATAATTTGGGGGCGGTTTAGAATGTCATTTCTCCAGCCACCGGTAGAGGAAGAGCTCAGGGCCTCAGCAAAGCCTTGCTGTCACCTTTTCACACGGTGAGCAAGACTGACAGCAGGATTCGGATCCTGTGCAGTGGCCTCCAAGCCAACTAATGTCACCTAGCTACCTAACTGAAGCCTCAAGAACTGTTAGAAGAGCAGACCTGGTCCTGGACTCATCTCGGCCTTCAGGGGCCGATTTCCATAGCTGTCTTTTCCTCCTGCGTGTTTGTTCTTTCAGCAAGGCTGGACCAATTGAGAGCCCATCCACCTCACCCACCCCTCCCCGCCTCACCCACCCCTCCCCGCCTCACCCTCCCCTCCACACCTCATCCTCCCCTCCCCACCTCACCCTCCTCTCCCCACCTCACACCCTCCCCACCTCACCCTCCCCTCCCCACCTCACCCTCCCCTCCCCATCACCCTCCTCTCCCCACCTCACACCCTCCCCACCTCACCCTCCCCTCCCCATCACCCACCCCTCCCCGCCTCACCCACCCCTCCCCACCTCCTGATCACCGACTTTGATCCTCCAGAACTATTAACCAAATCAACCTCTTTTCTTTACAGTGTTAGCTTGCCTCCAGACTAATCAGAGTCTCTTTCCCTCCTGGGCCATCCCAGCGGGCAGGGTTCCTTCGACTTTCCCAGGAGTCTTGAGCAATCCTTTACCTTTCTTTTCTCCATGCTCGTATTTCCTGTCCTGGATGACAGTTCTCCAGGATGTATCTATCACCCAGAAGGGATCTTGCAATTAACGATTATGTATCGATCAAGTATGTGTCAAGATCATAAAACCCACAAGAACAGAAGCCTTCCTTGAAGCTGGAGTTGGTGGCTGGTGCCTGTGACCCTGGCCTATAGCCCCAGTGCTCCGGCTGCCTCTGTACTGAAGGCAGGAAGGATTGAGACTGTGACACCCGGCCAGTCTGAACTATAATACAAAACAACAGCCAACAAACTCGAAAAAGTCACCTCTCGGGACCAGACATTTCTCCAAGCTTCTTTAAGGGAGTTACCTGTTAATTCACTTTACCTGACTTACGCCACATCTCACATCCATCGGGCAGAGGGAGACAAAGACGCACAGAGAAAATACTGTAGCTGCTAACTTTAACAGTCTAGAGACACTTTCTAACTGACCATTGTGAGCGAGCCTTCTACCACAGGGACTCCAGGCAGGTCATGAGTTGCCACTCTCAATGTGCAACTTCTACTTCATGGGTCAAAACGGCTGCTTAAACTTTCCAGTCAACAGGAAGTGAGAAAACTAGAAGAGTTCACTGCTCTTTCAAAGGGTACTTCCTGGAAGTTACCTAGAACCCTCTGGAGTACATCTCATTAGCTGACATTTGGCCCAGGACACTGGGGTATGTAGCTTTTGTAATTTGACGAAAAGTTGGGGGTTCTGTTACTAAGGAAGAAAAGGAAGATGGCACTTAGGGACCAAGTACGCCTCTCTGCCTTATCACCAGCCACCTGCCTTTTAATCCCCACCTCTTCACCACGGAGTCTCGTGTCTCTGAGTGAATGGACACCACTGAGCTCTCAAAGCCTCCCTCAGCAGTGTTTGAGACAGGTAATCTCACACTTCCTTCCAAGCTCCCTGTCGACCGCCATGCCTTTGCCTCTGGGGCAGTCCTCCGCTTTCTCTGGCTGCCTCAGTCTCCCTTTCTTGTTCTCCCTCCCATGGCCAAGCTCTCCGGAGCAGAGCCATTCAGAGCCATGTCTGACCTCTTCCCACATTGCTTCTGGATGGCGGCGGGAGTCCCAGATCCCATGGCTTTAGTCCTCCTTTGTCAAGTCTACACCTGCAGCTCAAAACTGTCCCCTGGGGCTAGAGAGATGGCTCAGTGGTTAAGAGCACTGGCTGCTCTTCCAGAGGACCTGGGTTCAATTCCCAGCACCCACATGGCAGCTCACAACTAACTGTCTTTAACTCAGTTTCAGGGAATCTGACACCTTCACACAAACATATATGCAGGTGAAACATGAATTGAAAAAATAAATTTTATATTTATATGAATATATATATATATATATATATATATATATATATATATATATATATATATATATACCATCCTCTGTGCTCTAGCCCTGCATACCCAGTGTCTACTGGGTGTCCCTGCTTCGGACTCTCTGGGTGCCATGTTCACCAGAATTCATCAGAATTCATCAGAATTCATCTTCAACTTGTTCCCCAGTCTGACTCCTTTTGGGAGGGAGGTGTTGTCCCAGAAAATTGATTGCCAAATACCCAGTTGACTTGAGTCACAATTTGAGTGCTAGTATTCCTTGTCTGTGAGCCTAGTTAATTAACAACATCCTATTAATGAGACTAAACCTCAGTCTACCCACATTTACCACTCAGAGACCAAATCTTCCATGATCTCCTTCTCATGTCTTCCCCTAGCAAAACAAAACAAAAGCAAAAACAAACAAAAAAGAAATAAAAACCTTTATCCAAAGTTTGATATCACCACTTGAACTAAATGGCTAGTTTAAGTTCTAAAAGTTTACAAGTTAAATCTGGGTATGTACATTGCAACCAAAGATCTACTTTCTTTTCTTTCCAGGGCTTATATCCCAGACCCACTGCCCCCTAAACTCTGCTTCATCATTATCCAGACACTCTCTCCGTTTTCCAAAGACCAATCTTCTTGGCAATAAAATGACAAGAAGGATTCAAAGACCACAGACTGTGAGTGATGCTAAGCTTGCTTATACATAGGAAGCAATGAAGACATTTATATCCGCTGTTACAAGTGATTTCAAACTTGGATTAGAAAAATTCTGCATCTGAATGTTAGCTAGGTAGTTTGGATCTGTTTTACACAGTTCTAGTGTTGAAATAAGGCCATGGGCACCTTCTGGATTACAACTCATTCAATGGCTCTGGAAATCAGTCCAGAGCCTTGCTGCAGTCTCCTTGAATTTCTTCTTTAATCAGCCACAATAATTAGTAGTATCAGGCGCCTTATCTGAAGTCCCCCTGCCTCCATCTTTGGGGGTGGTGGTAGAGGCGGGCTGATCTCGGTGAGTTCGAAGCCAGCTTGGTCTACTCAGTCAGTTCCAGGACAGCCAGAACTACACAGAGAAACCCTGTCTCAAAAAAAAAAAATCCTTTGCCACGTTTAAAATATACCCTTACTATCTTAATATTACAGGTACCAATTAAGCACAAAAAAAGGATTGATGATGGTTTTCTACCCAATGTGGCAGAAAATGTTCAACTTACAACTTCCCAAGTTCAAACAGCTCCATCCGGGATTTCCTTCAGGCCCAATAGGTAATCTTTTGTGTATATCTGTTTTATTTCTGTGTGCATTTAGATAGATGAAGATAACTAACTCCAGCTCTACTAAACTTTTCATTTAGCATTTCTTCTCAGCATGTGGCAGACAGTATTGAAGAACTGAAATGAATTCATTGAGTGTCCAGATGAAGCCACATTTGGTCCCAGATTTGAAAACACTCAAACACTGGTTTGTAGTCTACAAGCTCTCTCTGGCTCCTGGCTGCCCAGCAGCCTCTCAGTTTGAATCCTGAGTAACAAAGAAGGCAGAGAGGTCCAAGACAGAAGGCCTTGATGCTGAGCCATCCTTACGAAGTGAAGAGTCAGGCCTGGTGCTGGCTCATTGGTTAATAGTGCTAACTGCTCTTAGAATGCCCCCTTTAGTTCCAGCTCCCACATGCAGCTATTATCTGTAACTCTAGTTCCAGGGTATTTGATGCCCTCTTCTGGCCTCTGTGGGTACTGAGCATGCATGTGGTACACATACATGCATGCGGGCAAACATTCACATAAAATAAAAATAAATCTTTACAAAAACATGTTATTAAAAACCACTACATTTCAATAAAGATTCATCCAAACAAATTTCAAAGCACTTTTTATTTTATTTAAATGTATAATGTATCATCCTTTCTTAAGTCTTTTCATTTTTTTCCTGCAAGTGTTAAAACTCTTACATTAAGTATTTTTAAAAATTTTATGTATGTGAGTGTTTTGCATGTATGTATGTATGTATGAGCACCACATTCATGCCTGGTGCCAGAAAAGTCACAGGAGGTCACCAGATTCCCTGGGACTGGAGTTGTAGATGGCTGGGGTGCTAGGAATCAAACCTGGGTCCTCTGTAAGAGAAATGCTCTTAACCACTGAGCCAGTTCTCCAGCCCACTTTAGTAAAGTCTTAATCTGATTCCTTTTCTTGTTCAGACTAGAGAATCTATCTCAGGTAAAAAAGAGATGACTGGATCAAATAAAGACCAAAGAAACATATTTACATGTATAAGGCTGTACATTGCAATAGTTGATCAAATATCTCCAAAAGGACCGCTGTGCTGAAAAGATTTTTGTCAAGTTGACTCATGCTAGAGTCATCTGGAACAAGGGACAAGCAACTGAAGCACTGCCTCCAATAGATTAGCCTACGGGCATATGTAGAGGGCATATTCTTGACTAAAGTGGGAGAATCCAGCCCACTGTGAGCAGTGCCACCCTGAGGCTGAGCAAGCCGTGGGAAGCTATCCAGTAAACAGTGTTCTTCTGATCTAAGTTCCTGCCTTGGCTTCCCTCAAGGATGGTCTGTAACCTGTAAGCCAAATAAATGGTTTCCTCCCCAAAGTTATTTTAGTCAGTGTTTTAACAAAGCAACAAAGAGGCAAACTAAGGCAGCCACTCTCTAGGGAACTGAGATGAAGGCTACCCATATTCTACTCTGTCAAAAAAAATTAAAATTGACTAATTTGTACAAACTTTGAAGGAGCAAAGAGTAACAGAGAAAAAGATCAGCCAACTTGCAGCAGTGTGACCACAAGGGTGTGTTTCAGGCAACTTCAAAGATGGGTGCAGTTGCTGAAGAGATTAGCATCAATAAAAAGAAGCTACGTGGCCAGTCATATATGTGAATGCTTCATCACAGGGGGGTAGAACTCTCTGGTAGGAGTAGGATTTGATGGTGTGGCCTTGTGGAGCACACTACCATGCTTCCTGCCATGATGATAATAGACTAAGCCTCTGAACTGTAAGCCAGCCCCAATTAAATGCCTTCTACTATAAGAGTTATGGTCATGGCGTCTCTTCACAGCAATAGAGCTCTGACTAAGAGTGGTGAGGCTGACTAAGCATTCACACGTCATTTCTGTGTGTGTGCTAGGATCTAAACTAGGTCCTCATGCGTGCTCTTGTACAGTGCATACCTGTAATCCCAGTGCCAGGAGGAGGACACAGGAGGATCCCAGGGACTCACTGGTTAGCCAGTCTAGTCAATCAGCAAAGGTCCAAGCTCAGTGAGAGACCCTGTCTCAAAAAATATTGTGTAGAGCAATTGAAAAAGAAATCTCTATCAAAACACACACACACACACAGAGAAAGAGAGAGAGAGAGAGAGAAGTGGTACTAACAGAAGCAGTACTATAGGAATGTTAAGAGACACTGGTCATGGCAACTTTTATAAAGGAGAGCATTTAATTGGGACCTACCTATAGTTTCAGGAATTTAGTCCATTGTCATCATGGCAGGGAACATGGCAGCATGCAGGCAGATGTGGTGCTGGAGAAAAGCTGAGAGTTCTACATCCTAATCCATAGACAGAAGGAAGAGAGAGACTCTGGGCTTCTAAAATCTCAAAGCCCATCCCCAGTGACACACTTCCTCCAACAAGGCCACACCTCCTAATCCTTTCAAATAGAGCTGCTCCATGGTGATCAAGCATCCAAATCTATGAGCCTATGGAATCCATTGTCATTTGAACCACCACAATGATGAATAAAGCAATCACAGATTTTTGACAGAGCAGGCAGAAGCATTATGGACAAGGGAGGCAATTTTTACCCAAAGTATGTACCTATGTTAGTGAAGTTAATCTCTGGCCCCTTCTTAATAAAAAAAAAAGTCTAATATAATCAGCCTGCTGCCAGACACACAATTGTTTCCCATGGAGTTGATACCAACTTGGTAAACTCCAGACAAATGAGAGACTCTGCCTCAATACATCAAGTGAGCTGGGGAGATGGTTCAGTGGGTAACACGTTTACCATGAAAGCATGAAGACCTGAGTTTGAATTACCGCAATGGACACAAAGCCAGGTGCACTAGTTAGTGCATACCTGTAAGTCCAGTTCTACAGTGAAATGGGAAATAGGAGAAACTTGCAGGCAAGTTATATATGTCAAGGACGGGCTAGACCATGCCTTGACTGGGAATTGACTGGGACTATTTAGCTATGCATGACTCTTGCCCACTACTTAAACCTAAACCTCATGGCAAGCCCCCAAAGATGGGCTTTGGGGGAAGTATCACTGTATCTCTCTGTTCCTCTTCCCACTGTGGCCACATTGAATAAATCTTTTTACTATTGTTAACTGGCTTAAAGACAGGTGGGTGACTCCAGCTTATTGGGGCTATCAGGGTCCAGGCTTTTACCCTTAATTACTGATAACACTGGTTACAGCAACAACAAAAATGTAGCTAATATGGAAACTGGACCCCAAAGTGGGATTGTTGCTTTAAGAAACTGTGATTCTTGAGCCTTGAACTGTTTTGCGGGAGGAATGTTGAAGTTTGGAGCTGTGGGTTACAGAAGCTCAGAAGCTGTCAGTGCAGCTTAAGAGGTGAATTCTGGTGGGAGGAACAAATGAAAATGACTACAGTAATGTCTGAGCTCATGAGGTTTCAGAGGGGAACGAGGACTCTTTTGGAACTGAGCTAGAAGTCATTCATGTTAGACTGTATTCTGCCCATGTCCTGAATAATTAAATGAGGCTGAATTCAAAAGTAATAAACTAAGCAATTGTCTTAGTTTTTGTTCTATTGCTGTGAAGACTCCATGACCAAGGCAACTTAGAAAGCATTTAATTAAGGGACGTCTTACGGTTTCAGAGAGTCCATGACCATCATGGGGGGAGCATGGTAGCAGGCAGGTATGATGCTGGAGCAGTAGCTGAGAACTTACATCTGATTCACAAGCAGCAGGCAGAGAGGGTGATGGGGGATGGCCTTCTGTATATGTGTTTCTCTCATTGGTTGATGAATAAAACACTATTTGGCCAATAGAGGCAGGAAGAGAGATGGGACTAGGAGATGAGGAGAATTCTGGAAAAGGTAGGCAGAGAGAGACTGGAAAGAGACACCATGTAGCAGAGGAAGGAATAACAGGTCTGGACCCTTCTCTGGTAAGATAAGATCACATGGAAATACTCAGATGAATAGAAAAGGGTTAATAATTAAGACAGAGCTAACCAATAAGAAGCCCTAGCCATTGGCCAACAGTTTAATAATTAATATATGTCTCTGTGTACTTATTTAGGGCTGAAATGGTGGCGGGACCTAGTGGAACAAAGAAACTCCAGCAACAAGAGGGGACAAGGGAAACCTGGGCCTGACCTTAGGCTTATTGAAACTTCAATGCCCACCCCAATGATACACCTCCTCCTTCAACAAGGCCACACCTCCTACTCCTTCCTAAACAGTCAACCTACTGTAACCAAATTCTAATATATGAGCCGATGAGGGCCATTCTCATTCAAATCTCTATAGCTGTTTAGCAGTGGGAATTTCAAAACAGCCAAACACCTAGGCTGTCAAATGGAATGTGAAAAATATATAGTTTGTCAAGGAAAGGGGTATGACCAAATTTAAAGATGCAAATAAGTTTGGTACAGAGGGAATAGTTGTAATTACTCAAGAGATTAGTGCCATAAAAGAGAAATCTTGTGTTCTGCATTGGGACAACAGGAATGGGGCTTTAAAAGCAAGGCACCCTCCTCTCATTTTGTGAAACTACAAATTCATTTGAAAGGAGAGAACTTGATGTGAGAATGTTGTTGTAGGAGTTCCCTGCTGGAAAGCAACCTAGGTTGAGATCATTACAGCTGTGGTAGAAAGGAGCCAGATTACATCTCAAATTTGTGCAGAACTTAGCGGCACTGTTCACATAGCAATGGTTTTAAAGACAAGTAAAATGCAAGTTATGTGGTACATGAAAGCCCACAGCCATGTTCAAGGAAGCTGCTAAGGCCGGCCAATGCCTGTGAAGATTAGATTACCAGTAAGGAGACCAAGAAGTCATTGTGTGAGGCTGTGGAGATGAATCTTAATCTGTAACAGAGACCTGTTTTAGTTTCCTGTTACTGTAAGGAAACACTGACCAAAAGCAACTTGGAAGAGAGGATTTGACCTCCACTTTCAGGTCATAACGCATCAACAAGAAAAGTCAAGGCATGAACCTGATGTATAAGCCATGGGAGACTATTGCATGCTTACTAGCTTACACAGCCAGGACCATCTGCCCAGCGTATGGTATTGCCCGCAGAGGCCTGGATCCTCCTACATCAACTGACAAGATGGTCTCCCCAGATATGCCTGTAGGTCAGCCTGATCTGGGCAATCCTCAGTTGAGACCCCCTTCTCAGGTGACTCTAGGTTGTGTGAAGTTGACAGTTAAAGCTAAATAGCACAAGACTCCATGATATTAGAGATACCCAGTAATTTCCTAAGTCAAAACATTCCATGGTGGAATGAGCCTCCTCCGTAAGACTCAAGAAGTTCCAGCTTGATCTGTTTCATACTAGAGCGTTGGTTCTCAATCTGTGTCTGGAAGTTGAATAACCCTTTCACAGGGATTGCATATCAGATATACTGAACATCAGATATTTATAATTAATAACAGTAGCTAAATTAGTTATGAAGTAGCCATGAAAATAATGTGAATGGTTGGGAATCACCACAACATGAGGAGTTGAATTAAAGGTCGCAGCATTAGAGAAGGTTAAGAACCACTGTCCTAGAGGGAGGCACCCAGGAAGCAGGAAATAACTCAAGCCTGAGTTCCTGAAACTTACAGGATTGACACACATCACCTGACCCCCACCAAGGATGTAAGTAGTAGCTTGTTGAGAAAGGAGGCTCTCCAACTTGTGAACTGTCTGCACATCACACAGGGCTCTAAGAAGGCAGCTTTTGTGAGTCAGTGCACCATCTGGGGTGAAAAGACCATTATTCACATCTCCCCAGGAAATCTCACTGCACAAGATGCCAAGACATGCACCAAAGAAACCTACAGGGATGGAGTGGAGATGGGCCAAAAGAGGTTTTGTGTATTGCAGTTGCCATAACTGGAGGTAGAGCTACTCAAGCCCAGGGGAGCCCAGCTGGTGTTAGAAGCTCCAGATACTGAGCATGGAACTGCTATCTTTCCCTGCTGAGTTTGTCTTGCTTTGGTCAAGTCTGTCCTTGCTATCTCCCATTTTCCCTTTTGGAACTCAAGGGTTTACAGTGCCAGTACATTAGATGTATCGTGTTTTGATTTTACAGGGCTCCTAATCAAAGACTGCCTTGGGTCTGAGAACAGACTATAAAACAGAAGTGGTCATACTGTTAAGATCATAAGACATTTGAAGTTGGGCTGAATTCATCTTACTTTATGGGATACCCATGAGTTTTATGAGGGTCAAGCGTAGGATTTAAAGTTTTACTGACAAGTAGTTTGTGATGGTTAACTTTGTCAATCTGACTGAGCTTCAGAATTACCTAAGAGACACTGTCTAAGAGACATAGGAGGTTCCAAAGAAATTAAGGAGGGAAGATGTTTTTAAACGTATTTTGAAAAAGGAGCATGAACCAGGAATGGTGGTACACACCATCATTTAATCCCAGTGGTCCAGAGGCAGAAGCAAGCAGATCTGAGCTTCATGCCCGAGCTACAAAGTAAGATCCTGTCTCAAACCTGCCACCCTCCTACCACTCCCTCAAGGAGGAAAATCTAATGTGTTCCTGTATTCCCTTCTCTGCTTTCTGATCTATTGGTAAGTTCCTGCTGCCACACCTTCTCTACCATCCCAAGGTGTGAACCAGAACAAACCTTCAGGTTGCTTTCTGGTCTACTGATACCTAAACAGTTCCTGTTGTCACACCTTCTCTTCTATCCTAAGGTGTGAACCAGAACAAACCTTCAGCAATAAGAAAATAATACATCTGCATTTATGTATTGCCTGAACAGCTGAGCCAAAACATAATCTCTTTCTCTTATGAGACAGGATCTCATGTAGTCCATGTTTCTCAAGTCACTGTACAGAGGCGGGCTTGAAAACCTGGTTCACTGCCTCTACCTCCTGAGTGGTCAGATGAGAGAACATGTGGCTCTATCTTGAACTTCTCCCTTTCGGCAAAACAAAGTAAGACTAATTTATTCACGGAAAACTCAGAAAGTGAACATGTGAGTGATTTTCTGTGTAAAGAGATAAAGAAGCTGTGTCTATAGCGACTGAATACTGTGGAGACCAGAACATTGCAGGTCCAGAAGCCAACTACCTATCTGGAACAGCCATCTGAGCCCAGTCGTGTGGGAATATCCCATGACTAATATAAACCTTTTTGTGTATATTAACTTACCAGACCACTAGCATCCACCAACCCAAAAGCTAAGAATGTCATCAAATAGACCTATAGAAAAGCTTCTCCCATTTCACTGTAACCTCCTCTCTGATGTGTCTACTGCTGAATTTTAAACTTGTCTTCATTATGAACTTCTTTGTTCTGTAAGATTATAAACCAAAAAACAATAGATCATGGAATTTGGGCTAACCTAAGTCTGTATTTCCAGGCCATGGTCACTCCAAATGGCTCCAGAATAAACAAAACAAGATCCAAACAGAAATCAGAGGATCTGCAGAGTTGAAGAGGCAGAGATGAAAATTAGGACATGAAGGAAAGTGTCTGAAGTTCCCATGGCAGTAGAGCGGAGAGAGCTGAAGTGAAACCTAACATGCTTCACAAGAACAATTATAAAAACATCTTGTACCTCCCAACTTACATCTGGCATCCAATAAAAATTTACCAAGAATGCATCAAAACCAGAAACCACAACCCATAGATGGGTAGAAAAAAATCAACAGAAAGTGATCCATTAGCAGTGCTATGCAGACATTAAAAAATTACTCTAATTAGAAAAAACCTCACAACTACAAAAACAACCCACTATGTAGAGAAACCACACATACATTAATACCAGGAAATGGTACTGAACTTAATTAAAGGGGCAACTTTAATTAGTATGAAACACAAAGGGCTGTTGATCAATTCTAGCAACCTGTATAAAACTAGAATCTCCATCAAGGCAGAGGGTGTGGACCCCCACAAAGGTTGGAAATCTTCCAAATATGAAAACCACAGAGCCAAACAGCTCAATAGATTTCCAAATACAAGAAATGAGGAAAACTGTAACACAGCCCACAACAATCAATTTGCTCAAAACCAGTAGAAGAAAACATGTACAGAACCAACGATGCTAACAGACTTATCAGTGTCCGATGTCCTTTTCATGTGAAAAGACAATGGACCAAAAATTAACAAGTATGTATGACAAAAAAAAAAAAAACCACCAAAAACCAAAAAACCAGCAACTTTGGATTCCATATTCAAATTTCTTAAAAAAGCCAAGTAATTGATTTATTACAAATCATCTACAATAAAGGCAATGGTTTTTGCATTTGTATTTTGAAAACAAAATACAAACTAGCAGGCAAGATATACAAAAGCTGGATTTATCAACAGCTACATTAACAAAAAACACAAACATTATTGAACTTAAAAGTGCTAATACATAACATAGCTTGGGTGGTGGTGGCACACACCTTTAATCCCAGCACTCGGGAGGCAGCAGGTGGATTTGAGTCTGAGACCAGCCTGGTCTACAAGAGCTATTTCCAAGACAGCCTCTAAAGCCATAGAGAAACCCTGTCTCGAAAAAACCAAAGCTAATATACATGCCCAAGTAATGGGAAAAACACACAAAACCAATTTCATCTTCATTATTTAATCTCAATGTTTTAGGAAGTTAAGCCTTCTATAACGTTTTATGTAATTACCAAATGATAAGGCTAACATGGAAACAAAGGCCTCATTTCTAAGGCAAAACACTAAATCTATTTTATATCCAGACTTGCAAGGAGTAGTCAAGAACTTAATGTAATGCCAAATGATACTATAGATGCTTCTACATGTGTTCCAACAGAATCAGCGTTCCTAGGGAAGTATGCAGCTTGACACTCTAAGCAGAAGCCAAGTTTCATTTCACATGCACTCCGAAAGGCATGATGTGGCTAGCAAGATGGCTCAGTCCCTGGAACCCACAAAGGTGAAAGAACTAACCCCACAAAAGTTGTCCTCTGCCCCCCCTTCTCATTCACTCTCGGTTAAGGTGAGCCTGGGGTGTGTCCCTTCCATCCTCTGTCCAGCTATCATTTGTAAGGTCTGTTCTCTACTAATTTATAACCCTTAGTTACCATCTACCAGCCTACAGAACAACAGAGACAGTAACAACCCAGATTCAAAAGGACAGGGCAAATACAACAGTGTTGAATTTTATATAAAATGTAACAATTTTGATCAATAAAGAGACTAACTCAACAAACATGTATTTATTTTAAATCAGTTTGGTACACATACAGATTAGTTTTGTAGTTTTTATTGAACTCAAATAGAAATTTCTAAGTACAGCAGTGTTTGCTTGTGCAGCAAGTATAGGAAAGGTAAAATAAGGTATTTGATAGAACTAGATCTTCAGGACAAATCAGATGAAAACTCTGAAAAGGTTTCTATATACCTTCTGGATTAAAAAAAACCCAAAAATCATTAATGGCTCAAAATACTACCTTACTAAAACAAAGATGGGAAGAGTGGGGGCAGCTGTGAATTCTGTAGCAGAGCTTATGGAGAGACTTGCAAAATGTCACTAACTTTCTATTATGTTAGAGCAAGGCTCAAAACCACAGGAGCTTCAAATTAAGTTACATTCTCACAGAACTTGCTACATGTACTGACATTTATATGGGGCAAGGACGTCACAGAGAGGTAAGGTAAATGACAATTACACCAATTTTGCCACCTTGTAAGGAATGGAAATTCTATGTATTTTCAAAAGAACTTTAGCACTTAAAACAGCCGCAGCACTGTAATAAATTTTGTGAGGTACCTAGAATATTATAATGGAAACAAAACTGTGAGGTAAACCTATCTTTCCCAAAAAACCTTTGAAGCCAGAGATTTTAAACAAGTAAGGCACTTGAAAACATTAGGTGTATGTACAAATGTGCAAGTAAAACAAACTTTAGCTGTACCAGCAAGTAACAAAGAAACAGAAACATCATTTTAAGAGTACAGGGAGTTTCACTTTATGAAACAAACCAAAGCCATCTGTCATTTCCTACTATAAAACACTGGAAACCAGGTGCTAAACTCTGCTACTCTAAAGAAATTAACACAAAAACTTAAATGACACAGGAAACCAAAAGCCCATTTCCAATTACAGCCTCTTGGACTAGTCCATGTGTGAGAGAGGCAAGGAAGCAGGAACTCTAAAACTAAACAAATTATGTTTTACCTAAAGTTACAGAAATAAAAGTATGCATGATTACAGCACATGGGAACTGAAACCAAGGAGGAAGAAAAGGATTAAAGACCAAAAAAAGAGAGAGAACAGCCTACCAGCCAGGGCATCATCATTAGAAATCTACTGCAATCCCCTCTCAAACCTCAGGGTTTTAAGTTACACTGGTCACATCTGTTAGAAAAGAAAGTGATTGTCTCATTTTAAGAACTAGAAAATGATTCTAAAACTACTTTCTTCTTGCCTCATGTAAAAGCTACTTTTCAGGGAAACCTGGTAGGAATCCTTAAGGTACAGTAATATTTGGATACTCTGTGTACAGAGGGAAAGATAATCAAATCAATGTCTATTCAACAGCCCTATGAAAAATGTTAGATGGTTTGATACAGGAAGCCTTTCAGCTTAGAACTATTCTTTAGCTTCTATTTCTCAGCTCTGGAGAAACCAATGTTTAAATTAAATATTAACAGTATGTTATCTACAAGCAGGTTCACTGCTGCTCACATCAACAGTTACATTCTCAGACCAAGCTTGACCTCCCACAATGTGAACATATTTTTGTCCTGCCGCTGTCTCGGTCTGTCTTAAGGCACTGTTCTGTTTTCTTAATACGGTGCTTTAGGAGTACGAACAAAACCTGTTACACAGTAATGGTTTGCATCCTTCCCTTTCTCTAAATCTGGAATGTGATTCCCTGCACAGCAACTTATTTCTAATGTATAAAATACAACTCATCAAGTACAATACTCTAAGGGTAGTTTAGTACTAGGTGAATTTAGTCTACTTTTGAAGTCAAGCTCTCAGTCTACTTGACTGGTGCCCATTTGGCACTCTTCTCAATTCTGGCCACTAAGTCATACCTTGAATTAGGACAAAAAAAACCAGACTTTAGGTTTTTAAATGGCCACATTTAAACTGCCAGTCAAGAGGTTGCCTGCACAGGATACCACTTTCCACAACTTACAGAAAGTTACATTTGGCATGTCAAAGAAAAAAAATCTCACAGCAGCAGCCACTTTAAATAAAAGACGACAGCCACATGGATTCATGCAGAATATTCTAAATATTCCTGTTGAGCAAAATGGTTTAACTGACTTTTCTTCAAGGATGATGCTCCACAATATCCTTGTATGCATCCTTTGGAAATGTAAAGGTCCTGGAACAGTGACTTCCATGTGGGACTTCATGAAAGGTAATATTTTGGTTTCAGTGAGTTACACATTAACTGCCAGTCCTCATTCATTTAACGGGTCTGTTTACAGAGTGTGGTAGTTTCGTTCTTTAGATTTGCAGAATTTATAGAGAAAGAAAATTACAGCCTGCACACCCAAGACAAGGACAATTCCTCCAATGAAACTGGCTGCATCGAAGGTTGACTTCCGCTCAGGTTGTGAGGTTGGGGTCAGGGTGGTATTGGTTGCACCTGCTACGATAAGAAACAAAGAATCCTCAGTAAGTGTCATCATGGTATTTACAGTTTTCAGACCCACTCAAGCATCACATCAAGGCTTTATATAGCTAGAATTTATCCTCATTTAAGGAAAATCCCATTTTTTTCTCTGTCCAGAGCAGTACATTGGCAATATTGCTAGAATGTTTCAAATATAAAAATAGGTAAGAGTTTTCTGGCATATAAACTGTACCCTTACAATTTATTAAGTGTTTCTAAAACATGCAATAATACAGTTAATCTATAAGTATTTGTTAAATCTTTTGGGTTTTACTAGCTAGATCATAAATATAAAAATTGAGTTGCTATTTTTCAAGTTAATACAAGTAACTAACAGGCTGGGCAGTGGTGATGCCCGCCTTTAATCCCAGCCAGAGGCAGAGGCAGAGGCAGGTGAATTTCAGAGAGTCAAAGCAGGCCTGGTCTATAGACCTAGTTCCAGGGCAGTCAGGACTGTTACACAGAGAAACCCTGTCTCGAAAAAAAACAAAACAAAACAAACAAAAAAAAATCAAGCAAACAAACAAAAACACAAGCAACTAACAATTTATAATTTCAACAAAGAAAATAGCACATTTTGGAAATATATTAAATAGTATTGTTAGTTAATTTGCATTATGAGAAAGCATTACAAAGCCATAAGGAAAACCAAAGTGAAAACTAGAATTTCTACAAACAAAATACTCATTAAGGATCTCTAAGTTCTGTCAATTAATTCTGTATTATGAAAAAGTATTAGCAAGTCAGAAGAAATCTATACTTATAAAGGGAATAAAATGCTTTAAGAGGAACAAAAAGGCTATGACTACGTAACATCATGGAAATAAAGAGTACTTCACTGTTAAACGAGATCCTAATGTATTCTTGAGCAGAGCATCAACCACAGGTTCTGGTAAGCTGACTGACTTCAACATCTGCCAGCACAGAATTAAGTACCCAGCACCAAAACCTTCCAAAGGAAAGGAACTCACTCCCGGCGTTCTCCATCCTTTTTTTTGTGTGTGTGAAAACAGAGTGGCCTCGCTGCCATGGCAAAGCTGCACAGGCAGGAAGCCACAGCAGTCACAAGGTGGGAAAGAGCCCTCAGATCCAAGCAAGTCTAAGAAAGGGACACCATTTAAGAATAGAAGTGCAAACCTTGGCTCTTCAGATTTGTCTAACTAAAAACAATAATCTTACTTCATCAAAACCATGATGGCATCATACCTTCTAAGTAACTGGTAGTCCCAAATCTGATTTCACATGTAAAGATTGTACAAAGGCTTTAGAGAAAACACTCTTATTAAACCTAAAGGGCCAGGGCGAACAAGACTAGAAAAGGATCCTCAGCAGAGAATTAGGAGATGCCCTGGCTCAAAGTCAGGGCTGAGTCAGCCCATAGGTATCCAAGACTGGACTGCACCTTGGCAGTAGTCTGATAGTTTATAAAGCCCAATTACCTGATGTGACAACTGAGGGAGAAGGTGTAGGAGACGAGGGCCGAGTTGTGGGTTTAGCTGGAATGAAAACAAAATGTATTTAGAAACCTTATTCTAACTTCCTAATTATCCAATGTGTAGTTTTAAAAACAATGCTTTTAATTTTTTAGAGAACAGAAGCCAAACTTAATGACTCCATATAAGCATTTACATATATTCTGACAGTCAGCATAAACTTGTTTGTATGATAAAATCTATGTATATATGTAAGATACATACACCATCTAGACAAAGATGGCATGGAGACTAAGAAAGACAAGTATATTTAGGAAAGGGAGTTACAGGTTCACTCTTTATGAACACTCTTGCTCCTGTGACAATTGTGTATATAATTGAAAAACACAATTGAGTACATTGTACGTACCATGTTTTCTTATGTTTAAAGGAGCAGAGTTGGATATTACACTTTGTAATGCAAAAGCACTCAAGGTCAAGGTCAAGGTCAAGTAGATAAGCAAGCATGGCTGGGTTCCAATAAAACCTCATTCATTAGCATTAGCACCCAAACTAGAGCACTAGAGCAGCCCTATTTGGATGACACAGTCTACCTACCACTCTGTAAGAGACTAATGCACCAATCAAACATAAAAAGACCTCTGAAAATGAAGCTCTTGACTACAGGAATATGAATAGTGCACACTACTGAGTGCAGTCTCAAAGAATTCTTGTACCAGTATACTATACAGTGAGACACTGTCTCAAAAAAAAAACAAAACCCAAATGAAGGATATTTTAAAAATTACAGTGTCTGTACATATATGGATAGGTTCACAGATGACATGTCACAAGTGTAGAAGTCAACCTATAGGGGCTGGTTTTCTCCTTCTGCCATGTGGGTCTCAGAAATTAAACTCAGGTCACCAGGCCTGGTGCAAGTGCCTTTATCTCCTGAACCATATTGCCAGCCCCCAAGTTCTAATATAAAGTTCTGTGCTTCGGGCTGGAGAGATGGCTCAGCGGTGAAGAGCACTGAGTTCAATTCCCAGCAATGGCTCACATGATGGCTCACAACCATCTGTAATGAGATCTGGTGCCTTCTTCTGGCCTGCAGGCAAACATGCAGACAGAACACTGTATATATAATAAATTAAAT